TTCGTCTCCACCCTCTTCGTCTCCACCCTCTTCGTCTCCACCCTCTTCGTCTCCGCTCTCTTCAACATCCTTTTCTTCCTCGTCAGAGACGTCCTCGTCCTCCGAGACATAGGTAACACATATATCCGTTCCGAAGGCTCCCCCATAATTTTCAGGACCCTGGACAAGGAAAATGTCAATAACTCGGGGGTCATTAAAGCACGCCTCTTTCCAGATCATTTGTCGTATCTCCAGGGGAAGTTGTGAGAATATGACGAAGTCGGTCGCCACAATGCAGGTATCCTCCCCGTCCGATTCAGAGGTACGTGGAGTCATGTTGCGAAGACTAGGCAGGCTGGTGTTAAGCAACTTCTCGGGTCTATCAAGGGTTGTGACATCGTCGTCAGACTTATTAGCGATGAGAGTACTGCTGCCTACGGTCTCAGCTGAAGGTGGGCCAGGGATTGTGTACTTGTGGTCAAGCCCGGTAATAGCGTCACTGTTGCTAACAAGCTCCACAGAAGGCACATTAACTGAGGCAACTTCGCTATCTGGCTGAGTAACTGGAACAACTTCGTTTGCGCTCTGAGACTGCTCCGAAGATTCTGCCATCGATCCGTTCCCGTGATATGCCATTTGAAGATCGCACGAGGTCTTCTATGAGTGCTTGATTCGCGCTCTCTGAGTTGCTATCAAAGTCAAATTTGCGCCTCTTAACAGTATGGATCAAGGACAGAAGAGACTTACCAGTACTTAACTATTCTTTCGAAAGCGCAGCCTAATCTTGTAATATGTCAAAGGATTCGCAACCGATTTAGCTTCGAATAGACAGCTCCAAAATGAATGTATGAGGAAGAGGAGGTTGCTTTGAGAATTTCGCCAAGAGTTACTCTTTTGAAGTGCATGATACTTAAATAGCGTACTAGGCGAGCCGATTTCTTTCACGTACTGAAGCGAGTACTAGCCATAAACAACAGGAATGTTCTTTTTCTGTATGTTACCTTACCTCTGATTGATGTCTTGTGCCTAGCCGTGTAAGCTACTGCATTCTCCCCCGGACAGAGGTACAAGAAAGTTTCTTTCCTCCACTTCTTCATTCTCCCATTATTCCAGCTCATGTAGTTGACTGACCCACAGTCCCTAGAACATTATCGAATAAGGATTGACAGACAAGAGCTGGGAAAGTGTCGGACAGAAGAAGTGGGAGAGAAGGACCCAGAATCAGTAGCCGAGAAGGAAACAAAGATAACTTTTAGGGAATCGTAATAACTTTCCTCGTTATCTTGCTCAGGCCTCAAGAACGGGTTAAAGAGCTGCTCCTCTACTATAGCAAGTGAGTTTTCAATCAAGACCAATGAGCATAGTCAAGACCTCCCATGAGGCCATTCAGCATGATTTTGACAGAGAACATCAACCAGATCAATTCATTTCCAAACCACCACAACTTAAAAACCAAAATCCTGTTCTCGGTCCCGTCAAAATGTCCAATAAAGCTGAGGGGAGAAAATGTTTACCTAGGTATACTTAGTTAGCATTGGCACGTAAAGAGCAACTCGCACGGTTTTTGTCGCGATATGCAACAAGGCTTTTCACTCGACTTTTATTAGCTGAATCCTAATCAAATAACACGTGAAAAGCATTTTGTGCAACTCGCACGGTTTGCCCACTTCGCACGGTCTGCCACTCGCACGATCTGCCACTCGCACGGTGTCGTTTTTGTCGCGATGTGCAACAAAGCTTTTTACTCGACTTTTATTGGCTAAATCCTAATTAAATAACACGTAAAGAGCATTTTGTGTAACTCGCACGGTCTGCCACTCGCACGGCCTGCCACTCGCACGGCCTGCCACTCGCACGGCCTGCCACTCGCACGGTGTCGATTTTTGTCGCGATATGCAATAAAGCTTGTCACTCGACTCTTATTGGCTAAATCCTAATTAGACAATACGTGATTAACTGCACATTTGCAGTCAGTCAGGTGAGTTGGGAAATTCTCCTTTTTTTATAGAGACTAGGAATTGCCTATGTACTAAAGGGTGGGAATTGGAGCCTGCAAAAGCGCCGCCGGTAAGGATTTCTGGGCTTTTACTGGATCACATAAAAATGTCCTCACGTGGTTGGGCAATTTTGGAGGCGAAAACCGTTGAAATCGCAGGCTGCGATTTAAATCGGAAGCTCCGATTTCAAGAGAATTTCCTTGAAAACTGCGACATGCAACAAAACTCTTCGCTGAGGTTTGATTAGTTATATTAATCATCTCTTACATGATTATATGACTATCCCCGAGCACTTCCATGGAACGGAACAAACCCTCCAAAGCGTATATGGCAGGAGTTCTGGACATAAAATAGACTTCATTAAGAGGAGGGGGTCTTGAACTATTTAGAGACACTAGTGTTACAGATCTATTCAATAGAGTCCGTCTCGTAATAAGGCTCATTCGGATCATAAGGAAATTTCCTCACAACCGAATCACCCAAATACTCACTCAGATCTGGCACCAAGCTTTCCACATCCCCAACAATGCACGCCGGCACTCCTTGTCCAAATGTAACAACATTACTCGTATTCCCACCCCCGTAATCGACTCTCACCATATTCACCGTCTCCTTTACCGGACTAGTCTCGAAGTAGTTCAGAGGAGTTATCGCTAGCCCACTGTGAGCAATCGTGAATAGCGTCGTGGGCAAATCACCCGTGTGTGGAACATGATGCATGCCGACATTGGCCCAAACGACGATATCTTCTTGCTCGAGATTCTCTCCGTCGAAGAATTCATCGAAATTGATAGGAGGATTGGCGACGTCTTGAGATTGATAAGGATGACTGGAACGAGGTTCAGTATCATGCTGACGAGTAACGAACAAGTCATGCTTCGCCCAATTCGCAGCATTGACAAGATTCGAGGAGTTGAGGACTGTAAGGTGGATGGTGGGTGATGAGGGAAGGATGCGATATCCGCGATACTCTCCGAATGCGTTTGTAACATCTTTGTTGACGACCGTGAATTGAGTGGCCCCGTTTCCATTCCAGTCTAGCTTTCCTTCGTCCTCGTTGGTTATCTCGGTGCGCTGGAGCTTCATGGTATCGCGTGCTTTGCCGTTGGACCAAGGATAAACTTCCGAGACTGGGACATTGGTGGTGGTTGTCATTGTGTTGGCGGTTCCGAGAATGTCGAAATCGATCTTGAAGTTTAGGACATGGTCGTGCATGCTTCCAGATAGAGCATCATGGATATGATATCTGTAGTCTTGATTCTTGGCAAAGTAAGCAGACTGGATATATCCTGAAGCTCGAACATCGACGTTGATAGATCCGTCTATGTAGAATTCGTAGCTGAACATGTAATCATAGTTTCCAACTGTGCAAACATTGCGGATTGTAAAGTAAATGTTCTTAGTTGCCGCAACATATTGAGATGTACTGTGACGCTGAATAGGATAGTTGCCTTCCGTCTCAAAGAGGCAGATGCTATCGATATGAGTGTGAGTTGTCTCGGACGTGTAGAATGTGCTGTTCAAATATGTCGCATATGTCGGGCAATCATATCCTTTCACTAACTCAAATGCATAGGTCCCGAAGCCGTAGAATGTGTCCAAATAGCTTGTTCCAGACTGAACTGGATCATTCCCGGCATAATGAGCCAGAGCCTCTTGCAATCCAAGTTCGTAGATGACACGTTCTCCCTTGTACTTGATGTTGTGGAGACGCATCCCGGTGTCCCGAGAGAAGGAGATATAGAATTCAAAGTCCATCCACTTCACGTACTGCTGGTCTGCATCTGTAAAGTAACGCGACCCAGAAGAAGCAATTGCCAATGGCGGGTACACCGTATCTAGAGGTGGAGGCGTTCCCATCTGATCGGTCCATCCCCAAGAGCCATCAATGTTTGCAGGTAACTTCTCGAATCCAGGAGAGTAATAAGCTGCTCTGGACGCATCCGTTGTAGGATAGAAGATATCATTGTAGAGCCATCCGTCGAAGGTCCATAATGAAGGGTCGCGGCCCGTGACATTTGATTTGAAGAACAGTCCAAGAGGAAGAAGAGTCCCAGAATCCATTTCACTAGTTGGCAAGTTCCAGAAAGTATCCCAGCGAATAATGCCATCGTCTTGCATCAGAGGATCAATCCCCCAGACATCTAAGGTGTCATTGTCAAGTCCCAGAGCAGAGCCACTCCAGAGATCCAGGGTAATATCAAGGATGGAAGCAGTGACATTGTACATCCAAGTACTCCAGTCAGCATCTAAGCTCGCGTCAAGATTGCGAACCTGCCCATTGGTCTTCCTCGTGTAGGGGTACGTCAAAAATTCTGCTTCAGTAGTGCCGTTCTGGATCGGCAATGGGACGAGAAGATCCTGGTAGTATGGGTCGACATCAGCTCGATGATCAATTATCACATGAGCATATCTTTCAGGTTCGGGGCCACCATAGTCGAGGTAGTTTAAGACATCTGTTTTATTTGGTTCCATGAGCTCAATCATGAGTCTGGGAAGAGAATTAGCATAATTTTCGGACAATGTTCCATCGCGAGGCTAACAATGAGTTGTCCCATTCTCCAGCATCTTCAGTACCGGTCAAGTTGAACGCTGTTTGGGAGAACAGCCATGCCGCAACAGATGCAGCCTCAACGTCTGTGAGGCTACTCCATACATTGAACGCTGATGCTCTGATACTTTGCGCTCCCGGAGTAGCGCAGGAGGAGTCGGTAGTAGTTGTGTCATTTATCCATCGCTTGGTCTGTCCATTCATGCCATTCTTGATTCGCCAGTTCCTGAAGTTTGCAGACTTCGGAGATGGTATCGAAAGTGCAAAGCCAGGCAAGAGAAGTAACGCGGCTGAGAGTCCAAATCTCATTTTGGCAATATCTGCAGACTGAGAGCCTGGGTATCCAATGCGAGAGATGGAGGAGACTTTATATCATGATCAGGGGTTCGTAGTACATGCAAGGACGACTTCTAGGTACATACAATGCCTGTACTTGGCGAAGATCGTGTCTTGGCCTGCGTTCACAGCGTATTTGAAGGGTGGGAGAAGAACATTTTGATCTGATAAATCCTAAAACGACTGAGATGGGCATGATTGGACCATCCTCACAACATCATGTAGTAGTGTGGCCAGAGCTAACTTTCTAGTCATCCGCAAACATACCGACTGGAGGGACCGGATGGATACAGATGCCGATCTGACGGAGCATTCAGTGAGGTACAGGGCATTGAAAGTATGGAAACAATTGAGAAAGCAGATAGCAAGGATATGCTTGCCCGTCAATACAGAGACGTTGCATTTCTAGGTTATAGGCTTTGGGGAACTCAGGGACCGCACAAGAAGAAACTTCAGTTGCCAGGGTCAAGCACAATCCAGGGACCGAGAAACCCGAGGAGAGGAAACCCCATGAGTGGAAGTCATCCCAATCCAGAAAGTCCAGCCATTGGCGGTACTTCCAAGCCTCCCGAAAGATTGGCAATGGTCGCATATTTCCCCCACCTTTGATTTAGCGGGGTGGAATAAACTTTTCGTGCAGATAAGTAGCAGATAAGAAGCTCTTATTTTCTTGATTGCAGGTGGAAGTTACAAAAATTGTACAGTCAAGCCGCATGCAAAGACGGATTTGGCAGGTAAATTGATAGGAGGTAGAAGGTGTCTAGGGTTAGTTGCCCAATTTCACAAGCAAAAAACTTAGATATATTGACTCCGACATTGGTGAAGAACACAAGCTGGAACAGAGAAGTAAGAATAAGCTCAGATGGTATAGGTGCGTTACAATTAGGGTCGGGATTATATTCAATATCCCCAGTCGAACAGCGACTTGGTGCATCGTTACTTTTGACTCTAGGATGCCACCGTATTCTACCAGTATGGCCTTGCCATGGGAGACACTCGACTCATCTTATTTCGTTTTCAATCTCGCTCTGCCAATGTCCGACTTTGATACAGCCGCAATCACCACAGTCAATGTCCGGCCCCGTATCAATTCACGACCACTTGGCCCGAATCATGAATCTCGCTCCGAAAGTTGCTTGGTACTCATCTGGAACGAAGTCGGCCCACTCCTCCCTTTGTCATCGTTACGCATCATACCATACCTTCAGTCCGGACCAGATTGCATAAACACCAGATTCCCACCCCAGCTCTCCAAGTTCAAAGGAATAACAGGCTCGTCGCTTTTTGCATATGCAAGCTGCTCATCCGTCAACAAATTCTGGGCCTTCATCTTGTCGATGATCTCCTGCTTTCGAGGAACAGGACAATACCAATCTCTCAAATACTTGACAGAGATCTCGTGTCTTAATTTCGCCATAGCCGCCGAAAAGGCTGGAGCTTGGAAATTTTTCATGGGGTCGTGATCACAAGTGTGGTTCTGGCGACGAAGAGACAAGAATTGGCACTCCTCCAAAGGTTCTGCGGACGGCCAGCCATATTGCTTGTAGAGGTCTTTGATCCACCTTTCCCATTTTGGAGGACTAAGCTCTGGAGTATAGAGCTCGTCAGTGCGAATAGAACCAGGAATGTAGCCTGGCTCCAGATGACTTGTCAGATGTATGAACTCCCGAAGCAGGTCTGGTGCCAATCGACCGTGCATTTCTTGTCCATAAAACTTCGTCTTAGGTATCTTGTAGTGAAGCGGCCATTTATTAGACTTAAATCGATCGAAGAAGGGATCCTTGGAGCCAGAGCTCTGAGTATCCAAAACAACGATACGATTGCTTGCCGTATCCAACACTAGTACGAGGCCAAATCGTTGGAAGCGTAGAAACGAGAGTGGTATTGCACTCTTGGGTAAAGCTCCATAATCCGGAAGTAAAGTGTCCATTGACTTGTTTGGCCGAAAGTTGGTCTCAAGCAGAGGATCTCGCGACAGCAATAGGTGGCCATCGCTCCTGTAATCAACAAAGTGTCCGTTTCGCCAGAATATTGTTCTCGTCTGGCCCATCCAGCCACCCCACCAAGATGCTTCTGAGGCGTGTTTATCTGCCAATTCTTCTTCGGCGAGGAGTCTTCCCTTGTCTGTATCCCACGCGTCTTCGTAGGGGGTGATATATGGTAGTAGGAGTAAGGTCTCGTAGACTTTTGCATCGAGGCCAAGGATATCGATAGCCAGAGTTCGATTGATCGCTTTGTCTCCTACATGGGGTGGATATGCAATGGAGTCTCGTCCTAGGTAGCGCATATCTCGAAGTAGCTCATAGTACTGGGCCACATTAGTACGTGTTTTACAGCGATATCTGTGGCGGATGAGACATGTGGAACTTACCGCTGCGACGAGCCCAACTGTTTCATTGACATCATAGGGAGGGGTTACAACAACTTCCTGATCATAGAAGAACCACTTGAGTACCAGCAGACCTTGCAACACAACAACCATAGCCGCAAAAGTCCAAAGAGTCTTGCGCGAAGGTCGCGAGGTGCAAGATTGCCGCACGCCTGATAGCATCGAGCCCTTCTCCTCGTCGCCATTATGACCCATGACCCTAGCCAGATCAATTCTGGCCATTATTGACACGCCTTGACAATTGTCTCTTCGATTGTGGGACCAACATCACCACTCGTGAGTGATGTTGATTTCTAAGAGCTCCGTACGGCGATGCGCGATAAGGTCAAGCTACCTGAGTATATTTCTAAAAATAGCCTTGGCTGGGCCCCAGATCAATTCTCAAAGTATCAAATTCCAAACCCCATCTTCCATATTTCGAGGGCGATATTCATCAAATCGAGTCGACCGTGTCCTGAGGGAGCGACTTTGCTCAAATATAGAGTCCATACGACTTGAAAGCTTTGTTTGAGAGATAGAGAAGTATCTTATCTCACTGGCACGACTTTTTGTTTGAAAGTTTCACAGGACTACTACTGCTTTCGTATCCTGCATTGTGTTTGACTGATGTTTAGACCATTTGATATCCTTTTTTGCTCATCAGTCTCAATTTTTAACTCTGATTTGGCTCATGCTCTGTCATTGAGTAACATTGTCATCCCAGCAGATTACGGAGATCGGGGTTGGATGTTCTCGGGAAGTGGTTAGTCGCCACGATTACATGCCACAGACAAACCATTGTAACTTTGGATGAGAATCAGACGATTTCCAGGTTCTCACAATTGTATCAGGGAGCTAGCTCCTCACTTTGTACCTCAGTTACATAATCTGGTTTCCACCGAGACGACGGAAACTTCGTATTTCAGGAAGCCATACAGGTGACCTCATATGGGTACCCAACATTATGGAGCTTTTGCTGTACATTAGCTCATATGTCGCCGCAGGTGCAACTGTTACTCCGCTGAGCCGAGTCGGATTAATCAGCTGCCGTTCCAATGATCCCAATGTGGCCATCGTGAAGCGCATCTGGTGTCGAACTCATACGTGCATGTGGAATCATCTTCATAATCGGATCTTCATTCCCCGAAACAGCGTTGCAACAAAGAAGCCATAGCATAGTTGACCTTATGTATAAAAGTGTGAAGGTTGCAATTGATATGAGGTATTCACATGCAGCGAGCATCTTTACCAGCACAAAAGCATTTGCAGCATTTCCCAGTCCATCACATTCATCAAGTTCATTCTCAAAATGTCAAAACTACTCGTTATTGTAGGCGTCACGGGTAACCAGGTAAGTCAAATTGGGGACCTAACTTATCCTTGAGATCTTCAATACTGATCACCTATTAGGGAAGGGGAGTGGCAGAAACATTCCTCAAAGACCCAACATGGAAGATCCGAGGCACGAGTCGGGACCCAACTAAAGAATCAAGCCAAGATCTTGCAGCAAAAGGCATCGAAATCGTTTACGGGGATGTCGATGATGTCGACTCCCTGAAGAAAGCTTTCAAAGGCGCCAACTTGATTTTTGGCGTTACTGCTTTCGACAATATGCGAATCATGTTTCCTTCAGAAGCTGACCTTGCAAGCCTCAAACCGAACCAGACAATAAGAGAGCTCCCTTTTGAAGTCGAAGTGCAGCAGGGGAAGAATATTGCTGACGCCGTTGCCACCGTTGGCGATAGTCTGGAGCTCTTCGTCTTTTCCGCTCTTTCAAATGTGAAGAAGTGGTCCAAGGGGAAGTACACTGGCGTCTACCACTTTGACAGCAAGGCTACAGTGGTGGAGTATATCAATGAGAAGTATCCTGAAGTGGCAAAGAAGATGTCAGTTCTCCAGATGGGGTTCTTCTTCCAGAATTGGAAATTTGGTCAAGTTGGCATGCCTTGGGAGAAGGTGCGTCGAATCATCGTACAAGATTAGAAAACACCACTAACTCTACAGCGCCCTGGTGGTTCCATGCTCCTTCGTATCCCTGGCGATGGGAATATGCCTGTTCCAATCGTACACCCCTCCGATGCAGGTGTTTTCGTCCAAGCCCTCGCTAAACTTCCGCCTGGGAAGAATCTCATCGCATACGCTAATCTCATAACATGGGAAGAATACGTCAAACTCTGGAGTAAAGTCACTGGAGTTCCAGCTGCATTTGAGAAAGCGACTATTGCGGACCACGACAAGATAGTACCAGGAGGGCTGGGTGAGGAAGTTGGGGAAATGTTTGCTTATGCTCAGGAATTTGGATACTGGGGAGGAGATGATAAGAGTGTGACTTTCACTAAGGATGTGAGAATCTCCTCCCATCGGTAGTAGATTGTATGCTGACAAATGGTAGTTGGGTGTAGAAGTGAGGGTAACGAAGGCTGAGGACTACATCAAAAACGAGGATTGGTCTGAGTTACTCAATAGACCTGTACCAAACAATTAGAATAATTGGTTGCAATAGGATCGCAATACTACGCAATAGCTGGGAATGGTCCTTTGGAAACAGAAGAGACGGGAGGGACAGGGGCCTCCCTCGTAATGGAAGGCCGGCGGCCGAATTAGATTCATCGTATCGGCTTGGTCTAGGCTGCAGAACTTGTAACCTTTTTTATTGGCGGACATGTTCCTATTAAGTCCAGAGTCGCTATGTTTCGAACCCTTTGCTGTCTTCATTGTTGGATTTTTCTTTTTAGGCAGCAACGTTCTTCCCGCGCTCTGGTCTGCATCGACAGGATATAGTCTCTGGTCTAGATTTCCGAAAACCTTGTTCTTTTTTTTCTTATATTTTGTTTATCTAAAGGTTCGGATGCTCCCTGTACATTTTAACTTGGATATAAATTCAACTCACAGATGTTGATGTTTACTTTAGTCAGCTGTTTGATAGCAGTAACGACGTCTGCCTCATTACAAACACCTTTCTCTAAAGCAAACGATTACGGTTTCGATTCTTTGATATTTCCTGGACTCGAAATGCACGTTTATGTTCAGACCAAGCCACGGATCTCTTCTCCTTATTTCGTGTATGGCTCATTCCAAATCCTCCTCAAAAGCAAGTTTTGTCCATTTCTACTTTCTATATTGAATGTCCGGGCTAATTCTCCGTAGAGGAGTATACAGCACTCTCGTAATCCACGGCACCTTTCTCGAAGACATCGGCCCAGGAGCATACATTAACTGGACCATGATGAATCGGGACCATATCAGCATTAGGCATCCTTTCGGATTATGCGATACATACCATCTGGATATCTTCCAATGGCTCAGTGGAAAGAATCCAGGACGAAGTTGTCCACCTAAAGGGGACGAGTTTGCGGAGATTACGTATTCGACATATGTATATGAGGAATACGATGCCACGGGAAATTGGAGTTACTACGCCCCGTTCCTTACTAGCGATAATAGGAGCATCTTCTGTCTTGAGGGTTGGCAGGTGTGGCCTCCGACGAGGAATAGTTTCCAGTGAGAATCCCTTGTTGGGACAGACATTGTTGAGTCGGAATGTTCGGTTCAACGTTAGCAGTAGAGGAGAGACCCACATTGTTCCAACTGCTGTCCTCGAATAATAATCAGAGAAAGATAGCATTCAACGCTTCGTAGGATATATGTATCTCAAGGATATTAAAAATAATGGCATGTAGCGTCGCCCGCCTATACTTTCGACAATCTTTCCAATATACCCTTCCATAGCCCTGTCTTGATGATATCCTCATCAATATCATCATAGTTCGCATACTGACTAAACTCATTCTTGAAATCCATAACGTCTTCTCCATTCATCTTGAAAACTCTGACACCCCTTCCAGCGTATCTTTCCTCAGACATCTTGGCAATACAAGCATCGCCCCACACGCCCCACTCGATGTGCTTGTTCCTTGGTAGGTCGAAATTGAAACATTTGAAGCCGTAGTAGACGCCGTTGACACTTGGATTTCCGTGACCTTTGATTTCAACCCGCTCAATATCCCGACTTTGCCACCCTTCTGAGTAACCCCAGGAGTATTGCATGTCTGGTACATGATAAAGGAATCGATCCATGTTGCCTTGACTGCTTACGTCGCGGGTCATGAGATGACGTAGATAGGGCGCAGAGCCGTCAGCCGGGATTATGATAACTTTTACTTCGACTGCATGACCACCAGTTGGTGTGTGAGTTGCTAGTGAAGTATAGCGAGAGAAGCTTGGGACGATCTCGGCCATGGCTGGACAATGGGCCTTTCGAATGGATCTAAATGCTTGAGGTTACGGGATCGTGTTCGATATACGAGAGAAATAAGATTTGGAAATGTAGGATCGCGATCATAAAATCCTCGCACTGGTGTAACCACGCAAGGCACAGCCCTGCAGCTGTAAGGTTATGCATCTTACTCCGATCAGACCTTGGCTTTATTTCTATCAAATCGCAAGCTCTAGAACTCGAATAGTCTAGACTACACCTGCTTGTAATCAAAAACAGGGGTGTGTAAAGTCTTTCAAGACTTTAACGAAAAGCGAGGTCCTTATTTTCTAAATTTCTACAAGAAGAGCCATGTATCAAGAGAGAGAAAGGGTAAAAGACGGAGCATGGGTAAATGAGGGGTAAAATCCACAGCGTAGGTCGCTAAGATGTCGGGCAGTCCCACAAATACCCATCTTCACGTAGACACCAGAACTAGGACACGAAAACTTTAACTTGACTTCACAACGACTCAAAGGACCTCGAAGAACAATCAATCTCCCTCCAATGGACAGACTTCTGACAAGTCCTCTTGAACAGCTAGTCTCCGTGCAATATTTATTGAGACAAGCATACGCATGAGGCTTGTAGAGTAGAGGCCACGAGAACCATCTTTGAGGCTCCCTCAGATTCAACACCAGAGGCAATGCTTAATCATGACTCACCACGAGTCCCTCCTCAGCCTTTCTCTTTCGATTTACGACGTATCACCAAAACGGAGATCATCGTCCGTCGACTAAAGACACACCTCCGGAATCCCTAATATTCTCAGACATTCAGCCTCACTCCCGCCCCCCATTTCACGCTAGTCCGAACCTCATCTATCTCCACAAATTAGAGAGAAAGCTCTCCCGCGCTGGGCGAACTCATGCATTCGCTGGCCTGACTACGTCCCGAACCGGAACATTGCGCAGGGATACCATGCAACAGCGGCTTGAGCATGATCCAGGCTCAATATTCGAGTATGGGATCTCCATATGTCGTGACAGAGGAGCTCAGAAGAAATGGGTGCACACGTTGCCATGTGACACGGAACTGGGCGATCGGATCATCACCACTGCTTCCTCATGTCCGGCTTTTCCATCACTCATTTCGCTCACAACAATGTACGAGGCTATCAGAGTATCAGCCCATACTGAGCCTCGCATGCGCTGTGGGGGCGAAGCTCTGGCTCCTGAGTACAGTGCGACCCTGAACAGCCAGTGAGCAAAATGTGGCTGAAGCCTTGCATAAAAGTCCGTCAAGGATCTTGATCACTCATTAACAGTACAGTGTGCGGCTGCGTGTTGAAGATTCCGGGTCTGATCTCAAGAGTCTTCAAGCAAGCACGTCTCCCAAGGTTCTTGAGGGGACGAAATCATGCGCGATCTGAATCGACTCCAGGAGCTCGCGAGAGGGGCCAATGCTTACACCAAGGAGCGCTTACCAACCGTAGAGATACTGCGGCGTGACTCCATAGTAACCTCGCCAGTTGATCAAGTCGACGCCAAAGAGAAGTTGGTGTTTCAACGGACTAGTAGTGTTTACTACAAAGACCCGAACAAACAGAAGAGAAATATTCTTCGATCCAAAGAAAAGAAAAGTGCTCTCGCGAATACTGAGGGATGGTCGTACAACAAAGCTGAGAGGTATGCTGTCCTCGACTTGGAAATACGGAATGGCGGTCCCGCTGGACTTGCCCAGGCCGTCCTTGCCTTCGATATGAGAGACCCTCTTGATGTCAACGTCACATATGTCGCCGACGACAATGGCCATGTAACTTCCACCGGCAAACAGAATGGATGGCTGGAGTTGGCCGCTGGACGCAACGCGCGAAATGATGTCGCCTACATCAGGCTACTTTCGAACTTTGGAGCGAGTCAAGCGTCACGGAATCGAGCTTTAAAAATCGCCCTCGATCGAAAAGCAATGGAAACTGCGCAAGAACTGCTGAGAAATGGTGCAGATCCAAACTCGGACGGAGTTCCTGAACATTTCCTAGCGGCAATTCGAGACCAGAACCAGCGCTTGTACACCATGTTTTTGACGTCGATTGAGCCTCTCAATACTTTTTACATTAACCAAGCATTAATCAAAGCTGTGGGCCAAGACTCGGACCTAGTTGCTTTGTTGATCGCCCACGGCGCTGATGGAATGTCCAACGATGGACAGGCATTGTGTGTTGCAGTCAACATAAAAAGTTTGGAGGAAGCAGCCATGATATTGACCAATCCAGAGGGAGAACTTTCAGCGAGGGCCCTGAACTTAGCAGCAAATACAGCTTGTGCTATAGTGGATGAGAATATGAAAGTCCGACTTTTGGACATGCTCTTCAGCGCCGGGGCAGAAGTTAACACCTCGAGAATACAAGACGAGCTGCTGGAAGCCGTCAGGAAAGATCAAATCTCTCTTGTAAATCTTCTCATCAATCATGGGACATCGCCTGATCGTAACAATGCTGAGGGTCTACGATTGGCTATCATTTCGAGTCAGACAGAGTTGGTACAAATTCTGTTGCAAGGACCGGTCCCAGAAGTGAGCACCTCGAGAGCACTTGACGAGGCAAATGGTTTAGAAGACCCCGATGCTTTCGAAGAGATCGTCAGAGCTCTTGTTGAGAAAGGCGTATCTAGACCCTCGCTTGCTAAATGTCTCGCGGATGCAGTCGAAAAGGGATGCACAGCACTAGCCCCTATGCTGATTGAAAGAGGGGCAACTTTGGAATACTCCAATGCACGATGTGTTCGAACAGCACTCAAGCGCAACGACTTCGGCTTATTTGGGACTCTGTTGAAAGCGCCATGCCAGCCTTCGATTCTCTGTGACGCACTTCCAGACGCTATGAATGTCCAGCCTCCATCAGAGAGATTCGATATCATGATCAGACTTCTCAACAAGGGAGTGTCTGGAAAGCAGCTACACATTTCTCTTCAGACCGTGGCTGCAAGTGCGAAGGATCCTGCAGATTACAGCTTGATTGAAGCATTGATGCGATATCATGCCTCCGTTGATTTCGTTGACAAAAATGGCAATTGTATTTGCACCGCTGCAGCTCAACAAGATGAAAAGTCGTTGGACTTACTTTGCCAAGGAAATCCGAGCCCAGAGACTGTTTCGGACGCGATACGAGTTTTGCACGTATCTTTTGCGGCGGCTGAAGCCGCCGAGTACGAACAACAAGTCGGCATGATGTCCACCCTACTGGAGAAGGGAGCATATGGAATCCCTGTAGCCGAAATGCTCATCAAAGCCGTACGGGATGATCACCGGGAAAAGGCCTTGACTGCACTGATCCGCTTCGGTGCTGACGCAAATTATCAGCACGGAAAAGCGATCGAGGAGGCGCTGAAACTACCTCGCATTTCTGCATTGGACTCTATCCTCAAAGATGGCAAGATTGCCAAGAACACGTTTGCAGCTCAGCTACCAAATGCTCTCAATTCGCTGGACTTTGACTTTGACAAAGCAAGCATGCTTGTACACGCCTCACAGGATTACGAATACGAAGAACTTCTCGATAAGCCTCTTTTGGATGAGATCGAAACCAACGGAGCACGCAAGAGTGTTGTCGAACTTCTTTTGAATCTTGGCGCAAGTGTTAACTACCAACACGGCGGGGCCTTGCAGCATGCTGTCAATGCAGGAAATGTTGAGATCTGTTGTCTTCTTCTTAGTGCCGGTGTCCAACACGCCAATATCGCCTTGGCTTTCCCTGCAACTGGTAGGATAGTGGATAGAGCGACTCGATACAGTCTGATGAAAGCCCTCTTGGAAGCCGGACAGTTCGACATAGGACAAGACCAAGCACTTGTACAGGCAGCCCATGAAGCGATCAACTGTGATCTCACTCACGTGGAACTTCTTCTTGAACATCATGCTTCTGCAAATTTCAACGACGGTGCAGCTATTATCGAGTCAATTACAACCAAGAATTTGCCACTCCTGAAACGTTTTGTACCGACTGAGCTCAACCATAAGAGCCTGAGTAGGGCATTCGCTCTCGCAAGGAAGATTGAATGTTTAGAAGACGAAAGATACGACATGTTCGAGACCCTGCTCCAGGTATTTGCAGGCCAAGATCAGATAAGCTCTGCATTGATTGAGACGGTTCTCCACGACGTGACCGACATCAAGACTTCTTCTCTTTTACTTAGTCATGGTGCCTCGTTGGAGCCCGATAACGCACGCGCGATGCGAGAAGTGTCCTTCAAGGGATCTCTGGATCTGCTCAGGGTCTTTTTGGCTACGAACCCTACTCAATTCGCTCGTGATGCTGGCTTCCATTCTGCCACTCGGTCTCATCTCGCCCCGGAGCAAAGAAATCCAATCTACCGAAACTTGCTGGAGACCGGCATCACACAAGAACTTGTCAGCCAAGCCTTACTTATCGCCACTATTACCGAAGCGATAGACCATTCCCTACTCAACATGCTTATAGGTTTTAATGCGTCCTTGGATTTCGATGCTGGTACCGCTCTCCATGGAGTTGTCAACAAGGGCGATCTTTCGACGCTGGATGTGCTTCTCACTGGAGATATCCTGCAGAAGCAGACATTGGACAGATCTTTCTCCGAAGCGATGAAGCTAGACGGGTCTAATCGCCTCGAAATCGCGAAAGTATTGCTAGAGAAGGATCCTGGAGTCAATCAAGCGACAGTATCGCATCACCTCGGGCAAATTGTTCAAGAGAACGACCATGATTTACTGAGTCTGATGATGGACTACGAACCGGACCCTGCTTACAATCGAGGCGAGAGTTTGATACTGTCTGCTCGAGCTGGAGATTCTAAGTCTGCAGAACTGCTGGCGAGAGCGGAGATACCCAAAGAAACCGTGAACGAAGCATTTGAGCAGCTTCTAAACGCTCGCGCGATAAGATCAAACCTGACTGGTGGTCTAAAGACAGCAGAGATCTTGCTGACATTGGGCATCGAGCAACATCTGGTTGATCGTGCTCTGCTAGATAGCTTTGACGACAAGATCGACGACTTGACAAGCAAATTGGTCGAGTTGCTGATACCATACAAGCCGGATGTGAACGGCGGTGATGGCAAGCTCTTTGTCGATATGGCGACGATTGGCAACGAGGAGCTTTTCCGACGCCTGGCATCACAGAAGCCGAATCTGAATATAGTCATCCCAGCACTCATTCGGTCCATCGAGAATGAAGACGAGCTCATACATTTCTTGGGTCAACTTGAAGAATGTGCAGAAAGAGAATCTGTCCCTCTTGAGGACTTTGTGATTTTCAGAGCTCTTGAACAGTTTCCAGAGGGGCATTTGCTTGTAAAACATCTCCTCAACAATGGATGTCGTGCCAATAGCAAGACTGAGGACATATTGAACTCCGCTACTGGGACTGAAACCATGACTGTCCTCATTTGGGCGTTGAGTCGCCTCGAACCTCTGGTTTCTGAAGCAGTGGTTGTGGAGATTCTCGAGGACGGACACGTTGGTCTCCAGGAGGAGCACAATGGTTTGTATCTCCCCGCCAATAGTGTATTAAAGACTGCTAACAGTTCTGGATGTGATAGCCGAAGTATCCTTCGAGACTAGTCTGACACGCACCTCAGCGACTATCCTTGCCAGTGCAGCAGGTCAGAACTCAACGCTGGAGAGGTTGATTAAGTTAAAGTTCGACTTGACACATCGCGATTGGGAGGATCACTCTCCCCTGTTCTTCGCAAGCAGAAATGGGCATCTGGAGACTGCAAGGATACTGATCGAAGCAGGCGCTGCAGGCAATGATGGAAGTCTGCACGAAGCTGCGAGGGAGGCGCATCCGGAACTCATCACGCTGCTCCTTGCAAATGGTCATCGTGACGATTATCCTTCCTCTGTCCATGCCGATGGAGACTTCGGTCGCACACCACTGGAAGAACTGTGTCAAAATGCCACATCTGGAACCGAAAATTGGCCCAAGAGAGTCCATGCCTCCATTGCTCAGCTGTTCTCGGCTCAAGTGGCGAACATACCGAAGAGTGGTGGCAAGACAATGCTCCACCTGGCGCTGGAGAATAGAAATAGCCCAATTGATGTCACTCGGGAGCTGTTGTCCTTTCCATCGGTATGGGAAAAGATCAATGATCCGGTCTATCTATACACCGACGAACAAGGCTATGTCTATTCGCCAACCAAATATGTCGAGCTTCTCTTCAGCCTCGAGGATCCCGAGAAATGTACAGCCCTGACAAAGTTGCTGAAAGCGCGAAAATGCAAAGACCGCTTCTACGCACACACAGTCGATCAACCTCCAGGAGCTGTAGGCTTGCCCGAAGAAGTCGCAGAAGCAGTCAACAAGCAGAAACGAGCAGATCACGAGCAAAGAGAAGAGTTGAAACGACGAGAAGAAGTCGCAGCTCGCCAACGTGCCCTCGATGATGTGGATCACGTCCGCAATCAGGCATCACTGAGAGAAAAGCACCAGCTCACGATGCGTCAACTCAAAGAACAAGAAGATACAGAAAGACAAGTAGCACAAGACAAACAAATCCTCGCAGTTCGACACGCGCAAGAGTTGCAGCGCAAACGACAAGAAGCTCTCGCGGCTGAGAACAGGATCAGAGTCGAAGGGGTGGCGGAAGAAGCTGCCCATCGTAGAGCAAACACTGATCGGGAGCAGGCGTCTGAAATTTCTCATCGACGTGCTTTGGACTCGATGGAACGGTCGGCACAGCAGGCCAAGTATGCGGCTGAGCAGTCTCTTATTAGTATCAGAGACTCGGCTTCGAGAGAGGAGTTCCGGCGTCAAAAGGAGCTTTGTGATATTAAGGATGCGAGTGCAAGGTATCAGGCACAGCAAAGGGCTCAGCATTCGCAGTATTGATGTGAGATTTGAAGATTTTGGGGCAGGGAATGTCGGTCACATTTCGAAGTTAGGTTATTGTAAGGGTAGATTGAGATTGATTTACTTTCACTTATATCTTCTTTCCATTATGGCCTTTAATTCATGAATGTTGGGCTTGCTGTAGTTTATTTGCTTGATTTGCCGTTCTTTCGTCACTGATCTCTGAAATCATTTAAGCGAGATCTAGAGCAAGCCCGGAGGCGAATATGACGCTTCACTTCGAACAAGTTGGAGAGACAGCTCAATACAAAGAGGAAACTCAATACTCAACATCACAATGGGCCTAAAAGCGTAGTTTTCCCATGGTATCATGACACATCCGAATGGAGCGCCCAAATTGCAAAATTCCATCTTACCCTGCACTTTGTCTCCACCAACTTCGTTGACAACGTCTCTATCCTCATTTGCTCAAGCTGATTACATTTGGGTTGTCAAAGCATACTTTAAGAGTCATACATTGAAGAAGCGCTATTCATTCATAAACCTCACCCTCCACATAACCCCCACCATAACCCGCATTCTCTCCTTCATCGTAATCCACACCCGTGCCAGCAAATTCAGCATCTCCTCCATAATCTTCAAGTTGACCTCCGTCATAGAAATCCATTCCTGCGCCGTCAAAGTCGTTGTACGTCTCTGCTGATGCATCTCCCACATCGTTTTGCAAATTATCGGATGGTAATAGGCCGTCAAAGTCATCATTCGTATCCAGGCTATTCTCTTCATATAATTCATCGTTTCCTAATGGATTTTCAAAGTCGTTGCTAAAGTCGTTGTTTGGCTCGAGACCAAGATCGTTCTCCTCCATGGCTCCATAGATGTCTTTGTTGTAAGTGAGATCGTCATTGTCCGTGCGGTCTTCAAATTTGTCTGACAAAGGATCGCCGATTGTGGGGTCACTCTCGTACCCTCTCTCCTCCATATCGCCATCAAAATCATGGTTCGCTGTTGGGTCATCATAACTTTCTGGCTTTAGCTCATTGTCAAATATTCCATCGTCACATTCGTGGCCGGCTAAGGGATCTTCAGTCTCTGGGTCGAAATCAAAGGTTTCACCTTCTTTATCCCTTTCAAATCCATCGTCGAGGTCCAAGAAAGTGTTCCCATCGCCAATCTCATCTAAACATTCCAGATTGTTGTCTTTGTCTCCAAGCTCGCCATCATCAGACTGGAATCTAGGCGAGTCCCCTTCCAAATCATCCTCATTATCGATAGCGAAAGGATTTTCTAGATCTACTGAATTGTTCTCATCATCTGGCTCAATGAGGTCGTCCAAATTTTCGTCCTCGGCGTCAATCTGATCAAGTCCAAAGCCAAACGCTGCTTCGTCCTCGATTGGATTTTGAGAATGATCAATCTCGTCCTCCAATTGAAGATCTGTATCGGGGTCCATGAAAGCATCCATCTGGGCCTGGTCCTGGTCCTCGTCGTTCTTATTGAAAGCATTGTCGGGATCCAGTTGGTCGTCCGCCAGTCCGTCATGGCCGTCGAAAATACCGAAGTCCTTTTCATGTCCTTCCTGTCCCTCATCCTCGTCAAAAGTATCACCCAGACCTTCGCACTCTCTTGCCTCGTTCTCGTACTCATTTTGCCCCGCAGTGTCACGAAAGATGTTGTGAAACTCATTTCCTTCATTCAGATCACGGTCTTCCGTTCCCAGATCAGGCTCAGGAAAGACAATATTCTGATCATCGAATACTGTTTCACTGTCCCTTTCTTCGAATAGATGATCCATTTCTGATGATAATGCAGCATTCTCGTGTTCGTGCTGATCAAATTCCCACCCTCTCTCTGTCTCACCCAAATCACCATTCTCATCCTCCCCAAAGCCGGAGAAAGCAGGCTCATCACTGCTAAATATGCCACTGTTCCCAGTCAACGCATCATCATCTTCACAGTGTTGAGGGAAGATCGTGGCCTGGGATTCTTCTTCTTCCTCATCGTTTGGATGTACAAGATTCGTACCACCATTTCCATTCACCTCCAACCCATCACCTATATCGTAAAGTCCGTCTTGGCTTAGGTCTCTGGGTGGCAATGGATCGTCGTCGTCTTGTTCAGCCCCAGACTGCTCCTGGAGTGGGTCTTCGCCATGATCAAGAATCCGATCGTTAAACAAATCTTGCTTGTCTGTAGAATCTCTGAGAAGAGGGTCTTCAAGTTCTTTCTCTTCATTTAGAAAGTCTCCCAGCAGCGCTCCTCCAAGTACACCCATAGCCAAATCTGCAACATCTCTGCTGGTATTGTCTCCCTCATGACGTCGAGCTTCGTCGTTAATATCCGGTGAGTCTTCATCGAGCCGTCTCGATCGGTTGTCAGTCGTGGTTGTATTGACTGTGGATTTAAGAGAGTCCTTGGGGTCCTGAAGAGACTCCGATTTGTCAATGGAAGACTCATCATTTTCATCGAAGGGTCGCATCTTAAAGCTGTCTGTGGAAAATTCATCAGGATTGTCACGAGACAAATTATCTGAATTTTCGACTAGAGGATGGTCAGGTGTATCGAAGCTAATCAGAGGCTCTTCAAGGCGACCAGGAAGATCACCAGGAAAGTCAACGAGGTCTTCGGCGGCATGGCCTTGCTCAGAGCGCAGTTCCAAAGCTTCATCGAGCTCGTCGATGTCTTTGTTCAATTTCGCCACATCTTCCTTCAGCTCTATATCTTCTTCCAGACTTCTGAGCTCGTCTTTCAATTCTCTCGTCTCTTCATCTCTTTCTTGGGACTCGTTATTTGAACGGTCCTTGTGGCCGTGGCCAGGCTCGTAGTGCGGCTTTGGATGTGGAAAGCTGCGAGTAGAACCCTGCGTACCATCAAAACGGCTGTGAGGCACACCTCTGAATGTTCGTCCCAGAGATGATGGTACAACGTTTGGTCTTGTATCCAACCTGCTTCCCATCCCTGATATACGTGCTAGATCCGGTGCAGTGCGAAGCATACTTGATCTTGCCAGCATGTCCCTTTGAGAACCACGAAACGGCACTTGGGCTTGGAGGCGAGCATTCTGTGGTATAAGACGTTCGCGATTCGTTGGTTGTTTGAGGGTGTTGCTACTTGTCGTAGAGATGGAAGGTCGGAAATCGTTCATGCTGAAAAGTCCGTCGTTTCGTGGGGTCTTTTGGGGGTTGAAAGTGGGTACTGTGTTAATGTTCTACCCCTCAGGGAGTTTGAGGGACCTCGAATTGTTGAGCTAGCAATTGGTTGAGAAGGTATATTCCTTTGGACGTTTGAGGTTGATGGGACACCGGCGTTGAGTTGCAGACCTCGAATCATTCCTGACCCTTTGGAGGCCAAGTTTGGCATCTGACTTGAGATTTGTGCTCCTTGAGTAGTCGCCGCCGCTCGTGACTGTTTTGGTTGGTTTATGCTGCCAGATCCTCGCTTCAGGAGAGATATCTCCACGCCACTTCCTGAAGTCTTTGAATTCAGGTTTGGCTCGGCACTAAGCAATTCCATCTGAGGGAGAGGGGTATAAGGTGGAAATCTACTCATAGGACCTGCCCCTGAAGATGAAGCTGGATTCCCGCTAAAATGATTTGGTGCTTGAAGGTCTTTCCGCTCATTTGTGGGTGCGGCCTGACTAGGAGACTTCAGAGAAGCAGGTGTCGGAAACCTCCCTGGGATATTTGTAGAAGATACCTTTGGCTTCATGGCAGTTAACTGAGTGCGATCTGGTAATGGCCGTTGGTTCACGATATAGAAGGATTGAGGGGGTTTTGCTGCCATCTCCGAAGCCAGTCTCACGTCATTTTGTTCTGAAGAGCGACCTACATATGCCGGTACTGAGCTTGAGCTTTGCACCTGTTGATTCGATCTTACTCCTGAGGCTAGAGAGACAAGATTCGGGGGCCGGTTTGTGTTACTGCTAAGGTTTGGATTACTTGACGGCTTTGAGCCTCCAACAGTGGTGGGTCGTGTCGAGTACCAATCGGCAGGTTCGCTGGTCGCGGGCTTGTCTTGTCTTGTAGTTCCTAAACCTGGCTCTCCAGGGACATTCTTTTGACTAGATGCAATGTTGACGTCTCGGTCTATCAAGCCTTTCGGTACATACTTTCCCAAAGTGTGGAATAGAGTCATATAGAAAGGCCTGTATTGTTTTGCAAACAACTCCAACGCTTGATGGTCATCGGAAGAGGTTGACAGCGGTAGCCTGATCAAATCTGATAGTCCATAAATCTCGAGTCCAACCGGTCTGAACTGCCACCATTGAACACCACTGTCCATACCGGGCGGATCTCGAGATGCAAATTGTTCGCTAGGCGTGCAGTATGCATTGTATCCGTTTGGAACTGCAGTATTGTAACAAGTTTTGCATAGACAAGATGTCTTGAGGAGGAGAATCAAATTGCTTTTCCGGTAGAAGAAGCCTAAGCAAGACGGTACACCTGAGCTTGTGCTTGAAGCAAGTTTCGGGTTGTGAGGACAAAGTCTGCCTCGAATGGTGAGTCGAGAGACCACGAACTCGGCACTTCCTGGAACCTCCGTATCCATAATTACATTCTCGTTGATCTTAATCGGATGTGCCTTCGCTTTTCTGAAAGTCTGCTGTGAGGCTGTACAATTATATGCAAATAATTATCCTCACATGGGGAGCCTAATTAGGTTAGCTGAAGGATTCCCTTCAGGGGTAGAAGGCTGGGTGCGAGTTTAGAAAATGGGTGTCGTTATCACGAACGCCCTCTCCACGTTTCACTGCTTTTTCCAACCCTGGAGCACCAATGTGAACGACGTCGCATTCTCGAAGCCACAGAAGAGCGACCAGGCGAATCGCGGGCTGGATTGTTATCACCTGCTCTGAAGGCACAATGGAGGCGCCTTTTTCTGCGCGTTATTCGCCAGGACTCATGCGAGTCCATTGCGGCAAGACGGCTATCGGTGTATCAATTTGTCTGGTTGCATCCTGAATGAGGCTCGACATGCCTGTACCGCCCATTTCCATACTGCAGGCTTGCAGCACAAAGACCACCACTTGGTCTACCTTCAGCAGCCGGGCGTGGTGTTCCTGCACCACCCCCAAATACAGCACGGCTGGAGCTCGGGTGGAGAGGCTCAAATCTTCAAGCCCACTGGGCAGCCGAGCCTGAACCTCACGTTCCTTCTCTCATTTGGTTTGATGCTTAATTTTTAAATCTACCCTCACCAGACCGCACTTCTCAAAGGGAATGTTGTACGTCCCGCGTAGTACTTACTTGGACTGGCAGCGAACGGCAAACCTCATATCTTGGCATAGCAGAGCCTCACATGTAGTCGTGTTGGGTCAAATTTGATCTCACGAGCATGGCCTCTCCACGGCAGGAACGGCCTCCTGCCGGATTCAGCAGAATGGCCTCAATCTCTACGACGAGTTCAGGCCAGCGGGGCCAATCGAGTCTCGCGAGAAGTACGACTATGAGTACGGTGAGCAGTTTATACGCAGCAGAGACTCCGCGATCCGAATTTCAAGACCAGCTATCCGAGATGGCTGTAGGTGCTGGAGTCCCACTGACCCTTCCACGGTCTCTGCTATCCCTTCCAAACCAAAGAGCGGCCCCTTCCAACCCCAGTGATAAGTCAGGGGCTGAAGAGTTTCTGATGTCACTACGACCGAAGAGAGCATTCATTGGCAAGTCATCTAAAGGCTTCGCCAAGGAAGAGGTTCTGTTGGCATTGGACAAGGCGATCGTGGGTAAAAAGTCGGTACTGCTAATCGAAGGATTGATTCAGCTGGCAGAAACTGCTGGAGCGAACGCGGGAAATTCGAGCAGTCCATTCACAACAGACAAGAAGGGACATGCTATACCAACTCTGGACTACTTGTTCACGCAAGCCGAACACTCTCATTCAATTGATGTCTGGCGACTGTTTCTCAATCGAGTATCACAGAGATTTCTCGATGCTTCGCTAGCTGGGATGTTGAAAGATCGTCCTGATGATATTGAACGCATCAAATCTCTCCTGGAGTTTGGAGCAAATCCTGAACTCTGTCAGGATCGAATTCTGGACTTGACTGGATCAGGATCGGAGGAGTTGGTCGAAATTGTATTGCTATCACCTCTGCTCAAGAACTCCGAGTTCTTAAACCAAGGGTTGGTCAAAGCTGCTGCTAATGGCTCCCTGAGGAATACCTCTATGCTTCTTTTGAGAGGAGCAAATGGAAACTATGGGCAATCCTCTGCGTTGAAGAATTCTGTTTCGATGCAAAGATACGATTTGACACTCGCAATCGTCACCATGACGAAGAAACCAATTTCTTCAAGCAATCTCGACGACGCTACTGGAATGATAAGCTCTTGGAGTCGGGAAGCCCAAAAGCCGTTCTTGAAAGTCCTTCTCTATGCTGGAGCATCCGGCTCTCGGACGAGCAAGACTTTGGTGCCGTTCATTGCCGCGCATGATCAAGACATCACATCTATCTTGACCGAATGCCTCGCTTTTCGCCACAGTACATTTCCAGCACCTAAGCTGTTTCAATACGCCGTTGAAACTGGGAAGTTTCCACTGGCGTTGGATGTGCTACGTTCAAGCCACAATCGATCATTTTCGGACTATGCTAGCACCGGTGTGCATTTGCAGCTCGTCAGGGGATATTCCGAGGACCCAGAAGAAACTCACAAAGTCCTCTCGGAGCTACTCACATTGGGCATCTCTGGCGATTATACGTCTCAGATGCTCGTGCGCTGCTGTGCTCCCGAGCAGATAGAGGATTCGCACATCGTGACCCTGATCGATTTACTTATTACAACAGCTGGTGCAAAGGTTAACTACTCTGATGGAGCCGCCCTTATGCTCGCAATTGAAGCAGCGAGTCCCGCAATTGTTGGTACATTGGCAGGTACCAAACCTGCGAAGAAAATCCTCAACTTGGCTGTGGTACATACCAGTTCTAGCTTGGGCGATGATAATCCGGCAAAGCTGGAGATCTGGTCGACATTGCTGGATGCAGGAGCGTCAGGCCCGAGCGTTGATCAGGAACTGTTCTCTGCGATCGACAGAACACCTCAGTCTCTTAAAAAGGTCAAGGTCCTGCTTAAGGGTGCTTCTCTCGATCATTCTGAGGGCAAAGCACTTGTCAAAGCCGTACAACTGGAGAGACTCGATCTATTGGAAGCGATGCTCGCACAGAAGACACCCCAATTCCTGACCTTCGCGTCTGTATGGAAACAAACCCGAAAGCTATTCGCACTGGCTGAAAGCGGTGATGGACCTTTGCCATACAGTCTCCCCTACATGCAAAATATATACGAGGTATTCCATGCTGCAGCAAAAGGCGCTACTCCTGTCGATGACCTTCTCGTCGATGCCACCAAGTGCTCTTCGAACGAGATAGCGCTGAGTCTGACCAGACTCTTCCTACGGTGGGGAGGCTCGCCGAATGTTGCTCTAGGAGCCCCGCTACAAGCTTGCATCAAACGGTCAGATACGCAGACTTTGGCGGCGCTACTAGAAGGGGAGACATCTAAGACCTCTCTTAAGTATGGATTCGTGGAAGCTCTAGCGCTGAGACACGACGAGCGGCATGCGATGCTTGAAACAATTATTGGTGCTGGGTTGGAGAGAGCTTCTCTCGATGCTGCCCTACCGCAAGTTCTTCGAGAAGATCCTTACGATGTCCCGACTGTCCATCTGATCGTTGGAGCCGGTGCAATATTACACAGCTCTTTTGGGGAGAACTTGGTACCTCCTTCGCTGAATCTCGATCTCCCAGTTGTGGAGATGCTCCTACCGTCCATTGGTGACAAAAACAGCATTCTCTTGCCACTGAAAGCTGTTCTCAGTTCTCGAAAGGATTGGCAGAGTCCGGATGGTGAAAGTCTACCTATGGTGAAAATGCTCGTCAATCATTGCGGCAAGGGTACTTGGGCCGATGGGTCCTTCATTTCTGGAGTTAAGGCATGCAACCTGCACTTTGCATCCATCTTTGAGAAGCACTTGACATCTGACAGTGTATTCTCCGATGCCCTGCAACAGCTTCTGGTGGTCGACCATCCATCTTTTGACCGGGATAGACTTTCAATGACACAATATCTTCTGCAGAATGGAGCAAGAGGAAATGTTATCGACAAGTTCTTTTTGCATGCCGCCCGGACTTTGGAGCTCGAATGGATCACCGCTCTATACCCGTACATTTCCGACCGCTCTGTGGCTCTCTCTGCGTTTGGCCTCGTGCAGAACACTAAGGAGGCTGGTAATGCTACCAGCGGAAACAGACTCGAGATCATTCAGTTTCTTCTCAAACAAGGGCTTGACGGCCCCATGGTCGACAGTGCTTTCGTCCACGCCGCATCCACAGCCGACGTCAAGGGAATGAACGAGTACATGGCATTTGTCACTTCGACAAGTCCATTTTCACAAGCCTTAGACATACTTGCCCAGAACGGGAAGCTTCTGGTATCAAGGGAAGGCATGGCTGCTGTAGATCTTTTGATCAGCAAGGGCGCCTCTAACGTTTCTGTGGCAAATGCAGCAAAGACGGCTGCGAAGGCACATAATCTGGCCACTTCAAAACTGATAATTGGAATGACCCAAACGCACATCGTCATTCATGCCGCGTTTCAAGGCTTGATGGAACATCCGAAACCACTAAACTATGCAGAAAGTCGCAATATTCTCTTCTACCTGCTGGAAAGTGGGTTAGGTGATGAAGATACAGAAGTTGTCGCTCGTCTCGCCGGTTCTTCGTTTGACCTCGCTGTTGTGAAGGCATTATCCCCATTGGATAACTCCGAATATTTATACGATTGCGCACTTGATGCTATTCCCCTTGCGGACAACACATGGCTCTCCACCAAAGGCTTAGAGTTTGTCGATTACCTGCTTGGTAAAGGTGTTTCTCCCAGGGTGATAAACAAGCTCATCGAGGCAGCTTCGGAAGCATTGAGTCTGGCTGCACTTCATATACTTTTGCCAGCATGCGATGATATGGGCAAAGCAGTTGAGCTAAGTTTCGGTTCTGTTGTGTCTGACAACGCGAGATGGACTTCGACACAGGGATTGCATGTTGTCGACTTTCTGCTTGAATACGGGGCAAAGGGACATGCGGTTGAGCAAGCAGCAGCACACGCAGCCGAGACACTGAAACATGATGCTCTGGATGTTTTGTTGAAGAGTCCTGCGGCAGGAATAGTGATCCCAGCAGCCTTCAAAGCTCTGACCAGAAGCAAATCAGGACGGCTCTCTTCAGAACAGCTTACCATTGCGTCTACCTTGGTTAAGCAAGGGGTTTCCACTGAGAACCTTGAAATTGCTGCAATTGAATTTGCAAAAATTCTAGATATTGAAGGTCTCAAGGTGTTGTCTGGGTCACCACGTTTCCGTCAAGTGACGGACAATGTACTCCGAGCACTTTTGCTCGACGAGACTTTGTGGCGTACTCTTGAGGGGAATCGTATCATCCAATTTCTCATCGAAAAGGGAGCCTCAACCAAAATGATTGAAGCCTCGGCGTCCAAGGCAGCAGCAGCGCTCGACATAGATGCCTTGCACAATGTCCTTGGCACAGACCACCTTTTCTCCGTGGTAGAAGCCGCATTCACATCAATGACAGAGCTTGAGAAAGGTTGGCTGTGCCCAGAAGGCCTACGAATTGCAGAATACTTGCTACAAAGAGACCCTTCAGAGGGTAACATCAACAAAGCCTTCGTTCAGGCGAGCCAGTATCTCTACTTTGACGCTGTCAAGCTCCTAGAACCCTATGTATCAGATACTGCAGTCTTCAACGAGGCTCTCAATCGAGCTGTGAAAACAGACTCTAAGTGGCTTTCCCAGCTCCACCTCATTGAGCTACTTCTTGAATCAGGCGTGGAAGGCGATGCAGTTGAGCTTGCGTTGACAAAGGGTGCTCAAGCACTCCACTTGACATCTTTAGAGCTTCTAGCTCCCAAAATCGATCGTTCTGAAATATACACTAAGGCTTTTGCAGCAGCCATTGAAAATACACAAGAGTGGCGACGGTCCTTGGATGTCATTCATTTTTTGCTACAGCATGGCGCGAGTGGGGATCCGGTTCACAAAGCATACCTGTCTGCATGCGCAGCTCTCGACCTCCCCGCTGTTACACTTCTCCACCCTCACATCAGTAATTCGGATGTTCACAGCCATGCATTTCGCAGAGCAGCTTCTAACGAGGCTTGGTCTTCGCCCAATTATCTCGAGGTTCTCAAATTTCTTTACACTGAAGATATTGCCAGCGATGTCATAGGTGTCGCCTTAGTAGCTGCTGCCGAAGAACTGAATGTTGCTGCTGTGCAACTGCTTTCGCGTAATGCAGACCAGAAAGTATGTACTGAAGCATTTGCAACAGCTACTGGTAATGGGCAGCAATGGACATCGGAACAAGGGACGGAGATTGTACAGATTCTCGCCGAAAAAGGTTCTCGGGGAGATTCTGTAAATGAAGCCTTTATCAACAGCGCGAGGCTATTCCGGCTTGATCTAATTAACGTTCTAGCTCATAATGTTGACAGGGAGAACGTCTGTGTCTCTCTGGCACTTGGCGCTCTATTGTCGACTCGGGAATCTGGTGACTCATGGGTATCAAATACGGATGCACTCGAGATTCTGAATATCCTCGTGAGTATGGGAGCCAGTGGAGACTCAACAGATGGTGAGTGTATAGACGACACAAATAACGTCTTTTCGCCGTTGCCATACATCGGTTTCTATACCGCTCTCTTCTGGTTCTGTGTTCGTTCTTTTACCTAAAGGCTAACTATCTTCTCCAATATAGGCGCCCTCGTGCTGGCTGCACAGGCTGGTAACACTAGTGCCGTCAATATCCTTTCCGAAGTCGTCAACGATCCTCAGACGTTCACTGCCGCATTCAATGCTATGACCACTTCCAGCACTATATGGCTCGACAGCAGCTACTTTGATCTTGTTGGACTTCTCCTCTCGAGAGGGGCTGCTGACGAAGGTGTGCATGCTGCCCTCGTCAGTGCTCTTTTTTACGTTATAGACGGGTTAGCTTCACAGGAACTTCTTCAGCTACTTCTTTTCCATGGGGCAGATGTCGATTTTGATGATGGGAAGTCTCTTCAGGTTGCCGCTCAAAATGCAAGACAAGATCTCTTCGAAATGTTGCTTGAGAAGAACCCAGATTCTCACTCTCTTTACATGGCCTTGAAGGCGGTACTCAGCAATGGTCTAGACGAGGCAACGGTCTTGGCTTTGTTCAAATCGGTGACCGACAACAAGGCTGTACAAGCAAGGCCGAATGTTAACAACAACTCCGAACTTGGGCTTCCGTTGATCTTCTATTGCCTCAACAGTTATCCGACCTCTGCTCGTTTAGTACAAGAAATCTGTGATCTAGGCGCCGACTTGTCTGCAACCATTGTTTGGGATCTCTACGAGAACGAGTACGATGACCCGATTACTGACAGACTTACGCCCTTGCTCTTGTCTCTGGATAAGAAATGTTCTGATGAAGTGATAGGCGTGCTGCTTGGATGTGGCGGTGAGTTGAGATTGCATCTAGTTTTTGCATCTATGCTGATTCGCACTAGCGGAAATAAATTACATATCAGAGGAATCTCGAGCGACAGCATTGATGCTTGCTGCTGGCAAAGGAAGAATGTCGGTCGTGTCAACCTTGATTGATCGTGGTGCGAGTGTCCACCAAAAGGATGTCCGTGACCGAACACCCCTGTGCTATGCCTCATGCAATGGCGATATCTCAGTCATGAAATCTATTCTCAAAAAGAACCCACCTCGCAATGACGGCAGTCTTCACGAAGCCGCAAGGGAGCTCAATGCCGATGCTGTCAAACTTTTAATCAAAGCCGGTCACGATATCCACTTTCCGTCAGCAAAACACGGAGGTCGCAGTCCGCTGTGTGAACTCTGCTATGCTTGCAGAGGTTCCAAAGACTCCGTCGCCCTCCAAAGGACTCTAACCGAGCTAGCAAATGCCAACGCCCAACCGTTGAGGAAATCTCGCGGAAGAACTGCTATTTTCATGGCAATGGAAAACGCACACCCTGGTCCGGTCGTCACAGCCTTGATTGAAGGACTGCTATGGAAAGACTTGAATGATCCGCAGAATATCTACGAAGAAGGCGATCATTTTTACTCGGCCACTATGTATATCAAGAAAGGTATTATACGACAAGCGGAAAGTGTTGCCAACGATCTACTGGAAAGGCTTGTAGACTTTAGTGCTGTTGACAGATACTATGCCAAGGAACGTATGCGTCAACCAAGAGATGCCGTCGGAATGCCTCAACGAATCATGGATATGGATCACAAGAAGTGGATACGATCAAGCCGCTTGGAAGAAGAGCAGGAAGACTTCGAACGAAAATTGAGAAGGCAAGATGAAGAAATGGCAAATCGACAACTACTCAGTCAGAGACAACATCTCATGGTAATGGAACAGAGAGAAAATCTAGGACAGCAGCAATCAGCACATGTGCTCGATTCTCACCTCCTGTCTATGAAGTTGCGCGACAGAGAACATGGTATGGAGCTTCGTCACCAAGAGGAGAACTTCGATTATCGTCTCGGGGAGATGGCAGCTGCCAATCAAATGAAACTCCACATCGAAGCCGGACAATTTGCGAACAAAATCGGCATGCAAGAACAGAGTCGGACTGCAGAATTGAAGCATTATACTCAGACTCAAGATACCAAGCTAAACTACTTAGGTGAGGAACAAACTATGCGGTACAACATCTCCGAAGCGCAACAACAGCTCAGACTCGGAGGTATAGAGAAAGAGCTTGGGTATAAACGCGAACTTCAGAGCGATGAGATTGAATACCGGGAGAAGTTGAGCAACGCGGAACGTGCTGAGCTTGATCGAAAGCTCCAGTTCGCCAATCAAATGAATACTGGACGAGTACAACTCAACCGTGACCTTGGAGATATCGATTATGCGTCGAGGCAGAACAAGCTGCAAGTTGAGAACCAAAACAGACAAGCTCAACTGCAGTATCAGAAAGAAACGGACAGAGAACGAGTCGAGACCATGGACACCATGAATCAGCAAGTTTTCGCTCGGAACCAGAACGCAATCAACACGCAACGTGCTCAAGGCAAGATTGAATTAGACACACAAGCTGGATTGAGTCAGATCGAGACCGAGACGATGCAAGACAAGATCCAAATGACGCAACAAGACCGAGGCCACAAGATCGCTGCAGAGAGTCGGCTGGGGCAAGTCCAGAACCAGAACTTGTACGACCGATACCAGATCACTCAAGAAGATCGAAATAATCTCCTTGAAACCGAGACAAGAATGGGACAAATCCAGAGTCACAACCTGCAAAAGAAAGTCATCACACAATTGGACTTTATCCAGGCGACCAATCGCGAGAAACTCGGCTACCAACAAGCAACCGATCAACAACGCCTCGGCTTCCAACAGAACTACGATTACCAAAAGCTGCAAACTCTCAACTCGGAAGGACGCATTCAAAATAGCACTCTACAGGACAAGAACCAGCTTAATCTCCAGTTTCAATATCAGAGTGGGAATATGAGACTGGGGCAACAAGCACAGTCTCGGGATATAGATCTCAATTATCAGCAGAGGAGTGGGAATCTAGAGATGAGGAAACAGGGGTTCTTGCATGGTGCTAAGATGGAGGAGATGAGAGGACAGGATTACTTGAATACGAGGAGGGTACAAGGGTCGATGGTTACACAGCAGGCGCAGATTGATGCTGCCAGGGCTAAGCAGCGGGACACTCTCCAGTATAGGGCGCTAGGTGGATCGGAGGATAGTTAGTGATGGCGAACTGAGGTTTGATCACTGCACGGTGATTGGTATTTCTGGGAGTTTCTTTGGGCGCAAGCCTTGCATTGTAATTTCATGAAGGGTTGTCAATTTTCTCATTTATCGGTTGGAATATACTCGACGTCTTATGGCTCTCTATCGCCCATGAATACTGCAAGAATCTTACTACATTCTGAATCAGTTTGACCTTAATCATTGTTGGTGTAGAGTACCGACTCTAACTTGTTTTCAAAGTTCGTCTATTTTCAGGCAGTTTTGCTGTTTCTCATGCTCTTGAAAGTCCGTCTTGTCCCTGCAGCTGGTATCTAGGCTCTTTGGACTGAATCTCCGTACTTATCACGTAAATGAGAAAAACTGACATTCACCGTACAGGTAGAAATTCTGCACATGTAAAAAGAACCTGTCGGTCTTCCGCTGCTTAGTCTTCAGTTTAAAGTTTAAACATTGATGCGCTCATTGACATGTTGGCGGGTCGATTCAGCACTGGACATACGTTTGAATGTAATGAACATGTTGAAAATATGTACAGTTTGCAAAGTTGACATGCAAGTAACCTACCTAGGTAGGTAACGCTGAAGTACTTATCTAGGCCTACGTAATCTATCAATTATTGAGGCCTCATGGGCATTGCGTGGAAGCCGACCACCAGGACGAAATCCCTCAATCCAGTACTGCTTATCTTCTATTCTTATATTGTCCGGCACCATACCTATTACCATAAAGTCGGTCGGCATTGGCTGAGGATAGTAATTTACAACTTTCTTAGCTTGTAAGATATCCTCACGCAGGCTCATCAGCCAAGGATGCACGGCTGATGCAATCATTAGAACATTCGCTGCTAACCTTCATAAACTTGACTTACTGCTAACGTAGTCTTGAACTGTGACAAAGTGATTGCCTGCAGAAGGCGTAACAACCAACTTCGCTGTCTCATTAGGCGGTCTGTCCTCTCCACAGCATCGCACAAGATACGGCGTGTCTGAGTCTGACTCCCAGCCACCCTCCTCCGAAGGATAAGGCCGCTCATCATCGCTCAGATCGCCATAAGTTACATACTCGCCCTCGGGGTGCTCCTTATGCTGCTCTAGCCAGCTATTTCTCCAACTTTCGAGGTCGGAGACAGAAATCTCAATTGATGAGACCTTTGGTTCTGTGATGGGCAATCGCGCGATTTGGTGCCACGTGCCGCTGCCGCTGCCCCCGGCTTCTGGTTGGAAGTACGGTTTGAGAGAGTTCGGAGTGCGAGGAGTCGTCATGACGGAAATTGCGGCAGGAAAGACGCCGTCGAAATGCCAGAAGAGACAGTTAACGGCATCAGTGGAGTTGACAGACAATTGATTGCGCCGAAGCTCTTTGTAAGAGGGGTAGGGAGATTCGTCCGGCTGACCAGATTGCGACGTTGCCATTGTTTTATTGACAATTGCGGTCTTGAAGCTTATTGTTTTGTAGATGTGAGTACCTGATCTCAATGTAAAGCTGGGCGAATGCTCCAGCTATGGGAAAGGAAGAAGGTGGAGGTCCCAGGGCAATTCTACGCCTAACGAAGATCTCGCTACTACCCTTGTTCGGCTTTCCCAGGCTCTTTGAGTCTGAGTTCCTTGTACTCAAAATCAGTTTAGATAGCTATTTTGTTTCACCAAAAACCTCAATTCGTCTCGAAAATGAAAATACGATCGAAAAAACCGCTCACGGACAACAGCCAGGCCAGGTACTGTTCCCTACTACTCCACTTTTGAAAGTCTCGAACCTTCAAAGCTGCGGCATTCTCAACATTGTTGCCCTTCTCGACGGCGCTTTGGTGGCAATGATCTAATATGGTAGCTCTGCCCTTGGCCGGGATAGAAGAATATCCATAATCAATACTGCTCTTTAGTCAAGTTTAAATCATTTACCTCACATGTCTCACAACAGAAGTAAATTGATTTCCAATGCCGTCAACCCTTGCTAATATTTGACATGGCACAGAAAACTTAATATGGAATCTCGTTTGCTCGTGCTGCCATTCTTTTCAGGTAACGAGATGCAGTCAGATGATGTTTGCTTGCGGAACACTGTACCACTATTTACAAGAGGGTGCGGTCCTGTGATCCTGAGTGGATTGAGGGGTTGACTACGGTGTTTATTGTCAATAAATGCCAACTTTCTAAATTGTCATCAAGCTGTTTTTCGTTGTCAAGTCTTGGTTCGTGTTGGAAGTCAATCCCCTAGTTTTAACAATGAATATGCCACTGTGCTTTCAAAATTTGGTACTAAATCCTTATTACCTCTACATGTGTTCTTTAGAACGACTCAGTAACCGGCCACCAGAGGTACGTTATGTAAAAATTAGGCTCTTTTATCGTCGAATTTAACTCTAACTCGACTCCCTGATTCATTCATCGAGACGCGTGAGTGAATCTAATCAAGTCGAAACTTTTGTATACTACCAGTGAATGAAATCCAAGAGAAGGCGACCTTGGAAGTTGGATCTCTTAGAAGGGCGAAGTATAAATACACATACCTTCATGGCCGCGAAACGTGCAAATTCGCGACAAAGTCAAGAAGCGCACCAACATGGCAGCCCCGGGCCCAGGACATCAGCGCTGAGTTATCTTTTGGGCCGGTCACATGTAGCAGTGGAATTAGCAAGCGGTGGGATTGTGGTATTATCTCAAATACTTCACATGTTGTTTGTATTTAGCAACAATTTGTCCAGCGAGTGTCGCCTCTAACTTTGACAGCAGTCAGAGATTATACTCTGATAGGGGTTATTTAGTCACACTCTATCGTGCGACTCCAATAGAATAAATCAGCAGCTTACTAAGTGCAGCTTTTCTCTTTCCAAGTACTTTGCAGGATTCTCAACAGACCGCGGAAATGTAGCTACAATATACTTCCTTGATCATATATCAGCTTAGCACTTGATTCATTGACTTTCACTTAAAGAGGTGAGATGTTATGTAGCTGTAAAGTGTCTGGTTGTTGACAGACCTTCGATCTTTGTACAAGTGCTACTCATGACATAATTTATCTTCACTTTCTCCAAGCTGTAGCAGCAGGTCTCCATATCTCCAACAAAGTAGCATATGACCAGGGAGTTCCATCGTATCTCGGTGGAGAACGCTTCAAGCAACAAGTCTATATATGTAGAGTTATTTGACAAAGGCAATAGTCTTTTAATCATTTTTTCACTTTGCGTTATAGGCTCGCATCGATAAGATCAAAAGACGTAAAGTGCTTTTCTTGTAGTTTCGTAGCCATGTAACGGAAGCGCTTTCATACATGTCAACATATAGCATGATATTCTTCCAGACTGTGTGAGACAATATAAGTGGGTAAGTTTTGCACGAGTGAACGAAAATCTGAGGGATAACATAGTACAAGTAGTAGAACGACATAGATTCCTTGGCGGTACTTCTATCTCAAAGAATTTGCTTTTCTCGGGTATATTGTTATACCTTATACTAAAATCTTCATGGTAGCAATAATGTAAAAAAGAACTAACTACCCGAATTCCTACAGACACACACCAAAACAAAATTATTTTTCAAGAATTGAACATTCACCTTTCTCGCTTTCATCAACATTTTGCCGCAAAGCAATAACCCTAGACTCAGCCATTTCACTAGTTCCATTAGTCTGCGGACGTGAGCAACTGCTGCTTTAGTCTGAGCTGAGGGTATGCATACCTGAGCCGAGGGTAAGCATGCCGAAGCAGAGCCTGAGCCGTCTTTGTGCTTTGGCATCACGCTCCACAGAGGCGTCGACAAAGAACAAGTCAAAAGATAATGACTTTCCAAACACTCTTAGATTGAATCATAACTGATAAAGATATACGCAATCAGTATTTTCCGCAAACGGACTGCATGCCTTTGCACTCTGCATCATGCGACAACGATGCTCAACAAAGGACTTGGTTCTGTTTTTATTCGATACTTGAAGCTTATTATTTTCTTTGATAAGTCCTCATTCCTGAGGAATAAACATAACGTATCCCAGCTTTGGGATTTATTTTCTAGTGTCACAGTAAACTGATTACTAAAAACGCTTCATCTATTCACTACGACTGCAAGAAGTTACTATCCTCCCAGGACCATCTCCATCGGAATTCAACAATTCGATTATCTGAAACTCAAAATGGAACACCTTACTATCCAAGAGATCTCTTCGCCACCTGAATTCACATTCCCACAATCAGACGTCCGCCTCAGAATCACTTACAAGGGTGCTCCTGCATATGCTCACGTGTGCTCTCATGCCATGATACTCGCATCTGATGTATGGAAGGTCTTCTTATTTCCTCCTTGGTCGAACCAAGCAACCGCAGAGCCAGTTCAAGACCTCGACTTTACCGAAGATAATGCAGAAGCTCTACTCGTGCTACTTTGCGTTGTGCATTTGAGATTCGGGGACATCATGTACGACAGCCCACCAAAACAAGTTCTCATCGATCTTGCCTTTCTTTGCGACCAATATTTCTGCCACCATCTGATTCGGCCCTGGGCCGGAAATTGGATTGATCGACAGTTCGGATTTGATATTGCTGAAAATAGCGGTTGGTTCGGTGGAAGAAGCGCTGCTGACTTGCTCCCAATAATCATGGTAGCATAACTATTTCGTCCAGCATCGAAGCCCGACTACTTTGAAAAGGGCGTGTATTGGCTATTTAACGAGAATCGTGTATACAACCTTCCAGAATTCCATCGCGACTGGCCCTTACCAAAGGGTCTAATGAGTACGTACCTTCCTGTGTTCCATACATGTCGTTGACTAAATATATCAGGGACTATTATGATTGCCCGTAATGAGGCGATCGATGCTCTTCTCGCAGTGATACACGAATATCAGGCAGATCTTGACGAGCGAGAGGCCATATGTTCTAAGCATCATCAAAAGTGCAAGAGGTTCAGTAAGAGCGGTCTTTACCACCAAAAGACTGCGGCTGACTCGATATCCGTGGCACAAATCACACGTACCAAATTCAACGTCGCGAGGCAATACCACGGAGAAGTCATACGTGACAGAGAGTTACGGTTGCATGACGAAGTGAAGGAAAAGATCAATACCATCCGGAATGACCATTGGAAGACGCCTTGGGAGACAGTAAAACCCCTAGCAAGACCGGATGTTCGAAAAGGAGACAATCGACTTCGCATCGAAAACATCACGGGTGAATGGCGGAAGGGCGACCCGAGTAACGCGAAGCACTTTACAGGAGCAACGGCTCGTTATAGAACGACTTAAAGTCGATAAAATACTCGTTATTGTAACCGATTATTACTAAGTGAAACTCGTCATTTTAATCCAACTTACACTGTAGGCAAAGCACTAAGTATATTTTTCAGAAAGTATTTTTAAGCTTTTTGGGAACCTTTTCGGCGCTCTTGGAGCATTGTTGTTAAAACTTGACAAAAAGTGAATAGAGATTAGATTAAGTGTGATTGATTAAAAAACGAGAAATCGAAACGCGTGACGATGTGGTAAATCTTGCTTAGTTGAGTCGCTCAGGGTGCTCAGATTACTCAGGCGAGTCGACTAAGCGGAGGGTGATACCGCCTAAGTAAGAGCGGTAAACTTACTACTCTAACCGCGTGGGAAGTAGAAAAGAGAGAAAATTTATCGACAATACCAAATAATTGACAACAACAGAAGACTTGACAGAGAAATCAGCATGTCCTCCAAGACAATTAGATCGACACTTATTGCAGTGCCTCAAGCACTATCGATATTAAGCTAACTTATTACGCAGACGTCCACATGACAGATATTGTTGTTGAGACATTGTGATTTGAGTTGCTTTCCAAGAAGCGTTAGATACTTAGATCGTGTTTATATAGACCTAGGTAGAACAACAAACGAGCCGTGCAGTTTACAGTGAATCGATATGCTGACTCATGGAAAAGCTTTGCACAGTATTGGGGAGGGGGTGAATACTAATTTGCTTCAAGGAACGTGGAGCTTGAAAATCTGGCTGGCAAATCCAAGTATAAAAGAACAGAATTTTTTCTTTCAGATCTCTCAACAATCAATGGAATTTACCACATGCGCTTCGCAGGGGGTCCCTGGTGGACGTATAAGATTTCATGATCAGTGCTGACATGGTCTCCGGGACACTGTGAGACTGTGACAAGATGGGAGAGGTTTTACTGTTTTCGAGCAATGACAGACGAAAGAGATCGCCAAGTTGAAATCCACTGTCAACACGCAGAGATACAACAAGTGCTACTAGCTTCAGCATCTTGATTAGTTGAAATCCCACCTACGGCCAAGATAACTCTTAATTTCGTCCCGTTTCATCCATAGTTAGGTTGAAAGTACGTTGACAACAAAAGCAATTCCACTTTCATTGATAGCAGAAATAATCCGACAATTCATTCCCCCAAAAACAAAGAGTGGCAGAAGGCTTGAGACACTATCCAAAAAGGTCAAGGGATTCGTGGTTCAATTGCTGGACCAGGTCCCCCCATGTTCCGTGACCCTGAGCGTTTGTTTGTTTGATTGATTTGAATCGGCCGCTCCGTCCGCTTTTTTATACTTCTTGGATGTGGCCTGAAGAAAGGATCCTTCTGTTGCACGCACTAAGTGAATAAGAACTCTAGAAAAGTTGGTAGTTTTTCAGCTCGAGGTGAATGCAATACTATCCCTGCTGGCCCAGCAAATTCACTCTGTCTCCCTCTCTTTTGACTCATGACTGAATGCCGCCTTGGAGGCTTGGAGTATAAAATCTCTCAACACTCCAGACTTGGAAAACATCTTCCACATCCTGAAGAAAGTCTACTGTGATCAAGGTAGTAACACGGATCACTCTAAAACTTTCTATATTGAGTGTATATATTACTGACCCTGCTGTCTCTAGTGAGTGCACCAAGAAGAAAATCACCTTTTAGTTTTCAGTCATTCTAAGACAGTGTTGACAACGAATTTTTGGTTAACAACAAATTCTCTCTTTTTGGTCACAGCGACCAAAACTGCGTACAAGAGACCAAGAAGACTAGTTCAAAGGAAAGACACTCACGTCCAGGGGCCGGCACGAGGGGCAAGCTGGCTTTAGCGGCCGTGACTCGGGGAATGGTTTGGCCGGACACAAGAGAGAGGAGACATCCTTATATACCCATCCGCCTTGTGGCCTTGCTCCCTTTCCTGCTACGCGGATGGATTCACTTGAACCGCGTTCTTGACGCAACGAATCTGGACGCAGAATAAATTGAGTAGAAAAGTATATAACGCAAGCGAAAACACCTTTCCAAAACATAAACAATCGTCAACAAGCAGACCAAGCAAACTATTGGGTTGCCCGTCTGCGATCCGTGGAGGCCCGGGACACACCCTCCGTTGCAACTTTACCACCCCTTTCACACACCACTTAACCTCTGCAGCAAACAAAAGTCTTCCGCGAAATTACTACTTATCGCTGTCAAAACTCCTTCTGGTTTCAATTATATGTAAAAGGCACGAGGAACTTTCCCCGTCTCCAAACCAACCCAAGAAAAACAGCACCCGAACCACAACGTCGGGCCTCAACACCAACCTCCAATCCTCACATGGATGTACGCGCAGATATGTTGTGGCTATAGCGCAACTAATTGAGGAGCACGAAAAGGGCGTTTATATAGACACTAGCGCCACCCTAGTACTCTTAACCTTACTAATTCTAGATTTTGGAGATTCACTTGCATCCCAAAATCACTTCTCTTCCTAGCTGCTGTACATCCATCCCTCTCAATCTCCCAAATCCAATCCGCACAAACACCAACCCCAAACACCCAAACCTGGTCCAACATCCCAACTCTTCAATTCTCCATCTCCTTTCAAACAATCTCCAGCGAGAGAACAATCTCCACCAAACCAAGGAACAACATCAGCACGGGTCGGCCGACCCGATATCCGAATCTAGTAATCCAACGCTGCGAGCAAGCAAGCCACGGAATCCTTCCTTCTCTGGCTCTTATTTTATTTCCCCACTCACTGCAGATTTCCGGTTCGATGATTCCAACAGCGTGGAAATATGAATGAGTGAGATGCTGGATGTGGGCTGGCTGGCTGAGGGGAGATACATGTTGGGATGAGGTAAGACGAAGTGGTTATGGTTGGTGTTGTTGGTACGAGGCGTTGGATTTGGGGAGCTGGGTGGGGTAAGCACTTGTGTTTTTGGTGGAGTTGAAGTGGTTTTGGACATGCGAGATAGAAGATCCAGAGAGGGCAAAGAATTCAGACGCGATTGAGGGACGGAGAGACACAGAGTACAAGGCAGAATGTAACGGGTATCATTCTATCGACGATTTTGATCAAACTAAGTACCAATTGTCCATCCACCATTTCATACACATACATCCCCATCCTATTCCCAGATCCGCAGAACGCCCGCAATGCAACGCTAAGATTCAGACTTCTCTTCCATCTGCATCTTGACCCCCTTATCATCCATAGACATTAAAGAAAGTAACCTCTCCTCCCCTAGCTTAAATACCAGCATGGCTATAAGGCTCATAAGCGCCTCCTCTCTCAGCCTTTACATTATGCGCTGGCGTAGCATATTGTTGAGCATTGTAGATTCCGCTCTGTTGTCCACCGTGATATCCAGTCTCTTCAACACGCTGGTACGCACCGGACGGGATAAGCTTCTCCGCATCCTCGCCGTTCCTGCTGCGGCGGGATTTCTTGCTGTGGTGATCGGCCGCGCAGCAACAGATGGTGAACATCCAGAAGAAGCCGCTGGCGATGCTGAACACGACTGCCAACCAAGTTGTAGCGAGGAAGGAAGTGTTGATGGAAGACTTAGCGCCGTAGGCTTTGGCGACGGAATCGATGGCACCCGTCACGATGGAGGCTTCGACGGTGGCCATGATTGAGGCGGCAATGACGGTGGTGGTTGATAGGCCGGAGATCAGGAATGTGATGCAAGAGCCGGCGCGGGAGCAGAAGGCGAAGAGGGAGAGGACGATTTCGATCGCGCAGGTGATGGCTGCGATGATGTAGACTACTTCGGTCCATTTGGAGAAGATGGTGAAGGTGTGGAGGGCGCTCGTTAGAGACTTGGGGAGAGTGACGGTTGTGCCTGTGGTGGAGCTTGCGAGGTTCGTGATGGTGGTTGTGTTCAGTGCCGTAGCTGCCCAGTTGAACTTCGCAGAGGTGCAGTTTGTCTTGCTTCCAGTGACAGCGCAGTAGTTCCAGAGGGAAACCTTGTAGGAGTCTGCGAGACCGAGATCAGCGGCCGTGATGTTGACGGATGTCGATGCGGTTGCGGCTGCGTTGCCCAGAGCGGCGATGGTGAGGGCTGAGAAATGATCTTCTCTCTTGACGAGGTTTTCGAGATTCTGGAGATCGGAGGACGAGATAGACAGGTTCTGGGTCTTGACTTCGAAGAGATCGAGGCTCTTGTTCGAGATTCCTGCGAGCATTGCGATCATGATGCAGACCAGGCTGGCGAGGGTCAAGCCAAACGGCAAGCCGACGCAAACAAATCTTCCGAAACCCATGTTGACGGTATTATTAACGATTGGAAGTGTTCGAATCGAACAAAGGTGTTGACAATCTGGCGATGTCGAGGTAGAGAAATTCAGAGGTTGAGGGTGAACGGTGATGTTGTATGATGTAGGATTTTTTTGGTCAGGAGGCGTGGAGTTTCGTGTTTATATGAAGGAGGAAGTTTGCTTGGTGGTGGTGCAGGGCGCAGCGCAGCCTCTCGTAATGGCCGGCCGCTGAGCGGGACTCGAAGGCTCAGGGTCACAGGGGTGTGGCTGAGTATGACGACCTCCGAAGGCTATCCTGGAGTGAGAATTCTATTCTTTTGGGGAATATTTCAGGAGAAGAGCACACACAATTCTACGAACATGTCACTTCACTTATATGCGCATCAATTGTTGTTTTGCTCTCCATTAATTCTTGATTGCTGTGGGAACATTCGTTGTCACGAACAACATGATTGTCAGTCCCCTTGAAGATCTCCATATTCAAAACAACGCGGTCCGCCTGAATGGGCCAGGACCCTTTTCGCTAAATCACCTAATGCGGTTAATGGTTTCTCGCCTTCTTGTACCTGAACGACCTTGCCATCTATTTTTGTCGTCGCCAGCGTGGCGGATGAGCCGACGTACTCCACTTCTGAAGACAAATCCAGCCACCTGACTCGCCGGATTGCGAACTCTAAGGTTGACTCCACGTCAGCAAAAGAGGGCTGTTATCGTCGAGAGCATTTGTGGGAGGCTGGATGGAAGAGGATGGCTAGATCGACTTGAGGCTTTGAATAGGAGACGCATAACTAGATTCGTACCTGGTGGGGTCGCAAACGTTTCACATTCTGCGAGATCTTGTCGGCCGACGAATCCCAGGGGAGAGATCTGAATGCCCAAATGCAGGTTAGCCTTCACGTGTGTATTTCCCCACGCATAGGGGTCAGAGCTTGATGCGGCATTTTGAGTGATGACGCTCGTATTGTAATGTGACTTTAAGCTTTGCAGGTATCATCCAAGCGCCTGGCATCTGAATGAGATATGGAACCCTTGTTTGGGGCGAAAACTTACAGTTCTTTCGAAGTCATGTGGTTGAGAATCTGCTGTGACCGCGCTACCGTTCCAGAAGAAATCCTGATATATAGACTGCCCCTAATCTTTCTCTTCTTCTGGTTTTGGAACGGTTCTCGAAGCATTTCGCCACCAATTTGCCATTGAATCAATCAATCGAGTAGTCGTCTCTACTCCGCCAATTATTGTCTTTGCCTGGAAGCCTCGACCGAAGTATTGCCCCAGATGCCGTAGTCAACGAATTGGATGCGAGGACGGACATTAGTGAGAAAGCTGTCGAAAATCTTGATAGATCGCTTTTTGCTTGAATTTCTACCACGGGCTCCCATTCGACTTCCCTGAAGGGCGACTTTTCGGTGAGACAGGTCAGGGGAATTGTTAGCCTCTATGAACCGTTACTCCATCTCAGATCCATGGTAGGCACTAGCAGAAGCCAAAGCCATGGCACTTTGCCTACTCTAGATACGAAATATATGAAGGATAGTCATTGAAGTTTTCAATTGTCGAGTTTCTCTGCGGCTAGACATATGACCGGAGAAATGTCTGGCATGCTGTGAGCACTTAGGATGAGCCTGAGGAGATATTCCAAGAAACACGAGGATCTGCCATTAGTTCTTCCCCTCTCGCAACGAGATCCAACTGTCATTCTCCACAAGCAATGATGAATTCTGGGGTGGTTGCTGGTGGGCAGGCACATGTGCGACTTGCCCACATTCAAAGTCTTGAATGTCTGAAAATAACATGGAACAATTGAACATTGATCTCTTCCCAAGGAATCATTCTGAGATGTATTCCTTGAAGGACTACAATCCAGAATGTCCATCGTTTCTTCTCCTTCCTAGCCATGTTCTGTGCTTTGGGATATTTTAGGTTAGCAGATTAAGAGATTTTGGCTCATGGCTCCGGCGTTCGTCTGCATGACCCTCCTCATTCCTAGCTATGTCACTCAGCAGACTGCTTTACTATCTTGCAAGTCTGATGCCCCCATACTGCTGCTTAATGGGCAAATAGCTGGCCAGCTTGTATCAATCCATATTGATTCGAACATACTGAATATTCCAGACAATTTAAGGTGCCTAATGTGCGGGGGTTGAAAGGAGTTTTGGGGCAGAGAGATGCGATCGGAATGTGCGTTCCATGGAGCCCACAATCTTATTGATGGTAGAGAGCATAATCAGATTTAAAAGAAGAAGTAGTCGACCAAGAAGATAATCTAGCTCTTCAGTCACGAATTATGTTGACATTGTGGTGACGTAGATCCCGTGAGAGGTGATGCACTTCATCCATTTTCGACATAAGTCCGAACATTCAGACACGAAATAAGATCTAACCACAATTGTACAGGGTTTGTTTACAACACTTGTTGTTGAGTCAAGTTGCAAAGATTGATCGTTTGTAAAAAGAAATCATACGAGGTTGAGAATTCCAGGAAAACATATGGCCCCTGTCTCTATGACTACGCCAAGGCTAGCCCACACAAGGAGAAGGCCAGGCAGCTAAACTGACTTTCTGCCCAAGCAACGAAAGCAAAGAAACCATCGTCAACTTTCAGCCTCGACTCGCTGATCATCCCAACCCCTGAGTATTGATCCGACTTGGATTCACCATCAACGAGTGCGTCAATCCAGCTGGCGAATTCTCCGTTTTCTGCCTCAAGTGTTCAGCCTCTTCTGCCCCCGTGCGACAAGGTCTCTCTTCTGACGACACGACCCCCACAATTCCCTTTACGACGTCCAGCCTTACGCAAGACCACCGCCGGTATCGTGGAACATTGTCGTCGACCACTTGAACGGTGCGCGGTTAGCAGAATTACCTCATTGGTATGTGATTCCCTCGTTCTTGAACTCCTCTTCCCTCCGCCTCCAGCTTCGTTGTCTTTTCTTCCCACCTGACCTCGATGCATGGACACTTTCCTATTCTAGCCTACTCGGCGAGACTTCCTTCCTCGAGACCCAAGAAGAACTCTGATCATTCTGCGTGCTCTATGCGAACAATCGCAACTCGTTCTAGATCTCTATTCTGCACATGTGCTTACAAAAGTTGTGACTCAGGATTCGACGTACCGACATAGATTCACAATCCCTGCGAACTCTCCGAACGACGATTCCGATAAACACATCCCTTCCGACGACGACTCTACTCTTGATTCGATCGCAGACTCAAAAATCACCTTCAATTGAGAAGACGGACTTTCGAACTACAAACGGGGATATACATCTAGACAGACCAAATTCCATCGGCCCCGAGTAGCCTATCTCCGAGTATTCTGTTCGTGTCTTTGACCTCCCCTCTGGGGTACGGACATACAAGACTACATATTCAGCTGAGTTAGAAGCGTTCATACCATCCAAGAAGCCAGCTTTTCGAACACCACGATTGAGCAAACCACATCGAAACGCGGCTTGTGAATATGGGAAACCAACCCTCCAAGGGCTCTGGAGCGAACTCACCGAAAGGTGGTGCGTCCCAGGCGTCATTGGGCGACAACCTTCAATCATATCCTTCATTCAGTAAAGCAGATACCAAGGAATCGACGCGATCATTCCGTTCGTCTTTGGGCTCCAAGATTCGAGGCAAGACGGACAGCCCGCGCAATTCTACATCAGCCTTGAGCAATGGCGAAACGATCGTGGATAGATCAGATGTTGCCTCGGTGAAATCTGGAAAGAGTTCGCGCTCAGCACGTCGTCCAGATGCAGAAGATTCCCCGATTTCAGCCCCTACGTCACCTGGAGCAGAGTCCCCAGATGGCGGTGCGACTTTGGATGATCCGGAGCCTCCTCCATCCCCAATTCAGTCGGCATCCATGAAAGCAGGGCATCATGATGTGGATGCTGCACAGCGAAGTGGAGAGGTCGATCACGTCTCTGATCAACCTCCTTCGGGCGGAACGAACCCACACACGCATCTCCAAGCGGCTGGAGCCTCGATCTTGGTAAAGAGGGCGAACACGATCAATCCAATTACGCAGGATCCTGTCGAGACTTCAACACCAGATCAAGATGGGGCACCAGGGTCTTCCGTGGCAATGGGAGACTTGAAGGATTCGGACATCGATGACTATATCAAGAGACTCTTGGACGCAGGATATGCTGGAAAGAGCACAAAGGGGGTTGTTCTTAGAAATGCAGAGATTACCTCGATCTGCTCCCGAGTCAGAGAGATTCTGCTGGAACAGCCACCATTGATTGAGTTGGAGGCCCCTGTGAAGATTGTGGGCGATATTCATGGGCAATACTCCGACCTTATCCGCATGTTCGAGATGTGCGGCTTTCCCCCATCATCGAACTTCCTGTTTCTGGGCGATTATGTCGATCGAGGCAAGCATTCGTTGGAAACGATACTGCTTCTCATGTGCTACAAGATCAAGTATCCGGAGAACTTTTTCTTGCTACGGGGAAACCACGAATGTGCGAATGTTACAAGAGTGTATGGGTTTTATGATGAGTGTAAACGAAGGTGCAACGTGAAGATCTGGAAGACATTTGTAGATACATTCAATTGCGTAAGTATCCCAATCCCTTAGGTTTGAAGGCCTGGCTAATGAATGACATAGCTCCCAATCGCTGCAATCGTTGCAGGAAAGATCTTTTGTGTCCACGGCGGACTCTCCCCGGCTCTCAGTCATATGGACGACATTCGAAATATTGCCCGACCTACCGATGTGCCTGATTATGGCTTGCTGAACGATTTACTGTGGTCTGATCCCGCAGATCAAGAAAAGGACTGGGAAACCAGCGAAAGAGGTGTCAGTTACTCTTTCGGAAAGAAGGTCATAACAGATTTCCTCTCCCGACACGACTTCGATTTGGTCTGCAGAGCACACATGGTTGTTGAAGATGGGTACGAGTTCTTTGAGGACCGAATCTTGGTGACCGTGTTTTCTGCACCGAACTACTGTGGAGAATTCGACAACTATGGGGCGGTGATGAGCGTTTCTACCGAATTGCTCTGCAGTTTTGAGCTACTGAAACCTTTGGACTCGAGTGCTCTGAAGAGCCAGATGAAGAAGAGCAGGAATAAGCGCAACAGTATGCTGAACAGTCCGCCACCTTCTGGTTTCATCCCACAGAGCGTTTAGAAGATCGAACGGGAGCATCACAATCACAACTATTTTATGGGACATCTGTATCGATCATACGGATCCAAATATCTGGTACATCTAGAAAGGCTTATGGTAATGTGCGTTTGGCATAAGATGATGAAACGGTATCGCATTAGTCACGGAGACTAGGCTATCAACGAGTTTTGCTTCAACGAATACCACGACGAGGGCTTCGGACAATGAGGGTAGCACGGCAACAACTTGGCTCAGGCCGTCCTCTCCTTTCTTCATCGCGATACATGGTCATTTGGGAGGATACTGGCGTTTCTACATTGAGCATATCCCTTTTTGAGGTCTGGGCTCTGAGTGGGGGGTTTGGTGGGGGTTTCCATGCACTGGGTTGGCGAAATGCCATATTTCTGTCAAGATGGGCATTGCATGAGATGATGAGACGAAAGATGGGGAGGATGGTGGTGAGACGTGTGTCTTATATCTGTATTTGTATTGCTAGCGATGAATTGGGTGCTGGGATCAGATGGCTTTAGTCCATAGGGATGAAATATGAATGCAATGGATTCGATTGAAGTTAATGCTTGCTATCAAGTACTTGAATTCTCTTTGTTCTTGCCGGTCGTGAATTGTGACTTGACTTCCAATTTTATATGATGTCCTTGTTAAGGAGAGTATTTTTGAGGTTTCATTGTACTTGCTGTGATTTCGGACTTTGAACCCTTAACTGTACCAGAAGTTCACGATACTTTGGAGTGTCCATTGTCCGTGCTGAATTGGGATTTCGAACGTTCAAATTTACCAGTGAATCACAGTACTTTGAGTTTTCATTATCCGTGCTGCGAATTAGGACTTGGAATCCCTCGATTGTACTATGCACTATCTAGTATTTTAAATTTTCTTTGTACTTGTCATGAATTGGGACATTGATTTCGGGATCTTAGTTTCTTTGTTCTATAGTACCCCACATTCAATCATCATGACAGACATTCAGCTACACTAAAGTCCGATTCCACTCAGAACTCCCCTGTGTTGACTTTCTAAAATCACTAACTCGTATCAGAAACTATATCAACTTGAAGTAGGTAGGTAGGTAACTTGGTAGGCAGTTGCTACTCCGAGAATCAACCGATCGCTTCTCGAACCGATTGGCCGATCGTCTCTATACTCGTATCGACGGGCCGTAGCCGCTTTTGATCTGCGCCTTCCTTTTTTCCAGGCAAAAATAAACCTTCAACTCTTGTCTACTTAAACCACAACTTTACACTTCCTCCTTACAACAACAATAACAACAGCATCCAAACCAAAGAAAGACAATAGAAACTCAAGATGCCAGTCTCCAAGAAGATGAAGGTTCGTCCGCCGGATACCAAGCCCTGCCCATCCTTACAGCAAAACGAAGGCAAAGATGCTGATATGGTGATAACTACAGGTCCAGCGCGAACATCGCAAAGCTGAGGCAGCTGGTACTAGGGCTCCGGTCAAGGCGAATGGGTTGCCGGTCAAGGCGCCTAAGCCTACTAGTCTTGTGGGTTTACTTCTTTTCTTTTCGGTGGTGTTTGATGTGTTCCTTTGAGTATATTGAGGGGACTAGGGGCGGGGTAGTGGGAGAATAAAGGGAGGAGCTGTTGGAGATGAGGTTGTGGTGTGGGTGAGAGGGAGGGAAATGCGATAAGCGGACGAATCTGCCACACGAGCGATACGACCAAGAGAGGATGCAAAGGACGAATTACTTTCCTGGCGAGTCTGCCGGGTTATAAGGGAGAGGGACTACCGGAGAATAGGGGAAATGAAGGGGAATCTGCAAAGCCAAGATGTGGACCGAGAGGGAAGAAGGGGTGCTAAGAAAGACTATTTCGGTACTCCAGCGAGTTTGCCCGATTTTGTCGATCACAATGTTGACTTTGAAGTCACAGAGCAGGAGACCGATGGCCTGAAACTCCATTTGAGAGCAATGTGCTACTCGAGCGAGTCTGCCAAACCTCTACCGGCCCCCACTCCCATCTGGAGAGAACACGAGAAGAGAAGAAATTTGAGGTGGACTGGCTGATATTCATGTCGCGCATCTAGTGCGCCAACTGCAAGAAGGAAATCGTCAACACCAACCTGAAGCAACTCGAAGTCCACGCCGAAACCCACGACCAAAAAGTCTGGACCAAGGAGAAGTGCTGGCCTGATATCTTCAAGGGCGAAACTGCTGCTGCTACTTAAGCGAGAACGAGCGAGGGATAGATAGATGGGATAAATTGCATGGCCTTAGAGGTTGAGAAGGGGAGGATGGGTGGCTTGCATAACAATCTTGCCTTTTGTTCATGGCGTTGCGAGGCGCTTGGAGATGGGAGGGATAGTAATGGAATCGATGGGTGATGATTGATGAATAGACAATTTTTCGAGGCTTGCTGGTGCAGTGTGCAAGCAAGTGAAGATTTGTTGGTGCTGAAGTCGGTAGGGGTGAGACAATCTTGAAGTATCAATGATTTGATTTTGTTTCCCTTTGCCTGTTTTCTGTTGAAGAGCGCAACTTTGCCATTCTTCGAGCGCGCCTTGTCTTTTTGTACATCAAGTGATGTTTCCAGCAAACAGAAGACTTGGAAGCTGCTACGATAGCGAATTCTTACGCGCTGGGGCGAACGCGGAGCCTCCAATTGTCAATGTACAGCAGGATCAAAATGCTTTTTCCAAACAGCAAGCTCCATTGTTTCTACAAGCCTTCTTTCGAAAGCATATGTATTTCTTAGGCATATATCAAGGCTATGATACCCCTACTTAGGTTGGTAATCTTCCTCACTCATTTGTACTTTATTTTAGACTACTGTCTTCGTTATATATCAGCGTGTCCGCAGACTGTCAATAGGCGTTGAGGAATTGAGCCTTGCCGGAAGAACTTCGGGAATCATGCTAGACAAGTGTAGGGACAAAACATCTGTGCCGGGCGGCCGCTCCCCGCTATTCCGTTGTCTAAGTGTCTGTTTAGCTTTTTAACTCGATCTAGACTACCCAGGGTCTTCGGAGATCTCAACTCGACGGATGGACATGTGACTTGACTATGGGCTTTATTCAAGACTATTCCTAAGAACAGAGCATCATACGCGTCGATAGATCCTCAACTCGAGCAGCTACAACAGCGCGTCAGCCATCTTGTTCAGATCTCTATTTGTGTGCCGCTGTCGTTCCTCAGCTTTGTCTTTTGAAGAGAGGTCCAGAGTCTCGCAAACCCCATCTCTATCACGTTCTTCTGGCGGCTTGCTTTCGATACCAAATCACAATCCCACGCCCGCTTCCTCCTCGCACACTACCAACTTTCAACTCCGTGGCCAACCTTCTTCAACCACAGCAGTCTCTTCGACCATTGCATCACAATGCCTCCGCTTCGAACGCCGTCTGGAATGATAGTCGAAGATACGGACGTTACACCTGCTGAGTAAGTTTCCTTCATTTCCCACCAGAGGCTGTAGCTAACTCCTACCCAAGTATGGTTGCATTCTCAATATCCCAACGGATCCGTGACTCTGAGCCTGGAGAGCTGATGGCTCCAGACCCACGAGAACTCAGGAGCCAACTTCGAGATACCCAAAAAGAACTCGAATTCGCCAAGAAGAGGGAGGACATCATGAGGTCTGTGATTACAGTATTGGAGGCGCGGAGTGGGAGCGATCCTTCTCTGGATGTAAGATCCCTCCAAATACAACTGGAAAGGGCCAACGACAAGCTGGAGAATTTGGCAGCGACAAGTTCGAGTCGAATCTCAGAGTTAGAGTTGCAAATCAGCAATACTCCCTCGATAGGACTCAACAATGATCTCACAGAGCAACTTGAAGTCACCCGTCTTGAGCTCGCTGCTAAGAAAGCAAGCATATCGGACTTGGAAGAGCGAGCTGATATGTCTGACAACACGATCGAGACATTACGTTCAACACAGTCGGCATTGGAGGAACAGTTCAGGTGTTCAAGACTCGAGATAGAGACCCTGACGGAGATCAATGCCAGCCTTGTCAAGTCAACTGCAGAAGACAAGAAGGATCATAAGAAGGCTGAACAGAAGCACAACAAAGCAATGCTCTCTATCAAAAGAGAGTACACGAAGAACATCGACAGAATCACAGAAGAGCACTCCAGCGAAATCTCCAAACTCACACAAGATGCTGTGAATCTTCGACAACTGTCAGATACTGCGCATACCAAGTTGATTGAGGTGGAAGAACGCCTTCGTGCGAAGGAAACTCACAATCTCGCTCTGACTGAGCAAATCCACGATGTCCACGCAAAAGCTGCAGAAGCAATGAAGCAAAAGTCTGGCAATTACATCCGACAATTGAAAGAGCAGTTGGCAACCAAGACCGCTACAGAAATCGAGACAGCAGGGAAGATTTCGACGCTCAACGCACAATTGGAGAAGTCGATGAAGAAGAATCAAAAGCACGACGAACAAGTGCAAATTGCTGGTGACAAGTACCGGACTATGAAGAAGGATCTCATAGCTGTGAAGGAGGAGAACAGGATGATCCAAGAGGGCTTGGACACCAGCGACAAGATGTGTCAGGCCCAGAAGCAGGACAATATAGCGCTGCAAGACAAGATCAAGACGCTGGAAGATCAATTGGCGGAGCATCACCAAGTCACCCTCACACTACGAGCCAACGAGGCAATGTCCAAGGATCGGACCGAGAAGGCTGTAGCAGCAGCAGTCAGCGACAAAGATGCCCTGATTGCCGACCTACAAAAGAAGGTCGACTCATTGTCCGACGAAGTTGTTGCTCGGAATCTACGGATCGAAGAACTGGAGGCTCGTAATGTCGGGTACAATGCCGCTGATGCTGCAACTCGAAACACGAACGCTGAATTAGCGAATTCCTTTGTGGCAAGTGCGCAAGAGAAGATCCGGGCATTGGAGCAGTTGATGAAGAACCTCAGCGTCGTACTTCCGAGTACTGGAAGTGCGGAACCAAAGCCTACTGGGGAGAAGTCTTGAGTGGTGGAAAGAGTGTGTTTGTAGCAGGTGTTGTAAGACAGAGATAATGAACGGAATCAAGCCAATAATCAGAACGTACTATTACCTTGCCTGTTGTGATTGATACCTCCAGTGAACTTCGTACAACATGCCAGACTACAAAAAATAAGACTATCTTAAAGATTGCAACTCTAGGCAACTTGTTGCAGACAACAAGACTGAAAGTCAAGTTCCCAATGACTAAGATATCGGAGGACACTCACGTATGATCTACCCCTGAAAGTTCCCAGCACGTGAGGTCCCGAGGTCTACCGGCGCTTCCTTCTTGCTCCGCAGACCTTCACTGTTTGTATTAATACCCTCAAGCAGTCGAGTTCAATCCGTTCATTATGTGCTGTATCTATTCGACCCCAATTGACGAACATTCAGTTTAATAATGCATTATATATAATAATGTTAGGGATAATCGAGATTTGACTTCTTGTCACCATAAGTGCTGTCCAGAGAAAGGCCATTTTGGCAGAGAAGGCTTCAATGTGGGACCACAGTAAGTGATTGCAATTCAAACTGCCTTGTTGGAATTGTAGACACGGCTGTAATAATAATTCTGCGAAGACGTGTCATTTCAAGTGACGCACGTTGATTCGTGGGATTTAGCCTGAAGCTTCATATATCTCCTTCATAGCGCGAAACAAGAAACAAGCTTCATCAAAGGAGCAGATCAAGTCTGCATTTCAACATTCTTGTCGACAATGAAAGACTTGAAGCTTCGATGTCCGCAGTATGGCATCTAGATATAGATTTGCTGCGAGGGTGTTTTGCTTAGTTGCCATCACGTGCTTGCTGTATGGATTCTATCATGGAACCATTTGGGCCTTCTCGAGAGGTGCACCTTCCAAAGAAGTGCTTAACTCTCTTAATTTGAGTGAGGATGAGTGTCGGGCTACATTTCCGTATTTGATGAAGGAGATTGACGATGCGGTGTCTCGAGGTCCGTTCAAGTTGGATAAGGAGCCGGATGATTATCAAGGGCTCGTACAAGCAAGAATCAAAAATGGGAAGGTACATTACTGCAGTCTACTATTTGCTGAAACGTTTGTTAATTCGAATTAGCTTTATATCATCTCTGCTGGAAGTCGACTTTCCAGGGATATGCTCTATGTACAAGTCCATGCTATGATTCAAAAGCTCTTCACTGATTACTGTTCAGGAGCGAGAGGCTATCCTTCACCAGATATATCGAGCTCTTATCACTTCTCCAGAACCGATCCCGGATACAATTTTTACATTTTCCATCCTAGATACTGTTCGGGAAAATGTATGGTGTTTTGCTCGTAGCAATGATCCAAAAATCCAAGGCAGCTATTGGGTCATGCCACATTTCAGCTTCTGGTCTTGGCCAAAATCGTTTATTGGTACAGTTGACGAAGCTCTGGCCAAGACAGATGTCATAGAGCGCGATATTCCGTGGTCAAAGAAAATTGATAAAGTGGTTTGGAGGGGTACCGCATGGTTCAACTCTATTGGCAACAATGCTTTACGACCAAATTTGATAGCTGCTACGAAAGGAAAAGATTGGGCTGACGTTCAAATCTTGGAATGGGGCACGAATGCAGATTCGGCAAAGAATGCTCTCAATATCGAAGACTTTTGCAAGTACAAATACATTATATACACTGAAGTAAGTCTTAAGTCACAATATGAGTTTGGAGATTGATGGGGGCAGGGCATCACATATTCGGGTCGTCTACCATATCATCAAGCTTGTGCATCCATCATCATTACTCCTCCACCTAGTTACCTCATGCATAACACCCATCTCATGCGACCTCTCTTCTCGTCTTCCCTGTCACTCTCGCCAGGTTCCAAGACCAACAAGCAGCCAAACACAGATGCACGGTGGCTAAAGTCATATAAAGCATCCCAAGCCAACGTCGTTTTCGTGGATCCAGAATGGAAAGATCTCGAGCAGACTGTAATGTGGCTGAGAGCCCATCCGGATGTAGCAGAAGGTATCGCGAATCGACAGAGGAAAATGATAGCGGAGGCGGGATACCTGTCTCCGGCTTCAGAAGTATGTTATTGGAGATCTTTGATCAGAGGATGGAGTCAGGTTGTGGAGATCGATGAGGAAGTTTGGGGGAAGTGGGATAGTCAGGGTGTTGAGAATGGGGAGGGCATTAGATGGGAGACCTTCAGCCTGACGGGGAAGGCGGATTGGAGTTAAACACCTAAACTCATGAACAATGATTCTCTTTCCGTATATCAAGTTCCATTACTTGAACATCGTAGCGATTGGAATAGAAGATCATATTGTTCCAGAATTTGTGGGTCAATATAAGGGTATCAAATCTCATGGGTGAGCTAAGATTTGAGGGGCCTAGTTGTGTAATAACGACATGGATTCCCCCTTATTCCGAGGGTTTGAAGAGTCTACACTTCTCACTTATATTGTCCCACAAGCTCTAGAACAATGTTGTCTTATATTGTAGATGGCATATTTGGTATGGTGCACGTGACTGGTCTTGATAGCCTTGCCAAGCTGATTTTCCAACCTCTCGGGCGTTCTAAAATCTTACACTGTGACTGCAAGCGTCAACTCAAGTTCATCACTTCTTCGACTAGACCAGGAACTCGATAAAATTAGTTCTCCATTTTCTCATTCACGATTCAGCTGTAGCTGCAGGAAGCCGGGTCTTGGCTGGCGTGTCTTATAGAAGCTTGGAGGTGATTGGACGACCACATCTTCAAGCAAACCGATAAAACAGTCTATAATCTTCTGAGTCATCTCTTCAATCCTCAAGAAACAACCCCAGATTTATGGAAGCCAAGATGGAGGATCTTATCAAAGCAATCTACACAACGCCGATTATCGACAATCATGCTCACCCTCTCCTGGTCCCACCTGCCGTCAACACCTATCCACTCCTGTCAATTACCACGGAAGCACATGGCGATGCTATCAAAGCGACAACAACGTCTCTTTCACATATACGAGCTGTCAAGCAACTATCTGACATTCTGGGGTGCCCACCTACATGGGAAGACGTCGTCAATGCACTGAACGTTGAAAATGCGAAGCCTCACCATGCTTGGGCCAAGCGATGCTTCGAAGGTATCGAGACCGTTTTAGTTGATGATGGTCTCGGTAACAAAGATGAAATCTATGACTATGGCTGGCACGACAGATTGACCAGAAGTGAATGCAAGAAGATTGTTCGCATCGAGAAGGTCGCTGAAGAGATCATCGATACCCTGATGAAGAATACCGAACTCAGCCCTGACGATATCTTCAGTGGTACGAGGGAAGCCTTCGAAATGGTCATCAAGGATGCGATTGAAGATCCTGATGTTGTAGGCTTCAAGTCTGTCATATGTTATCGCACGGGCTTGGATATCCCACCCCATCTATCAATCTCAGAGGTCAGAGAGGCTTTCACTGACCACATCACTTCGTTGCAGGAAGATGGTGTCACCCATTTTACAAGAGTTGATGGACAGCCAATGAATGCTTACCTGGTCAACAAGACAGCTCATCTGATTGCCAATTCAGATGGTCCGAAGAAGCCGTTTCAATTCCACACTGGTCTGGGCGACAACGATATCACCCTCACCAAATCATCACCATCCCATCTTCAACAATTCATCCGAAAGTATCCCGAGGTACCTATTGTTTTGCTTCATGCCAGTTATCCCTGGACCAAAGAAGCGGGATATCTTGCTAGTGTCTATGAAAATGTGTACGCCGACATTGGAGAGGTCTTTCCGTTTGTTAGTAAGGACGGACAAGAAAAAGTGGTCCGAGAAATCCTTGAACTTTGCCCTACAGAGAAGTTATGCTGGTCTACAGACGGACATTGGTTTCCGGAGACCTACCTTCTCGCTATCATCCAAATGAGGGAAGCTTTCCAAAAGGTAGGTCGTCCAGCGTTGTCACGTGAGAATAATACTTACTATCAAACCAGGTTTTCACGGAATACGTGCAAGATGGAGCTTTGACTGTCCCGCAAGCTATTAGAGCTGTGGAAGACATACTTTTCACAACGTCTAACAACCTGTATGATCTCGGACTAGAGATGAAGCCCTTGCCCATCACCACAGATCTTCCTAGCAGGCTGCTTGAGGCTCCAAAGTCGGACGCCCAAGTATTGACCAAGTTCCTGACGGACAATCCTACTGTTAAGTTCTTGCGAATTCAATACCTTGATTATACAGCTACTTCTCGCCTGAGGGTTCTCCCGGTCAGAGAAGCAACAGCCATGCTGAAAAAGAGTCCTGATTTGCAACTTAGCGCCACTCCAGCTTTACTTGGATTGCTCCAGCACGATGTTATCATTCCTGGAGTGACGGCATCTGGCGAATACATTCTTCACCCAGTCCTTTCATCTCTCAAGCCAGGCCCTTACAAAGGCTACGCATTCGCGCAAAGCGAGTTCCGCAATGTAGATGGATCTGAAGTCCCTCTTTGTCCCCGTACTGCTCTTCGTCGCATCGTTACCCAAGCCGCGTCACAGAATTTGACCTTCCTCCTCGGTTTCGAGATCGAGATCGTCTTCATGAGTCGCTCCGCAACAGATGGCTCACTTTCCCCACTCAAAAACTCAGCTGGTCACGCATATGGCTCATCTCGCACCCTCCACGGCAACGAGATATTGGACTTGCTTGAGGACATCTACGATACGCTGGAAGCAGCTGATATCCACCTCCAACAATGGCACTCAGAGGCCGCTCAGGGCCAATACGAGTTCGTGCTTCCGCCTTCTCCTCCGCTTGAAGCGGTCGATATGTTGATCCAGGCTCGTGAAATCATCACAACAGTAGCAGCGAATTATTCCATTCGCGCAACCATGTTCCCAAAACCCTTCCCTATGATGGCAGGTACTGCTACACACGCCCATATGTCCATCTCTTCCCCTGGAGGCGATGAGAAGCAGGTTTGGGAACCTTTCTGGGCTGGAGTATTGAAGCATTATAGAGCTATTATCGCCTTCACCTACAGCAATCCTGCCAGTTACGATCGCATGGTAGACAGCTGCTGGGCCGGTGGACGATGGGTTTGCTGGGGAACTCAGAACAAAGAGGCGCCCCTGAGGAGAGTCGAAGGCTCGCATTTTGAGATGAAGACTCTGGATGGATTGGCAAATCCTTACTTTGCAATTGCCGCAATCATTGCTGCTGGACTTATTGGTGTTGAAGGCAAGGAACCTTTGTTGCTTGGTGATGCGGAGAAGGATCCGGGTCAGTTGACGGCCGAGGAGAGGAAGGAGTTGGGTATCACGGAGATGTTCCCACCTGACTTGCCAGCTGCTTTGGAGGCGTTGGTTGCTAATAAGGAGATGGTGAACTTACTGGGCAGTGAGTTGGTAGAAAGATATGTTAACGTTAAGAAGGCAGAGATGGAGATGCAGGGGAAGATGGAGACAGATAAGAGGAGAAATTGGCTTCTGGAAAGATATTAGAGGCTGAATGAAGAAGTACAGAGGTGTTTGTGGCAGGCGTCGATTCTGTTTTATGAAGGGAAATCCCCAATTATGATTCTGCTTCTACAAAATTTTGTATCTAATTATCCTATGAATTACGATACATGAGGAATGCTTGCTGCCCATGTTGCAGTATAAGCATCGACAGGCAAGAAACACAAAGTTCTAAAAATCTCGATGAGGATGTAAAGACGTGCCAGGCTGTAAACAACAAAAAATACAAAGGCTATAGATGTCGCCAGCTCAGCACGGATTATATCTTCAATCCTGCCCAGAATCCGGGCGCCGAGTTCAACTTCGAGGGCTCGACTAAACAAGTACGTGATGCAAAGGAACAATACCGGTAAGCAGGTACATATCACAGAAGATGCTCTCCACAGATTCCGCTCAATCTCAGACGGAAAGTGGAAATTCCAAGCCAACACGTGCAAAACTCCAAATATCACACCTCCAAGAGTTAGGCCCATCTCAGTTCCCATGTATCCGGTATACGATTCCTTGCCATCCCATACCGTGCTATTGCTCACTATCGAGCCATCGTACTGTGGAGTCCGGACCCACTTTGGCAGAGGCACAAACTCGGACATGCTGAAAGCACTGTATTCCACTTCGGCATACTCCCCTAGTTGTCGGACCAAATCAGCTGGCACTGCAGCAGGGTATCTCAAAATCGGTAATGGAATCTGCACATCTTTTGGTTTGTTCCAAGACGAGGCATAAATGAAAATCCCGCAGACTGAGAATGCCGCGACAGCAAGCTCTAACTGCGATATTGCTAGGTGTCGAGCAGCTCGTACAATGACTTGGAACGCCATCCAGAATATCTGGCCCATGGCGATTGCTTTCGAGAATGCGTCGCTTTTGGATCTAGCGTTGAGCTCCTCCTTTGTGATGGCAGGAAGCCTCTTCAGGATTTTCTTGTCCCGAAGCATGTAGAGTTGGTCTGCCGTAAGATGATAGCATTCAGGGGCTAAGAACTCGCTCGGTTCATCGCTATAGCGTACTTCGAGCCCCGATTCTGTACGTGGGTCCATTCCTCGGCTATCCTGTGACCAGTTCTCTGACGCTCGTTGTGTCCCAACATCTGTTGAGGGTCGATCCTGATTCGGAGACGCTATGGGATCAATATCTTGAAGCGCTGTCCATTGATTATTTCGATATGAAGTCCGTGCTGTGTCTTGAAGCTCCTCGTGGGAGCCATCAGAAGTGATGGTTGCGGGGCTGGTCTGGCGTCTCTTCAGCCCACCTGAGCCTTCAGGTGTAACGAAGCCCGGTGGGCCTGTGTATATCGGTTGGATGGAAGAAATGGAATCATTCTCGACAGCTTGGATCACAAATCCGCCCATGTTCAAGAACATACCATGCGTCAATGACCATTCCACCCCATCCTCCTCAATGAACTTCTTCAGCAACTCATTTACTTCCTTTGCATGCACGAGAGCTCCCAGCGAAATAGAAAGAAGAAGCTCTGGAGCCAACATGGTAAGAATCATCCATTTTGTCTTCATCCAAATGCCCTTGAGAAACCATTTGCAATCGCCTATCCATCCTGGATCCTGATCGCCTCTTTGCTCTGGGACATTAAGATGCAAAATGGTCCATGTGCAGGCGATCAACGTAAAGAGACAACTCCAGAGGATGTCGAGAGTGCTGCGACTGCTTGTACTGAAGACAAAATTGACGGGCTCCGCAAGGCTCGAGCAATTTGGAGTGAACGTCGTATATCCGAGGACGCTGGGGACAAGGAGACTAGGGAGGAAGATGTAGCGATATAAGAGCAACATAGCTGATAGAGTCAAACTTCGCGCATATGATAGACAAGCCAAATTGACATAATGAAACAAGATATGGCAGATGAAAATGGAAAATTGCAATGCAGCCTTACTTAAGGTGCGAAGATGCACAACACGAGCCGCAACGGATGACGGGCTTACAGCTGAATTGGGGCCTTTGGGATTGTCAGGGATGTTACTATCCTGTGAGGTTGATTGGTACAGCAGCTTTGGCTTGCTTGGCTTGCAGAAATGTAGCCATTCAGCTTGGTGCATGTAATTGGGGGCCGGAAGCATTTGAAAGGAAGACTGGAACAAGGTGCCAATTGCCAAAGACCAGAAGAGAATGTGGAGAGTTCTCGAAAATGGGGACGAGAGGTTTCGTCTTTTCGGACAAGATCAACAACAGCCAGTGGACTCCTCTCCTCGACAAGATGAATCATTTTCTCCGAAAGATTCGAAGTGCTCTTTTGTACTCAACCGAGAAAAGTTGCACAGCCACACCAACTCTTCGGCCAAAGCGCAATTGCCAAAGCAGTTTAGCTCAAAGTTGGCTCAAGACTATTTATAGCCGGTCATTGGACGACAACCTGCATATTGCCGCCGACATGCAAGAATCAGGGTAAGGTAAAGGAAACCCCGCCATCAGCACTGTAAGTCGCGTCTCTTTTCTCAGCTCTCTCTTCTTCATCTTTCTCCCAAGTTCTCAAGTACTCGCAAGATTTCACTGCACAACATCTGCGCAAGGCGCTGGATTTGGCATAATGGCTACACGACCTGGAGAGGATCTGGCAGCTACCCTGTGAGCTTGCGGCCCTGAATATGCAGCTCTGATGTGTCATGCTGATAAGCCGCAGCTTTGCAGATGTACATTACTACTACGGTCCTCCAAATGCGAAACCTCCCCATCATCGATTCGATAAGAGTTCATATATTTATCTGTTTGAAAATGCTTCTCAGCGGAGGGCGAGAATAGAGGTTGCCAACAATGCAGGAACACCGGAGCAGGATGCGTTCAATGGCTGTTAGTATGAAGCACCGGAGATTTGAACGTCGCTGATCACTGGCAGATCTGGATAATGCGCATGTCCACTACTCGTACAAGCATTCCACTCTTGTCACCGTAACGGTCGATGGAACTGGTCAACCAAGTGCTGTTCAAAATACTCAAGAATGGCATCTGCCAACTTTCGATCCTCGAAACGAGAACAAATATATGTATAGGCTTCATACAGTGGACTTGTACTTCTGGGCCAAGGAAGATGCGATTGTGTTTGTGAATGGTATCAGAAGAGTCTTGCCTCCACAACAAATTACAGTTCAGGATGAACCTACGGCGCCCCCACCTCACCAAGAGGAAATGAGCCCAGTGGTCCAGCAATTGGAGAATATTGCAATCTCCGATCCTTCATATCAACAAGGACGTACTCGAGATTCCCGAACAACAAGTTCTTCCGTGTCAGGTCCACCAATATCAGCCACTCCTCAGGGCCAGGAAGCTTCAAACTTCGCGTCAATGGCCTACAACCCCGCAGCACCCGCAGCCCCAGAAGCTATTCGTCATAGGGAGAAGACTCCTCCACCAGAAGATGGAGCAGGCAATCCTCTCATGGCAGCCGCAACAACAGACCAAGGCCAAGCCTTTGGCGCCCCTCCCTACGGCCAACAAGGCTTCTCAGGCCCACCCGGACAACCCGGTCCTTACTTCCCCAGCGCGCTCTCAGGCCCAGCACCACCCTCTCAATTCGCCCAGCAACAGCAAACCCAACCAGGACCCCAATCGCCCTTCGCTCAACACTTCCAGAACACATTCGCGCCGCCTCCTACTGCGGACACAAGAAATGCTCCCTACGCACAACCACCACCCAGCGCCCCTCCAGCCTATCAAGCCCATATCCCGGTAACCCAGCAATTTGCCCAATACCCCGGTTCCCCAGGTCTCTCATCCCCAGGAATGAACACTCCCGGTATTTACTCACCCGGCCTCACTTCTCCAAACGCGCAATTCATGCCAGCGCAAGATCCCGTGCCAGGGATATCGCACTCGGTTACGGCGCCTCCGGGAGGGTTTTCGCAGTATAATTATCAGCAGACGAGTAATACGAAGCCGTTGATGACGGATTACAGTATTCATCAGCAAGTTTATAGGCCGACGGACACGGAAGCGAAGGGGCATAGTAAGGGGAAGGAGTTGGCGCCGCCGAGGGGCAAGTTGGAGGCTGGGGCGGGGAGTTTGGAGAGGAGTGTTACGGGGTTGTTGAAGAAGTTGGAGAAGAAGATTGGGTAGGTGTGGTGGCGTGTAGGTGGGGGAGGCTCGGTGAATTCCGTTTTGGATGAGGAATGAGAAATCACCCCCCCCCCCCATACTCCATGGGCTTGATGCCTAGCAGCGGCGAAACAACTATCGGGCAACGCCTGGCAGCAGCGAAACAATTATCGGGCGTGCGAATGTAGTTGTTTCGCTGCTGCTAGGCGTTAAGCTCGTTGAGTGGGGTACGTGCAGGTTGGGAAGAGAAGGATGTTTTGTCGACTTCAATTAGCGACCGTTTTGAGCGAGATCTTGAGAATGTTTGGACTATAATTCTATTCCTTTTGAGCTGAGCTGAGCTCAAGTAAGCTTCATCACGCACTATCCTATTTTGATTGTCCGGCCCCAAGAAATGGAACGGAACGGTCCGAGGTTTCCAGAGCGGAGTAACCTCAACCGAAATCAATAATCAACAGACCAAGACAAAAGGTATCCGTACACCATCCTATCCTATTGCAGCCCACATTTTCATAACGCCAGTCATCCCAAGCTTCCCTTCCCATTCCCAATACTCCAACTCATATCACAACCCAGCGCCCACGTGATTCGCCACTGCCCGTGAAACTTTGGAAGCTTCACAACTCAAGCTCGTCCTCCACATCAGAGTAAGTCATATCCCCATAACCTTCATCTTGGTAACCAAACTGTCCACCAACTCCCGATAGATCATCCTGTCCCCACGTGCCAGAATAAGTTGTGTTGGAAGGAGGTTGTGGATGCGACTCGCGACGAGTTTGGCGGTATGGATCTGAAGTGAAGGAGCCGGCTTGAGCTTGGACTGTGTAGTTGCGAGAGTGAATGGTGGATGCAGTGGTAGATGTTGAGGATTGGGACGTGTTGTTGTAAGGAGAGGAGGAGGTGAAGGAGGTTGTGGGCGGGAAGTAAGGTGTGTAGCGATGGTAAGGGAAGGGAGAAGGTTCTTCGAAACGTTGCATTGAGAAGTTTGTGGTGTCATGAGGATGTGTTGTGTAGTTGTAGCTAGGTGTTGGAATTGGATGAGCGCGAGAGAGATGTTGAGGAGAGGATGAGGTGTTGTATTGGGTATGTGAGGTGTGGGCGTAGGGTGAGGTGTTGGGTGGTGTGCCAAGATGGGACTGAGTGTTCTTAAGGGAGGAATAGGAAGTGGCATCGTATGGGGAAGTGTTGTTGGTGAGAGGAGTGACGGTGGGAGAGGTCGACCTGGTATGACTTGGAGCACTTGGAGCAGAAGAGTTAGGAGAGGGGTCATCATTCAAAAGCGAAAGTATATGTTGGAGTGATGCCACAGGCAATGAGACATGAAAGGAGGAAGAGAGCATACGGTGATGATAGCGCACTTTGGCGAGAGCGTTTCTTGCTGGACACCATGAGGAGATAGATATTTGGAAACCAGGACGAAAGGATCATAAACCAAGATATATATGACAGTGACGAGACAAAAGTACCAGTCAGTAATAGAGAAGAGCGATGCAGATAAGAAACAAGAGAAAAGCGTGGAGAGGATGGCGATATAAATATTAAGCGCACCCGCCGGAGGGGAAGGAAGGGCAACGAAATTGCACAAATGTGGACCACGAGAAGTGCACAAATGCGACGGCATGGCTCCTTGACCAAGGCGCATCGGCGTGCGATTACCTCGATCCGTACAAAGGGAACGAGTGTGGGGAGTCAACTTGTGGGCATGGACAAGCAGAAGTGCAAGAAACATTATGGGGGTGGAAAGTGCAAAAACACAACCGAGCCAGCGCATGGAGAGGCGAACTCGACTTTGAGCCAGCGGACGGATACTCGCCGGTTGCCTCGTTCTTGAAATTTTCGATTCTAAGCTGCCTCCTTTTCCATAAAAGTTGAGTTCGGTTGCCTCGTTGTTTTTATAGCCTTAGATGATGTGGGGTTTTGGTTGCCTCGTCTCTGGACTCGGTACAGGTTTTGACGCCCCATTTTGGTGTTGCAGTTGGCGGAGGAGGCTGGAATTGGGAAAAGGCGCAGCATCCCGAACCGCCAGTTGGTGCGCAAAGTTGCGAACCACAAATGCACTTTTGAGGCCGGTTGGGAAGGCTGATAGGTCTGTAACATCGGACTAACTAAGTACAACACCAAAATGCGGGCTGAGACGTGGCCGTATTACTGTATAGAGTTCGCATACTGGAGGCGCTCCTATACCGACATTTGGAACCCCCACCTGTGCAGCCACTTCGCACTTCCCCCGTGCGCGACCTTTTGCGCCTTCCAGAACGTGCCCATTTCTTCTCAGTCACCCCATGCGTACGGGCAAGGATTTCGCAGGCTCCTGAACGCAACACTGACGTCGCAAACACCCGACACTTGAGTGAACTGCTGCACTTCCTGGGACCAGCCAATCCGACATCACTCACTCCCACAAGAACTTGAGGACAGAGCCCCATGCCATGGTGGTCTAGACCCTCAGAGACGTCGAACGATCTAGACGTCAAGCTCAACCTCAACAACCACATTGCGATCGCATCTCAGCCCTCTCAGCCTTGCACCCTGGGAAATGACATCACTGTAACCTTTCAGGGTTCAGGGCAGGATGGAGGGAAGGAGGTGAAATCTTCTGACAGAAGATCTAGACTTCATGGGCCGTGGTCTGCCTGACTTCGGAATACGGCATTGCAGTTCTCTCAAGAAGGGGATGTAGTGAAGAGAATCTGCGTATTCGCCGATACGATGAAACGGAATTCATGACCCGGGTTTTTGCACGATCGATTTGGGCTAGTCGTTTTCTGTCTGGTGGCGATCAGCCTGTTGGGGGTGATTGGGGGTGGGTGATATCTCAGCCTTGACAAAAGTGCAAAAAGGTGCAATTCTTTTGTCTGACCGGGAGTGGACGAGCACTCGGCACAAACACCTCTCGGCACCTTGTCTTGTTCATTTGGCGGCTCGACTCGCTCCTCATACCCCCTTTTCCCGAGTCATCCCCAGAATTGCACTTTCTTGCACTTTATGGTGGCTGTGCACCGGGGTGCCGTCCGTGAATTTGCATGCGGGTGGCTCGCTTGTACGCCCCGTCTTACATGATTACCTACCTACAGAAGTGCGCATCTCAAAAGTGCAAAAAGGACGCCCGCCCATCAAACATCATTTGTGTTGTCAATAACTAGAAGTTCCTCAGACAATATGACGAAACACTGGGAACCCTGGAAGGATGAGATCACGCGGCTTTACCTGACAAAATCGAAGACATTGGAAGAAGTTCAAGGTATTTTGAGATCGCGAGGCTTTGATGCATCGTAAGTAGTAAGGCCCACAACATGAGCTTGAGGATTAACAAGTCTTAGAATTCGTGCTTATCGAATGAAGTTGGACGCTTGGGGTATTCGGAAAAATACCTCCACCCGTACCAACAAGAAACGACGGAGAGAATGTTCGCAACCATCAGAGATGAGGAGTGGGTACCATGACAATCATGCATCCAGCAGTACCTCTCTTGCTTCCTCGATCCAGAAAGACACTGGGGATCAACTTGGATCTTCCGCTTTGTACCTACAGCCATCATTGGATGCAAACAACACCAGCACGACTTCAGACTTCGATGCACGTGTACACCGTATACTTGCCCTTCACAATTGCGTTTTGCCCGCAGGGCCCATGGATGCCAATCAACTCATGGACATTTTAGGATCGACGAGTTATGGCCGTTTTGGCAGTGACGCTATTCTTGAAATTCTGCTTCTCAAGTGGCAAGCAGACGGTGAATATCTGAGAAATGCCCTGGACTGGGTAGCTTGGATGGACGGCACGCCTTTGGCTCACATCGAGGGAAACCTTTTCAAAATTCTTGACGCTAAGCTTCGCCTGAAGGAGCGCGTACCTTTGGCAAAAGCTTGTCTGATACGGCTGAAAGAGAGTGGACCGATCAGCAGAGCCGTGGTTGGTGATTGGCGTTGGTTGCTCAACGTATTGAATGAAACAAAAACATGGGCAGTGAGGAAGAGGATTTTGGACCCACGAAAATACCATGTGCAGAGAGAGGACATGGGTCAGTGTTTTATCGATTGTGTTCCAATTGTTTTTGCAGAAGACTCTCTGGCCTCCCTCATGAACTCGTGGGAAGATATGATGTATAATGGAAAGACCAAAGTGGACAATGAAAAGTTGAAAAGGATGCGATCCGAATATATGGACATCCTAGATGATTTCTCGGATGCCACTCTATACCTCGACCTGGATAAATCATATTACAAGTTCGCTCTACTATTGAGCAAATGGTACGAGGAGGAGCGCCGGAGCGAGGAGGCCGCAAAGACATTGGATGACTCGAGAGGGGTAAATGAATTCCTGAGCACCAAACACTCAGAGATACAACTGCTTGTTTCGAGTAGAGGTGAGCAAGTTGAGCAAGAGTCTTCAGAAAGCTCGGAAGTAGTATTGCAGATGGAGGTCAGCACAGTTTCCACAGTCGACTCAGGCACTACGGAAGTGTCAAGCTTCTCGCGGCCGGCGATTGAGGACAATTCCGTACTTGCTCAGACCCAGGAAGTTTTTGACAACCTTTATCAGACCTGGGTAATGAAGCTAGACCTAGGGGAACTTCCGCTGATCCCACTAACTCTGGATCGCTCCAACAGTCCATCCAGCCACAGATTAGGAATAAACAGGTTGTTTGGCCTAATCTCACTCGATGTACCCCTTGAAGACCGCGTACCATTCACGAAGGCCATCCTTGACTCCTTTGGAGGAGACCCCCGCTTTCATGGTCTTCTGTCTTATCAATTTGTGACCAGCTGGTTTACTCTGTATGAGGCGACTACTTGGTATGATTATAAGCGCGAGCACGATCAAGTAGCCGGATGGCATTGGGACCCAAGCGAAGTCTCCAAGGAAAATTTACGTACGATCCTAGACTACACCACCGTGCTCGTGGGCAAGCGACTACTGGGAAACTTGGACCGGGAGTTCAAATCTTGGAGCACCCAAGCTTTCGTCTCCTCGAGGGTATATAGGGATAGCAAGCGGGAGTTTGATGGCGTCATAGAGTGGTTTACGAACCATTTGGATCTATTGGAAGCAGATGAGAGGCTGTGGCTTCGTCATTTCGGAATATCATTTAGCTCAAATGATCCGTAGCTAAATAAATCGACAATTTGATTCATTTTTATTGCTGCCATGATGTTGTTTCATTTGGTCTAATCAATGTTAAGCTTCGAAGTGACAGAAATTAGATTAGGAAATCAACACCGACAAGACAACGTGGTACCTCAGGATCATTATATTTCATGTTTGCTGGAGGGAAACTTCACTGAACAGTCTTGTGTTATTACAGGAAAAGGCTACAGTCGCTACGATGAAGCTATTCAAACACAATAGACCTTCGTGAAGAGATGAGTCATGCGTTTATGGAATCTACTTGAGACGAAAATCAAGCTGGAGGTACAATTATGAGAATAAAGCGCAAGAAGATGACCATCCCATTCGCCGCTAAACAAGCTTTCAAGGGGCTTTTGGGAGGGCTTTATGCATTACTCAAGGTGCAGCACTTGATCTGCTCGTTCGTCTACTATGTCAGATAAAATAGTCTCGATCCGTTATACCGTCATTTCCAAGTTGTGTTACATTTATTACTTTGAAGTGGAAATTTCGGCCTAAAAGCACCAAAAAGCAAGTCTTGGATGAGGGGGATTTCAGAATTATTGATTCAAATCAGATTGCGGACGGAGTCAGTGTTACAATGCATAATGTGGGTTTCGTCCAGGAAATCGGAATGTTGATGCGAAAGCCAATCTACAATTTTTATACAGCGCTACTTGAACTCTATTTTGCAAATATCAAGTCACACTTGGGACTCAGGCCACTCATATTGTCTATCAAACTTTACAACAATATTGTTCTATACTCTGATTGCAACCATACTTAGAACTTAGCTAGCTAATATTGTCTAACAAAACTCTGGACAACATTATCTGACCATCTTATTTCATAATAATTCGAGCTCATGCAGTGATGTGTCCATTTTCTTCAGATTGCCACTTAGTCTCTATAGCTAATAGGCACATGTCGAGCCTTTACATGCATCTTCTAGGTTTCCTTGTATACGGTAAAAACTAGGATATAAGATAATATCGTTCTAGAGCCTGCAGGACTCTATAAAAAAGGGAACATTAGGTTTTTCAAATAGACGGGAACCTATCTATGATGATTTTTACTGTTCAGACAACTTTATCTTCCAAGTTTTAGTTCCCGCTTGGGACTTAATCCGCTTATATTGTCTGACAATCTCTGGAACATTGGTACCTTACATTCAACTTTTAATGGTGTTCAGGTGTACTTATGCTTATTCATTGATGTCTCAGAAGCAGTATTCTGTAACAAATCCATTGCAAGAAAGTATCTGATGCAGCTAATTTGCTACCAAGTATTGCTATTGGAAGGAAAATTAGAGAGAAAGAAAATGAAGCTTTTGTCTAGCTAGGAAAATAACGCCATGTGAGATGAGCAAACCAAAGCAAAGGAGAGAGAAAAAATATGGTTGAGGTCCAGGACTGTATCCTCCATGCCAAGTCCAATCCCTCAAAGTCTATGCCATCAATTCCATCCCGGACCCAATAGCATCGCTGTCGCTACCCTCGGCTGCTGGTGCATCAACTGGAATGATATCGTCAACGGCAGACTGCAATGCTGCAATAGAACCTGGGGAAATGAAACCATTGCGCAGGAAAGCGGGAGCTTCCACATTCAACGATTCGCAAAGGGTCTTTAGTTCCGGTGTGTACATTTCGATGTATGCCTCTGCGTACTCCATCGAATCGTTGTTGATCTTTCTGTGGAGGAAAGAGAAATCGGGACCGCCTGTTGGCATTGTGAAGAAGCCCAATGTCAGGAGAACCCCAAACTCGTCTTCCTGGCCACACAAGATCTACAATGTATTAGCAAGCCCGCCTAATGGTCCGGGACCGTAGCATTTACCTCCGACCACCGTCTCCATCTGTTCCCCACCCGAACCTCTTCAATCCAATCTGTGGTAGGCAGACCCTGATCCTTCTCCTCCTTTCTCTATGATGCATACATCTTCTCGGTCTAGACGTTCTGTGGTAACTTCTCCGTGCCGTTGTTATCTGCTTTCTTCTTGTACTCATCATAGCAGTCTCGGAGATGCTTGGCCATGGCCATTTGCAGATACGCATGTTGTAATTGCGACATCTTCACGTTTCGTGCAGATTGTCTGAAGGCACCCTGCAGACTTGAAGTATCGTTGATGTTGACATCGAGAATTGCAACACCGGCTGATGATGTCGAGTATGTCTTGATATCATTGCCCTCACCGTCATTGGTGGCTTGTCCGGACTGTATGGCTTGCGACCATGCTCCTTCAAGTTCGAGTAGCATCCTCGACATCATCTTTCGGATGTTCATGCAGTGAAATGGGTGGTACACCTTCCATGCGTCTGTTCTCTTGATCGAGTAGTTCCTAGGGGGTCCCGTGGCCTCGATATACTTTCCGCAATTGGAGATGAAGTTGTCGAATTCCTCATCGTCGCCATGCTTGGGTGCTTCTTTGAGGGAAAGGCCAGCAACCGAGCCAGCGGGTCGGGCCTGTCTTTTATTACCTCGTGCGTCGAACATGCCACTGAATGCTTGTTGAGCGAATGGGATGGCTGCCTTTTTGCGCTCCTCTCCCCTCTTCATCTCTCCACCTTCGTCGATATGTCTCATGGCTTCGATGATCACGTAGCTCATCTCTTCACGGAGGCCCACCGTGGTGAATGGCTTCAGAAGGGCGACTGTTGACTCTTGTTGTATCAACAACCTTCGTGCGTATTCCGGCAACCCCTCAATGGCTTGTCTGTATCGGTTTCCAAGTTCTAGGACTCTTTTCAGTTCTTGCTGGATTGCCGCTGGCTGCTGCTCGAATGTTTTGCCCTCCTCGTAGCTGGTGAGAGTATTGGCCGTGTCTGCAACTAGTGTCGATCTCTTCTCAACATTTCCTTTGACTTTCTTCGATGCTCTGTTGGCCTTTCTCGAACTATTCACCTCCAGTTCACCATCGGATGTCTCATTTTCACTTTCACCTCGACCTCGTTTTGTGCTTGTTGTGGGGGTGGCCTCGGCGTTTTCTGATGCTGCAGGAGCTCCCATGGACTCGGTATCGGTGGCCATGTTCCGAAGAGAGAGCCAGTGGTTCTGGCCCGTTGCTTGAATAAGAAGTGTTGCGAGGTTGAAGAGACTGAGTTGTTTTCGGAAGAAGAGGTGAAGTAGGACGGAGAAAGGTCAAGACGAGAGAAGGTTTTCGCCTTCGGATGAGTGTGTAATGGCGAGTTGTAGTGAGGACTTTGGTGTCGAGATACTACAAGGCTTGGATTGTTTTTGGAAGAAGAAGTGTGGTAGGAGTGAAGACGGGAGGAGGTTTTCAGTTTTGGAGGAGAGTTTTGATGGCGAGTGATGGTGAGTAAATTGGTATCGAGATAATACAAGCTTTGAATTGTATTTGGAAGAAGAGGTGTGGTAGGAAGAAAAAATGTGAAGACAGGAGAAGGTTAGAACAATTTGAGAAGGCTATAACAAACTTTCGAAGAGATTCCCCTTTTTCTATTTGCATTATCCCACAAGCTCTGGAACAACATTATCGTGTATTTCAAGTCTCACGGTACGAGGAAACATAGAAAATGCAAGCAATTGCAAGTGACCAAGTAAGGGGAAGTGGCAATATGAAGCTATTCAACTACCGCTGTGGGAATTGATTGTGAAATAGATTTGAGAAATAAGGTAGGTCGTTCATTTCCAAAGGTAACGAAATGATACACATCTCTCCAATTGTATTATAACATATCAACATTGCGGAATGGTGAATTCTTGACGGGAGAGAATAACGATATGGCAGCCGAAACGTGCCACCCATGCGTAAACTTCCGAACTTTATCCTGGCAATAAATTTTGAGCTTCAATATCAGAATCAACGACCAACCCCCAGAAAACCTCAGCACTACCATCGAGTTCCTTCCACTTTCCACGCCCAGCTCGACCAACGCCATACTCACCATAAACTTCATATCATCTGCGAACCCAATTGAAAACCCCACGAAAATCGAAGACGCAACCTCACACTTCATCGTCCACGAAACAAACCATCTTGCGCCCTCTGGGCCATAACACCAACGACAACATGTCCCTCGTCCACCTCTCCCACGTCTGCTCACACCTCCAAAACGCCTCCCGCGCGCGCCTAGGCCTGACATCCGTCCCCTCAACAAACCAAATCCTCACCCTCTGCCTCTCGCTCCAATCCGCCGGCTTCCTCTCCTCCGTAACCCGCGGCGGGCTCACTCCTCCTCCACTCGACAACCTGTCCTCGTACAGCCCGGAACCCGTCACGCAGCAGAACGTTGCGACAAGGAGATTGTGGCTCGGCATGAAGTATTGGGATAATGAGCCGGTGTTGAAGAAGATGGAGATGGTTAGTAAGCCGACGAAGAGGATTTGGATGGATTGTAGCGATTTGGGGAGGATTGTGAGGGGGCGGGAGGCTGGGCAGGTGAGGGGGTTGACGGGGGTGGGGGAGTGTTTGTTTGTTAGTACTGATAGGGGGGTTATGGAGGCGAGGGAGTGTGTTGAGAGGAGGGTGGGGGGGATGTTGCTTTGTAGGGTTATTTAGGGAGTTGGAGTGGAGAGAGGGAATGAGGGTTGGTGGGGAGAATTGAGTTGGGATTATACAAGCAGATCCTACAATACTCGGCTTGCATGGAGAGGAGCGCATGTGTATTATATGGGTGCATGGACGGCGTCAAACAAGACTCTGCTTTGTATGATTGGTGTCAAGGATATGTCACATAGCTCGAGGAAGCCAATTACACTGTGTAATAGAATGATGGATATCACATTTTAGACGCCTCTATCAACTGATCTATCCAACCAAATCTACAAACGTCCGAGAATATCCTCAAGGACTTGAGTGGTAGTAGCACTTCCTCCCAAATCAGGACTCAGCAGCTTGCCCTCCTCCAAATTGCCATCAACAGCAGCATAGATTTTAGCAGCAGCAGCCTCCTCATCCATGAACTCCAGCATCAATGCCACACTTCTCAGAGTAGCAATTGGGTTGGCGATATTCTTGCCCATGATATCAGGAGCACTCCCATGGCACGGCTCACCAATAGCGAATCCCTCTCCAACATTAGCACTAGGTACCAATCCCAAAGACCCAACCAATGCCGCAGCTCCATCTGAGAGGATATCTCCATAAAGATTAGGAGCAACGATAACATCATAAGTCTCTGGTTGACGAAACAACTTGTAGACCATCGAGTCAACAATCTGCTCCTCAACATCCACAGTCTTGAACCTAGGATCCGCCAACGCCTCTCGAGCCGTAGCTCTAAATAATCCATCCGTCTGGCTCAACACGTTCGACTTATGCGTGACCGTGACCATGGGACTCTTATGAATGCTCGGTGCACCACTATCCCGGATCTTCTGTCTCCTTAACGCAATCTCGCCCGCCATCTTCGCAATCCGGAAACTGGCTTTGTACGAAATCCGCTTGATAGCTTCTGCGACCTTACCATCTGGACCATCAAAGGTCTTTTCTTCCTTCACGTACAGATCCTCGGTATTCTCTCGCACAATGACCATATCGATCGGATTCTTGGCCGTCATGACGCTTTTAACGGGTCGCACATTGGCATATAGATCGAGACGCTTGCGGAGCGCGACGATGGGAGACGAGTAGCCTTTGACGGCAGTCGAAGGGGAAGAGACGGCGCCGAAGAGAGCGCCATCGCATTCGGTTTTGAGGATCTCGACGGTCTTGTCTGGGAGAGCGGCACCGGTTTGTTCGAAGGTCTCGAAGCCGGCTTTGAGGTCGACGAATTCGAATTTTAGGTTTAGGGAGGAGGGGAGAGCTTCGAGGAGACGGCGACCGGCGGGGATGACTTCTTTTCCAATGCCATCACCTGGAATGAGGCCTGAGGAGGGTTAGAATGGTTCAATTGGGCATTTTGGAGGGGAATTGAGGGTTTTAGTACCTATTCGTAGTGTTCTGGCTGCCATTGTGTGAAGTGTTGATTCTTCACTTCGAGATGCGATGTCGGCAGAGCTCTCTATTAATTTTTCGAATGGTGGCTCTCGATCGGCTCGGCACATCAATCGGCACACCCCTCTAAGCAATAACCCCTATTCTGGCCCGATGGATTCCCCACAGCGAACGATAGTAGTGTGATAGGGATAGAGTAGAGGACGCCCAAGCCCCTGCATAATAACACAACTCTGATATCAATTCGAGACGTGGAGTGTGAGATCTACAATCCCATAGCCCTTCCACCCATCCACTTCAACAAGGACAACACCTTACATCCCTTTCTGACTGCGACCGCACATTGTTGTTATTTTTATTCTAGAATTTCTCATCTCATCTTTCTCCTTGGGACGCTTGGCTAGGATTTACCGCACTTTGTTGTTTGCAGATACCGTGTCGCGTACTACTACGTTGCCCTCCCAGCGTGTTTTTTGTGCACCACCGCACCAGACAAACGAAATCCCACTTCAATCGTGTCTTAATCTCAGACAAGCAAGTCCGCATAGCCGTACCGCCGCCTCTTGAGATACAAATCTTCACTCTGATCTTGACCCGACATTCACCTAGTTTCGACTGCAACAATCTCCAGCTCGGAGCTGGACTTTCCTAATTCTGTGCCCCCCCGAGTTCGTGCCTGCCTGAACCGCCATCATGTCGGGAGGAGTCCGAAATCTGCTGGCCATGTTCGAGCAGAATAAAGACACCAGTCCCCCTGATCGAGGGCGGTCTCCCGGTGAATCTGCAGGTGAGAGAAAATTCACCGCACATTCGTGGTGGTGAGGAGTCAATGGGCTAAGGGGTTGTCTTAGGTGGTGCTAGCAACGGGACCTCGCCTCGACCTCTCTCCGTAAGTAGTCCTTCTTTGTCCATCCTCGTTTCCGATCACTTTCTCATCTTTAGCAGCAGAAAGTAAGGACTTCTTTTGTGACGGTCGAGAGAAGTGGTCAGGTTGGTTTGGGTTTGCGGAGAGATACATCTGGAGATCCGGGACGAGCAAGGCGGACGAGCATTAGTATTGACGAGGAAGAACACCCTAAGGAAACGGCAGAAAGGAAACAGAGTATTGCGACAGAGCTTGAGGCTAGGAAGAACAGTACAATGATTTCAGAAACGATACCAGAGACAGCAGTGGAGACTCCGCCAATTGCGGAACCACAAAAGACATTGGATGGAGCAAGCAGCAGTGCTCCTGTGAAAGAGGCTCCAAAGGTAGAGAAGGCGAAGGTTGAAGAGAAGAAGGCTGCGGTGAAGGCAACAAACGGACATACAAACGGAACTACAAAGCCTGCTGCGGCGAAGTCTGTGGAGAAGCATACGTCGAAACCTACAACCAGACCTGCCCCTATTTCCACAGCGAAGACGATGGTCCTCTCTAAAGTATCTCCGAAGAAATCACCATTACCTAAGACCCCAACTACACCCAGCAGTCGAAGTCAACCACAAACCAAGGCTCCAGAGAAGAAGGTCGAGAAGAAGGTTGAGAAGAAAGTCGAGAAGGAGCCTGCAAAAGCCTCTTCATCTACTCAAGCAAAACCTGCCAGCAAACCCCCAACTACAACTGCATCAAGTGCCGCTGCGAAGACTCGGATACCTGCTTCTCCTCCACAGACCGGATTCGTCAAGCCAAGACCAAAATCACCCACCCGCCCAGTCAAGCTTCCGGCTTCCCTCACCGCGCACACTGCTTCTTCAGGATCGAAGACCGCAGCTGGTGGCCCACCACCTAGCAGACAAACCTTGAGCCGCGCATCTGGAAATGCTCAACCAGCAAACTCTCTTCAAGCACACCATGCATTATCTCGTTCCCCAAGTCGAGCAACTGCTGGCTCTACGAAGACCACCACATCCTCCCTCGCCCGCAAACCATCCACACTCAAGAGTTCGACCTCTACCCGACCATCACTCGGTCCTCCTCCCAAGGAGTTGAAGAAGCAGTCTTCAAGACAAAGTCTACCTGCGCCAGCAGATGAATCGTTCCTTGCTAGGATGATGCGTCCAACAACTGCTTCAGCATCCAAGACAGCTGAGAAGCCACCTGCAACTCCACCTAAGAGATCACAATCGGTCAAGAGACCAACTACGAGGGATGGATCGTCGAAGCCGGCATCGAGTCTAGGCAGTCCAGCGGCGAAGGTACACAAGGAGAGTCCTGCGAAAAGCCCAGCTAAGGAGACTAAGCCTGTAGCAAAGTCACCCGTGAAGGCTGAGGAGGCGGAAGCAGAAGCACCTTCACCGTCCAAGCCTGAAACCACGGTTCTGCTTTCACAGTCGGATCCAGCACCCGTGAAGGATGTAGAATTCGCGAAACCAGCTCCTGAGGTCAATCAGCCAGCACCCGTGGAACCTGAAGTCGCCGTGGTGGGGACAAAGCATGTGGAAGAGTTTATTCCCGAGACAGTACAAGAAGAGCCGGTTGCTGAGGAACCTCCGGTTGAGGAGGAGAAGCCCATCGAGGCCAAAGAAGAGGCTCCTGTCGCTGAAGCTCCTGAGCCCGAGAAGGAAGCAACTCCTACCATCGAGGAAACCAAAGAAGAACCCACTATCCCCGAACCCGAACCCATCAAAGAAGAACCCCTCGAGACTAAGACAGCTGAGCCAGAGCCAATCGTGCACCAAGAAGTCACCAAGCCAGAGCTCATCGAGGATCCCGAAGACGTCAAGGCTAGAGAAGAGATCGCGAAGCTGAATGCTGAAGTCATGAAAGCTGCTGAGGAGGAGACTTATTAAAACGTATGTGGAGGATATGAATTTGTACTTAGTGTGTTGCAGCGTGGAGCATGAAATGGAAGAGTGAAATGTGTGAGAATAGGTAGCATTAGCAATACCATGTGATATCCCAACTCAGGTTTTGCGTTTTTGGGAGTGATGTGAGGTGCTTGAGATGAAGAGGGACCTTTCACAGCAATGTTTGTCTTGGTAGCCTAGCTTGTACAGTATATCGAAGTCTAAGTCAAGAAGGTGACCCTGCCTGCAACGACACGAAAAGCTCGCGTTACGGGTCTTTGCCCGGTTGCAAGCTTGGATGCTGGCTACCAGTTGAGCGTTTGAGGATGATGAAGTGGTTGTTTTGAGGTTATGTATGAGTTGTCTGGGTTGAGGGGAGAGGAAAGGAGAATAGATGAAGGGTGAAGGGGTATTGGCTTGGTGGTAGGTAGAAAGTGAAATTCGTGGAGAGGCTATCTGAGGTTAGGTCAGCATTATTGGGAGATCGTGTAGTGATGACTGGAGCAAGTCAATCATTGCGTGAGAACGTTCCCATTTGATTGCGACATCGTCGACCGTACTTTCAGAGGTATTAATCTCGTCCTTTTTTCAAGACCACACGCTTTCATCCCACCTTAGGTATGTACTTCCACTCCCCGCTTAATTCCGTGAGGAGTTGAACATCGCCAGCCATGGAAGGAGCGACCAAAATTTAAGATTTCCAGTTCGATTTTGTTGCACATCGCAAATAAATGTCTCTTCCCCGTCAAAAATCAGGTGATATGGTATGATGAGGAGGGAAGGAGCGAGTAAAAGTTGAGTTTGAAACTCCGCTTTTGTTGCGTATCGCAAAATGAATACTTTTTCCCAGTCAAAAATCAGGTGATTTTGTAATTTGAAAGGGGAAAGAGCGAGGAGATATTGACTTTGAAGTTCTGTAGTCAAATATTAAGTTAGGTTGCTCGAGGGGCTTTGTTGTAACTAAGTAAGTAGGCTGTGATTGTTATTAGCAAAGATGTAAGGAGAGAGCTCAATGACCTTGATAGTAGCCATCTGCCCCTTCAAAGATCCAAAGGCAGCCTCAACTCCTGCGTCTCACTTATACGAGGATTAATGTTTGTCCAATACCAGGACAATGAGCTAGTGACGCGATTTCCAATGGTCTGGCTCTAAGAGTACAATCAACATTGTCACAATCTAATGTGAGCGTAACGTTATTGTGGATTATTTCCCCTATCAGTAGATGGCTTCAAGTCAGTGATGCCCCAACCTGCAATGCTCCATGTTAGGCGATGCATGCTCAAATTGTGGTGCCACAGTCGAAGCATTGCTCGATGGTTGTTGAGAGGTAGTATTATGAGATTGGGGAAAGAAGACAAAAAGACATGTTGAAGTGTAGAATGAGTAGTTGGTCATGTTCAAAAAAATCTCAAAAAAATATTCTCTCGAAGAGAGTAGTGATTGAAAGCTTTCACACTCTCTCACATATGTTGTTCACTGAAGCTCACTTGTCTCGGATCTTTGGAGGGGAGTAATGAAATTGAACTTACTTGTTTGATTAGGCCATGTCAGCGTGACATGGCCATCAGCACGGATGGAATGGTCGGATTGAACAGCAGCCGGATAGTCGGATGGTTGGATAGATGGTACAAACTCCTTTCGGAGATACAGCTACGTCAGAAAGCATTGATTGACGAAGCGGATCGGATCAGAGATCCGAACGGGTCGGGACATGGACGGATCAGAGAGATCGGAGCATGAACGGATCGGATCATAAGAACGGATCAACGCATCATCAGAAACGGATCGGATCATAGAATGGATTTTCTGTGATAAGCTCCGAGACAAGTGAGCTAAAGTGGCTGGGTGGCATGGCAAGGTTTCGCTTATTTAAATCTATACAGGACTAAACGTAGATAGTGCAAGGCTGCTCAAGGCAAGGCTGGAGTTTGTTTGTTTACCGAAGCTAAAAATTTGTCAACACAATGTATTGCACAAGGGAATTCTTTTGCGGTCTCATATACAAGGTAAGCAGTGGTTCACTCAAGCTCACACTGTCAGTGTCGGATTTTGACAATCAAATCACAGCCCACCTACTTCATTATGGTCTTGCAAGCAAGGAAAAGCAAGGGCGAGCAAGATAACTTCAACACGTGCTTGGGTTTACTACCAGGCTGTCCAGCCTTTCAGAAGAGAATGCAGTGGTACGTATGAATTTGAACGTACCGTGAAACTTGGTAAACTAGATGGGTAGTATTGTTCTAGAAATCGTGGGACAATATGAGTTGGAAAACTCAGATTCTTCGGGATTGTACACAACTTAATCTTTCGAATCTTGATCGAATCTTAGGTCACCCTAAAGACTTTGCCTAGTCATATTGTTCCAGAATCTCAGTCACATTGTCTCACAAACTCTGAAACAATATCAACTCGTAGGCCAATATGCAAAGCAAACAACAGAGAATTTATCTGAGACGAACATCAACATATTCACCACTCAGCTCCAACATTAAAATGGCCACCCCGTGAACAATGCTTGGCCCGCCCTGCTACTCTTCAGCTGGTTGCAAAGTAGGATCAGGTGCATTGACTTCAATCTTCCTGATTATCCTAGCCGGATTCCCAGCAACACAATGAAAATCAGGAACATCTCTAGTCACAACACTCCCAGCACCAACCGTGACACCCCTCCCAAGCGTAACTCCAGGAACAAGCACCACATTTCCACCAAGCCAGCAATCCTCACCAATCGTGATGGGCTTCCCAAACTCGGGCCCTCTCAAGCCGTTGCGGAGGAAAGGATCAAGAGGATGGCCGCCGCTGTAAAAAGAGCAATTGGGTCCGACCAGAGTGCGTGCTCCGATCGTGATTGGTGAGGTATCGATGAAGACGGCGTTGACATTTATGTAGACGCCTTTTCCGATTCTGACCGAAGTAAGCATAAATAGAGGATAAGGTGATTTGGGTGAGTACATGACATTGTATCCATAGTCTGCTCTGACTGGAGCATCGATATATGGTTCGTCTTGAAGGAGGATAGCATCTTCCTCCTCGGTTGCAGCTGGTGGAGGCAGAGGACTTTTGTCTTCGACAATGCTAAGTGTAGGATGAAAGATTAGCTCTGGACATGATGACTTGCTCATTTGTTTCGAAATTCTTACTCTCTCCAAAGCTCCACAAGCTTTCTTCTCGAGACATCCCCCGCATTACCGTAAACTTTACAGGCGCGACCACAACGTGCTCTCTGTGCCATCAACTCCGGCGTGAAACAAATGTACATTTCCCCATTTCGCATGCGGCGAAGGTTCTCTTCTTCGTCGAATCTTCTGTCCATCTTTGATACTTTCGAATGAATTGAATATGGCGGGTCCTTTTGAGTATGGGGTAGCAAGATATAGGAAATGAATACGAGAAGTGGAGAGTGGCAGTGCAGTTGAGGGAAAGGGTCGCTTAAATCGATATCCAAATGGTCAGCTCGCTAGGCAAAAGGGGTACGACTACAGCCCCACAAGGCACGTTTCAGTGGTTGCCTAGTTTCCTAGGGCAGAAGGAAGGCCGTTGCCCGTGACCGTTTGACTCAGATATATTCAATTTACTAGAAGTGAGACTTCCACATCTAATTGAGTGAATGCTGCAAACAATACACTAGCAAGTATCACAAAAAGTGTTACACCACACGAACTCGAGCAGAGCAACAGTTTGGCTGCTCGACCAAGTGTTACTTGGCTGCAACATGTACTATTCACGAGTCAATGCTTGCAAGCACAAAACAGAAAAGAGAAAAATGAAATCGGGCCTTCTCGTTTCTGAATCCAGATTCCGAGATTGTTCTGCTGTGGTCTTGTTTGTTTGTGGTTGCTGGGTGACATAACCTGCGAAGACTTTGCTCCGTTGGTACCCCCAAACACTTGTATATCATATACTTCAGGTTAAATTCGTCCTGAATCTCGAATATCCCTTGCACATCTCACCATACCCTGCCTAGATTCTCCTGAAAAGACACAATTTGGACAATCGCACGAGGCCTTCCCAGCACCCATGCCTAACAAGCCTGGTTCACTTCAACACATCCGTAGCATCGACGGCCGATCTATCATCCTGAGCAAGAGACTATGTTGGTGAAAAAGAGTTCGTACCATCTTCACAACTTTGCTTTCAACTGTGCCACTGTCGGAAGCGCCTTTCCCTCCACTTCGTCTGAGAACCGATACAAAATATCTTTGAAAGCTCCTGTGGGAAAGACATAGAACCACTTCAAGTCCTCCTCTCCCAGATTGAATACTCCATGCTCCGCATCTCCCGGAATGAAGACCGAGCTTCCAGCTTCAACTTCGTAGTTCTTCTCATCGATGCGTACGATTCCTTTGCCAGAAATGATATAGTATATCTCGGCTTGCTTGTGCCGGTGAGGACAAAGTCTTCCATTGCGAGGCTGACATGTGCCGATTCCTGAACACATGGAATCTGTTGGAGTTTGTGGCTGGGAGAAAATTGTATGCCAGGTGCAATTCCCTCTGTTGGGATTTTCGAATTGTTCAAGTGGTTGTGATGAGGTGTGGGATGCTGGAACAATCATTGGTTTTGTAATATTCGCCATCTTTTTGTACAAGAACTTCCACGTTTTGCTTTCGGACGCTTTAAAATAACGAGGTTAGGGTTGAGCTTTCACCATTCGAAACATAAGGGAGCGATGATTCCATATATCTTTGTTCGAGGATAGAAATGCTGAGAAAGGGAACCACTTCCAGAAAGTGGGGGTAAGGAAACCGTAGGCTCAAGGTAAGACTCCCCGAGTGCGGTCCGTCATTTAGGAAATGCTCTAAGAATTGAAAGTTAAGATAAGATTGTCCCAAAACTTGTGGGACAATTTAAGTGGGAAAAGTAGCTACGTCGAGATAGAGAGGAATTCGCGTCCCTCGCATCGCTTCATCCATCAAACCTTATTCTGCAATCGGGACTTAGCCATCTTACATTGTGCCACAAACTCTGAAACAATATTATCTTACCCTACAGTTTCTATCGTCTCCTTCGGCAGGGCGTCTCTTCTGCGATTTCGAAGTTCTTATCAAGATGCATCGTGGCACTGCATGACCGCGATGTTCTGTGGTCCTATGACGATTGCCGGGAAATCTCGTCCACATTAACTTTGCTCATCCCTTGAAATTCTCTATCGCGCTGCAACTCAAGACCAATTCGTGCCTGCATGCAAGTAGGCTTGTCAGATAGTTTGTCCTTGGATCTTTTTAGCGATATGTTATATTCGTCGAGAGCCATATTGCACTCACCGTTCCACATATTGCGTCAAAAAACTCCTAGTCATGCTTAACATGAATCCCAAACTTGGAGGTCATAGCCCTGATTGTGATGAAATCATCAACCTCAGTCCATACCCACAGTGCCAATGCCAAAGCCCATCCGATCATCTCAAAATCGCTCAAATTTGCTGAAAGATCCTGAAATTTGACGACAATGAAGCCGCAAAGCATGACCCATTCCGCAGCACGCGCGACTTCAGATCCTCGACCAAATAACTTTACCAGAAATGAGGACCACTCGCTACCCTCTGGTGCAAGCCTGTACACCAAGACCATTAGATCCACAAAAGAATCTGTCAGACCCATGCCAAAAATGATAAAAATCGATGTAAATTGTGAAATGAGCATATATGAAGACTGAAACCTGAGATAGAGGATGAAGTAGTATGTTAAGCTCTGAAGGAGGATATGGTGTCCTTGTAGGAGTGGAGGCGATGGTCTGTACAGGATTTCGAAGAGGTAGCCGATCGCTGTGTGGTTGATGATATTGAAAAGCTCATCAATTGACGAAGCATCAAGACTTGAAGATGTTATGGAAGGTTGACGCGACAGGAATAAAGCGATGATGACCAATTTGAAGCCAATGATGGGCGGAATAATAGACAGCTGTCTTTGATGTAGTGCAGGCCGGGTATCGAATCGATTGATGAATCGTGAAAATAATTTGGAACAGAGCTCTGTGGCCAGATACAGGGACAAGATCTCGAATGGTATCGTAAGCCGATCTTTTTGCCTGTCTGCGAGTAAAGCTGAGAGGTTCTCGACTAGAGACATGGCTGCCATCGAGAAAGCAAATACATGAAAGAAAGCGCTTTCCCAGGAACGCTTGGTATATAAGGCTGTGGAGTATTCAATGATGTGGTAAGACATGGTGGCGTTATGTTGGGGGTGTTGATTCGAGGGATACGCGATGCAGCCGACTCATGCAGTATTGATTTGTCAGACCGGAGCTGACTGGATGAGGGAAGCCTTCCGCGTAGAGTACAAGCCCTGGTTCAGCATCGCGTTGACATCCAATTTCAAGTACGAGACCATCTGCCATTGTGTTCCAAGCTAAAATTCCTCTCTGCAGCCTGATAACAACCAAAAGCTCGAATTCCGACACTTTAGAGGACTTCGCAACGAAAACGGGGTGTTACAAACAATCAATACAACGCCTCAAGTCACTTCGAGCACAGCAGTAAACCTTTGACAGTAATTGAAGTAATTGAAGTTGACCAGCACAACAGATCTGGAAGTCTAGAAACATTAAAGAATTTTCTAGAATGGATACGGGCTATTAAGTGAGATGTTACTAGAGGTAGATGCAATCGACGATAATGGTTAGACGAATGAAAGCTAGTTCCAAGTGACTTACTTTGCAAGATGCCTGTCGCGGCATTTGGCACCGAATTTGCAGTAACCTGTCTTCTAGAATCGAGGTCACTTCTGATGCGGCTTGGGACCAATTGCAAGACCATCACTTTGCTTGGATCCGGGTCCATTGAGCTATGCCCATCCAAGGTTCTTTATCCACGTGACTCTGAAAATAGGGGCCTAAGCGAGTGAGCTTTGTCTGTGTGGCGTCCTTCCTTGGTGAATGGGACGTACAACAAAGAAAAGTCCGAGCCGTTCGATATATTATATCCAGTGTGTTATTTTGAGAAAGTTGGATATTTATTAACTTTTACACTAGATATAGTGATGATTACAGATATATAGCTCACATAACTATTGCTCGAAAGATAAAGGAATGTTAAGTGAGCCAATCGCTCTATATAGGGCTGTATGGCCTATTTCAAAAACCTCTAAGTCACCTGATGATCCAAAAATAGTAAGGTTATCCCATTAGTAGTCCCTGCGAACCCTCCTCAACATATACCCCCTAAGTTTTGCGCCCAAACTTCCTTCCTTCGACAACTTGCTTAGAAGTAATTCGATGAGCCCCCTCGACATGGATATTACTCCAGAAATCATCTCTGAGATCCCTTCAAATGAGCCAATGGAGATCTACCAAGAGGATCAAAAGTCGTATCCTAGGCTCGCACCTAAATCCAGTAAGCTACAATTAAACAGTGCCTATACAAGATACTGATAGAAAGCGAAAGCTGGTGTTATGTCCATTTCCGGGCGTAAGTCTGCAGCATCGAGAACGACCGCCAGATCAGACAAAGCCGGTGTCCTTGACAAAGCCATTGTTCGCCGCAGACCTGCTACTCAAAGAACCAGCGCCAATCTACTTCGCGCAACACCTACACGCACAGAATTAGAAGCCGACGGAGAACTAGAAGTCGAAGCAGAAATCATGGAGCTGTTTGCGAAGCCTCCGCCTCTAGGTAGAATCCGAAACAAATGCTGGGTGGATCTCAGGGAAAGATATGCGAACTCTGCTCAGAAGCAATGGGTTGGAAAGGTAAAGTCTTGCCTGATATGACAGATACCATTGAGGTCCTCAAACTAATGAAGTCGTTCCCCTTGCATACAAATCAGCTTCTGCATGTGCGGGACAAGCTGGAAGCTATTTCGAGAGCGTAAGACTTTCACCCTTCAGGATAGGTGGAATGTAAAAGAAGTTGACGCATATAGCAAACCTAACTCGGACTTCCTGTTCTTTGAACTCTTCCCCGCTGAAATTCAAATGCGAATCTTCGAAGAACTTGCGTCATATGATCGTTTCATCGAGATCGAGCGGCAGTATAGCGATCTAGACCCTATTCCTTACTGGCGTTCGCACTCCACGAGAATCGAAGGCACTTCGGGCTGGCACCGGGATGTAGGCGCACGATTTCACCAGTACTTCCGAGTCAGTCAGAAATCTCTCCGCCCTCCTCTCTTCTTCAACATATCCCAGGCCTCTCGATCTATGTTCAAGAAACTGTATAGCCAAATGCGTTTCGACAATCTTGACCCTAGATCCGAAGCAGCTAAGTCTAGTCGAATCATCTGGTTTAACCCGAAGACAGACATCATCTTGTTCTGGGTAAATACATGCACCACGACGCTGAAGGAGTTCTGTCAATTCACACACAAGGCTGATATCGAGGTGCCGCGTATTGCATTGAAGCGGAATAGTTTATGCTGCCACTGGAGCCAAGACTTTGACCAAGAACATGCAGACTTTGCAATCGTATATGGAGAATACCCCGAGCCTGGTATGGAAGCTATCGAGTTCTTACATGGTATTGATCCCGACGAATTCCTACCCGAGCCTGCCTGGACAGCATCGACAGTGATGACATCTGCTCAGCAACTGGAAATGAAACGCACCTTCCCAGGCTGCAAGGGGTTCAGAGAGTTACTCATGCTTGGTACGACCGATATATTCGGACCACCACGTGCTGGAATGGTTGATGAGAATACTGTTGCTCGAGTTAACCATGACAAAGTACATAACTACTGCGACATGTTGACACTCAAATTCGCTAAGAGGCAGCAAAGGCGCATCGAAAACAAGAAACGTTTGACTCGTCTTACAGAGACCGTACCGCGCTGGACTGCCCTCGAAGATCCCCCAAAGATCAGAGTCATGCAACTTGCTCAACGAAATCTCGATTTTCCGCCCAACTGGAACTACCGTGTGGATCAGTATTTGAGAAAAGACGTGAAACTCATTGTCCCATCGAATGATCTTACTTTCCTGAAGATTATTGCAGTCAACAACAATTGCCAAATCCAGGTCCAGACAGCTGTCGGTGAACGAGGAGATCCTGACGAAGGACTTATCAACTATATGGAGATAGGCATCATAGGTCCCACGGAGAAGGCTACATCCAAAGCCTCTCGCGACATCTCAGACCTGAAGATCTGCTCGCGCCATTTCAGCACCCTCAGCCCATCTCGAACACATTCACTTTTTCCTTTCCCTGTGCTCGAGACAGGCAAGGTTAGGTGTAAGTGCGACAATTCCGCAGGGCATTTCCAACAGTGTGACAGTTGCAGACTGATCACTGCCCGTTTTGCCCCTCGGCCGCTATGTCCACACTACACGAAGAGAGAAGAGGGTATGATTCGTGAACGTAATCCATCCTGACTCGATTTAATATTCACGTCCTTCATTCGGGAAATAGTGATTTGGATTATTTTTGCAGCAAGGATCGGATGTTAGTGGCTCAGAGCAGTGTTTTTGCGAAGCTTTCTTTGATAATTTCCTCGTCCGCATGCGTCAAATGATTGGTTTATCCAAGAAATGAAATTCTCAACACTGGAAAACTTGCCCTCTTGTAAAGATTCTCTGTGTCACACAACAGAGCACTGTTATGGCTGTAAACTTGCCTCTAGGGTATCGATGTTGCTGTGAGAAACATCTCTGCCCCTTCGTTCTCTCGTTTCTGAATTCTCAAAAGATCATTGGCCCTGATCTTGACGAAGGACACGTTTTGTAACGAGTAGGTGCACGACATTGCGTCATATCAAAATTGTCACGGTGAATACAGGTTTAATAAGTGTACACTAGCGCAAGATGGAAACGGATGTATACCTTTACTGTCTACGGTAGCCTCGCATGGACCAAACACAACACCTGCCCAATTCAACGTTATATTGTTAGATCCCACCCTTGCACAAAACATCCGCAAAAGGCGATCGCCACTCTGCTTCTCACTTTTTTAGTTGACTAATTCTTTTCTACAGCGCAACTGAAGAGCCAATATCCTCATTAAGTGCTTTCATAACGAAGCGCAATTGAGCTCCTCTGCAAAGGGTCTCAGCTCTTTGGATAAAGTAGTTAGTAAGACCTTCCAGCACAATATGATCTCTTTAGTCGACACTAATTCATTCGATTTCGAGAAGCTGATCAGTACTCAGATTATGCAGATCACCGTCCTTAATATTTCGCGCTCGGAAGGAGATCGTGACGATGATCAAACAGCTGGTAATGCCAGAATGAAGAACAAGAGTATCGACGAAAAAGGGTAGTGAGCCCTCGAGACTTCCATTCCGTGAGAAAGGGCTTACTTCTGCAGTACTGTACCAAATACTTTCCACTGTTTCCCTACCCTGCCATCTGAGCTCCGTCTGAAGATCTGGAGCATGGTCGCCAACCAACGGCGCATCATAGAGTTCAGACACACTGGAAATAGACCTCGTGTTTGTTCTCGGTCTTCCAAACCACCCGCTGTACTTCACACAAATTACGAGTCTCGCACCGAAGGACTAAAATTCTATGAGCCTCGAGAATTTGACAAGAGACAATTACCTAAGAAGTGCTACTACAATCCCAAAGCAGACATCTTATTGATTGGTAGAGACTCTGACACTGCAGCAATCTATTACACTTTCCAGAGATACCGCCGTGATGGACCTATTCCTCGCGTGGCAGTCATGCTGACCGATATTTGCGAAAAGGGAGGTACGGTGTGGAACCCTACCAAAAGGACGTATGAGAAGTTGAGCATCTTGCAAGCTATCCACGGATTTGCCGAGGACATTCCAGGCGTCGGCAGCCAGCGAAGAGGTGGCTGTGTCGGATTGAAGGAAATATCGTTTATAGTCGACTCCAGGTATGCACCAAACCCGTCCTCAATCTTAGAATGACCATACTAACTTCTACAGTCTCTGGCCAGTCGCAGCAGGAAAGATCGACAGCTCGACTACATTTCGTCCAGCGATTCGCGAGGCCCTAGGTAGACGTGACGCTCTTCTGAAACTCAGACTGTGTAATGAGATCAGCGGACTCGTTAAAAACTTGGGTTTGGACGGCAAAAATACTTGGGTTGGGAAAGATAAACCAACCTTGAAATTCGTGAGCTTTGCACCGACATCTGTGTCAGGAGAAGTGTACGATGGTTTGGCGGTAGACTTGGAAAATATGTCGTTACTGGAGAAAAATGACTGGGCAGTCATTAAGCAGCTTGAAAGCTCAACTGGCTGCAAATTCGAGATTCCAGGAGAGGAGTATTTGGGTGTTAGCGAGATTGGGTTGTTTGGTGAGCGAAAGAACGTCTCCGCAGCTAAGAGGGAAATTTTGAAGCTATTGGTAAGTGCTCAACTCATGTCATATACGACTCAACTTAACCCGTTCTCAGGAAGACACACCGAGCTTCTCTAAGCTATCCTTGAGCTCTTAGCCTCAAAGCTATTGCTGCTCATCATCAGGAGACGTTGGTACTTAGAGGCTGATTTTTTGAGGTCTTGAACAGCTTCTGCAGAGATATCAGAAGGATTGAGCCCTGATAGCAGCGTTAATTTCCCCCATATTCTAATATAATGAAGCCCGTACATCGAAACGAAGAAGTATGATTACTACTTTTGTGACGGGTTGGGAGAGGAGTTAGGTTATGTATACACGAATGAAACTTGCACTCATATTACTGCCGATTACATTTTTCTTCAGAAGGAGACATTCTCACATGTAGCGATTGATTAGAATAGGCTACTATTAGAAAATACTAGCACAAATAGTAGTGAAAGGACGTTAGAGATATTTGGCTATAACTTGTGTTTGAGGATGTGATGTTTAGTCTCTATTTGGACTCATGCCCTCCGACTTGACTCATGAGACTAAGCTAACTAGTAGCATGGAGATGTTCGGATCCGAAGGTTGAAGTTTAAGAAACAAGTGTATGAGAGTTAAAATTGATCTGATGTAACATATACAAGCCCCACGTGAACGCCTCCAAATTCCCACTTGCACACTAACGTAGCCTCTTAGCGCACAATGGTATAGGTGAACGAAATTTTTTTATACGTACCCTGATCCATCTTGAATAACATTCTCGAACAAGATCTATTTTCTACAAATCTCTGTCACCATGTCTCCAAAGGACGCCGCACGACTCTCTGGAGCATCGCAAAAGCATCTCAACTCGAATACCACGGCCTCTATGCCTATTGTTCGTAAGAGCTGGGCGCAAGTCGCTATACGCACACCCAGCGCCGCAGGTTCTCCTATCGTTGGTCCAGCTGCGCAAAAGGAGCATCGTGTCCCGATTCCCATCACCACTACGCCTGTCACCATGCCTGTCACCATGCCAATCGTTGGCAAGAGCTGGGCTCAAGTTGCCGCTGTATATTTCCCCCTGCTGCCAGAGACTTTAACCCTAGCCATAATTTCTTCAAGCAAATCATTGACGTTTTTGTAGATCAAAAAGCCATCCACCACCTCTTCGCCAACGGCCCTGCCAAAGACTCGAGTCATCACTACATCGCCCACTAAGTTAGTTAATTCCACGGTTTGTTTACCTTCGTCGTACGTACAACAATTATCTAATTGCTGAAAGAACGCAATGCTAATATTGATTTAGGGGTGGAACCGGTAGTGCCTCCACGAGGGCTAAAGAGCATATCAACTATCAGATATCTCTAATCACACATAACCCAAGTCTTGAGCCCTCTAAAGATCAACAGAAGGTAGAAGAGAAGACATCGAAGAAGGAAAAAGGAAAAGAGAAGTCCACAGTTCCGACCGAGCCTGAGTGAGCAAATCAACCTTTCCTAGTTTTAAAAGTCGTTGCTAATATTATCAGTAGCCTTGATCTCTCGACAACTTTCATACCATTCCCCAATCTACCTCTAGAACTGCGCCGTCAAGTGTGGCAATGGGCTGCGTTTGTCCCGAGATTCATCGAGATTGAAAGGATCACCGATGATCACAGTACCAGCTGTGTGTCCCCTCGATCTCGACTCCCTCCATCTATCCTGCACGTCAACCACGAATCAAGAGTCGAAGCCCGAAGAATTTACGAACTTCGCAAGCACCATAGTTCTGGCCGTGATTACATCTACTTCAACCCGCATGTGGATATTGTTCTATTCGGGGAGAGAACTTGCGTCAAGACTATGAGGAGGAACGTGGTTAATGGCCCAGCTCCTCGTGTAGCTTTCATGCTCAACTCGGACATCGAGGAATGCTGCAGATATCCAGAGCTGCTACCCCAACACGACGAATCATATATACGTCGTTCAGTGGATGAATCGCTCTTATACCTCCCCGGAGGGAAGCGAGGACAGGACGCTGCAAACTTTCGTTCAGAGGATTGTGCGTGCGTGTTGGGTGGGGGTTGAGGTGTGTCGGCGAGTGGTGGGGTGGGTGGGGTGAGGCGAGAAGAGGGAGGAAAGGAGAGGGCGAGAGGGGGTTTTGAGGTACGGATGGGAAAGGGGGGAAGGTGCGGTGAGAGGGTTGGTGGAGGTAAGGACGAGGGAGGGGAAGGAACGACGGCTACCGTGGAAGATGCTGTTGAGGATAGAATTTGGACACGAGAGACTCGCTGATTGCCAAATAAGCTGAGAGGAAGATTGCAGCTTTGTATTGTCCTCAATAATAAATACAGTACTCTTTTCAAAATAGACCTGCCAATTCCTGTTGGACAGCGTGCCCGCATCGAGGTCCTCTTCTCGATTCTTCACCGAAAGGGCAGGCGCGATCGCATAGTGCAAGACCAGATGCACTTGACAATGAATTCGGGAACATCCTATTTTCCCCACACATGACACAGGAACCTGTGACTTGACGTGAGCTTCAGCTTGAAGCATTTGTGATTGAGAATTGATCCAGACTTCGTATTCACATTCAAAGGAATGCATCGGGGTGGCTCATTCGTCAATATCCAACCTCATCACCAAGTCACAAAAAGAAGAAAGGAGAAGGAAGGTGGCTTCCGGTTCATATTTGAGCTTGACCTGCGGAAGGAGTTGGAAAGCAAGACTCAGCCTCAATTCAGCCTCCTATTAATATTACCGAACCAACAGTCAGCTGCAGCGAATTTTCTCGAACAAAGTCAATCTGACACACATCCATGGTCTGAAGCAACGTTAAACTGCGCTGCAGCCAGATATTTCAGGAGTTGCACTCGGCAATCTAAGTGATGTGTGGTTGGGATACTTAGTGGAACGTAACGTGAGGCTTTTTCATCTCAGCTTCTCAAACATGAGACCCTGGATCGGCACGACAATTTTCCGGACAGGTCAGATCAAACGAAATGAACGAATTGATGTGCATATTAATATCAATCTCCTTCAACGGCGATCGACAAAGCGCAATCAGAACATCGTACTCCCTATCGAATGGATAGCGATACAACCAATATCTGGATTAATCATGAAGCCTTACCGTACGTACCAGCCACAACGCAGCACCGCTTTGACTGAGTTCTTCAACGCTTCTTGAGCTTAAAATAAATCGAGTCTTAGGCTTAGCGTGTGTACGAGTACCAAGTACTTCGTAAATTCTCCCGGAAGCGCAGTTCTTACATTTACCCAATCATGTAGCTTGATGCTCCGCCCACCAAGCCGGATTGGGGTCTAGCATCGGCCCGCTGATTGGCTTCCGTACGAGCCACTGACTGGCGTCTGTAAAAGTGGGACCTGCACCAGCCATTCCCTCACTCCACTGCCCTACCCATCGCCGCCTATGGCCAAGCCAAGTTCTTCATGATCTGGATAGAGGCAAACGTCCCAAGTCTCTCGTCAGCTCTTCTTCTATCATCACATCAACAACATCTCATCTTTTCTCCCTCCTCTCCTCCCTTCTCTCCCATCTTACCCGCGTCACAGATTCGTCTCCATCGCCGATCATGCTGACGAGACATTGATACGCCCAATCGCCCTGCCACAATTGTAACCGAAATCCTGCCAAAACGTCAAGAGACAAGCGCGTCAGCACTCGGAACCCTCGCCCGCCGTCAGCCTGCCTGTTCAAAGGGCCACCAACTCGGCGCCGACATTAATTCACAAACGTATAATTCATCTCTTCATTGAGATCACACTCGTTTATTATCCATAATGCATCTTTGGAACGGTGTCGGATTGCAGGCTCGCCAGGTTGGGAGCGGGCCTGATTCGAGTCCGGGAGGTCCTCCTTCGAGCAGTGTATCTTTGAATATGACAAACACCCCGACTGCAACAGCCTCGCCCACAGCTTCTGCGACGAGTACAACATCTTCCAATGGAGGTGGGAGTTCTTCAGTGATCATTGTCTGTATCTCTCTCCTCGAGGCAAACCGGTTTGCTAACAGTTCACCCAGCCGATAATAGCAGCTGTCCTTGGAGTCCTTCTTGCACTAAGCGTTTATATCCTCCTCCGAAGAACCCGAATGCGACACAAGAACCCCAAATATGTCCCTACACCATTCTTGAAGAAGCTGTGGGAGAAATGGGAGCCTAATCCCATAAAATACCGTTTACCAGACACGAACGACTCTCTCGAACCTATATCCAATGGCCGGACGACTGGTCTTCGACCACCAGGAAGATCTACAGCTCCACCATCCTCCTTCGATACAGCAACTAGAGAAGCAGTGGCCGCGGCTGAGGCCAACACTGCAGCCGCTGGCGTAGACAGGAATACATCGGTGCGATCGGTCATGACGTTACCGGCGTATCACCAAAATGCAATGAATAATGAACAAGTACTAGGCAGAGAAGGAGACCGTGGTGGTATCGATGTGGTAATCGAGTTCCCGGAAACTGTCGACGAGGAAGAACTGCGCAGAGAAGAGGAAATGGAAGCTTTATATCAAGTCCGACTTGCCCGACGACGAGAAAACGAAGAACGAGAAGAGCGGAGAAGGTTACGGCGAGAAGCACGAGAGAGGGGCGATTACGTTGCATTACGGGAGATTGCAGCCCGGGCTCGAGCAGCAAGCAGTACAAGTGCTTCACAAACCGTTGAAGATTTAAGAGCCGAGCATGAGAGGATCAAGAAAGAACGACAAAGGGCAGTATCATCAGTCTCATACGCAGACCTAGGAGTGGCACGACACGATGGCACTAGGTTACGAGCCAACAGTCAAGACAGCGAGCGACAAGGTCTACTTGGAGACGCAGCCTCAATAGCAGCCTCTTCACATTACCACCGCCGCGACCGATCCGCCAGTTCCGTCCTCTCCCTCGACACAATGAACGATGACCTACCATCTCCTCGATTAACACGATCGAGAGCAAATTCAGGCGCAGCAAGCGTAGGTCGGTCGAGTCACCAGGCAGAACGACCAGGGACCGCAGGTACCAGAGCAGGAAGCAGCCCAGAAATGATCGAACACGACGACATCCCTCCCAACAGTCCTCCAGGATATGAAAATATCTCCCTCGATACACCACACGATGAGATCCCACGAAATCCTCTCGAACCACCTCCAGATTATTCCTCGCCTGTCCTCGCTCGCGGAGATCCTCACCCTACAATCGAATCCGAACTCCCCACCTCGGAATTCAACACACGACGCGATTCGAGACGCCAATCGACAGCGAGCAGCCGACGCGAATCGAGGAGGAGCTCAACACATATCGCACAATTAATCAGCGACAGTAGAACGAGCAGTAACGCGAGTTCAGGAAGCCACAGAAGCGGAGTAGGCGGTGTACCACAACTGCCAAGTCTGAGATTGGCGCAATTACCCAGCATACTGGTTGACCCTGGAAGCCCTCGAGTAGGCAGGGTACAAGAAGAGAATTTTGGAGATGAAGAGAGAGATTTAACGGATCAGAGGGAACACCACCAATGAGAGGGATAATACCGCGACGACATAGACGAATAATGATAGGATACAAACACGAAAACAATGATCTTACACTATACTATACCCTTTTCTACTTACAATCTTTTTGGACATTTAGCAGGCACAGCAAGGCGCCAGGGACATTTGGAGGGGAGATCTGATGTAATTTTTGGGAAAACTTTTAGTGTATATATATACCGGAGTTGAGGATGACTCTGCATCAGAATGCATGATTATTTCTGTGTTCAAGTTTTGGAGTGAATGATAGGCTGGAAATCAGTCAAATCAATTTTCGAGTGAAAGCCAATTTGACTGTTGGGAAAGAACCGTATCTTGCCTCGTTTTCCTACATCTTCATCTATAAAAGCATCAAGAAGTCAAAGTAGTAGAAATATTTGCACCAAACGTTCTAATCGACCTCTGCGCCACGTGGCCTGCCAACGGTAGGCCGGCAGCAGAGAAGTCTACTTATTTCTGTTCGCCATGACCAGAATCTGACTCCTCGTTTCCTATGTCTCAAGTTCAGCACACTATTGTCGACCTTTTTCTTGTTGTCAACTCGCAACTTCTATTCCCAACGCCCCAAACTTGAACGAACAGCTTCCTCTTGGAAAAGAGCCCTAAGCAAAGAATCCCAGACTGGAAGCTCCGGTGCCTGGTTGGCGTCGATCTGCGAGATTCTCTAGATCGGTACAACGTTATTCTGTGGAAGAGAAATCTCAATTGAGGATTGTAGATGTTTTTATACGTGAGGAGTAGGTGATGATGATTTTGAAAAAAAGGGTTTGCCCTTGTCCAAAGCGCCAGTATTCGCCTAAGGCGCCAATGTCATGATACGACTCTCCGGACTAACAAATTTTTTTTTAAAAACCCGATATATAGTGAATTTATTTAAAACTATTTGGACGGATTTTATTAGCGTGAAGACGGAGGGTATATAATCCGGCCTCCGTCCTCCGTCTTCCTTAGATAACTTTCAAAAGACTCCATGGAGTCACATTGGTGTGTTGGTGTGTGGAGTCAGGTGTGTGGAGCCAGGGACGTGGAGTAAAGTATAGAATTCTAAAGTGTATTAGATTGTGGTGTTAAAGTTGCTTAGATGTAATTACAAGTTGTTGATAGCAAAAGATTTAATAATAATAAAAAGTTTATCAATAATAAGATTATTTGCCCTTGTCTAAAGAGCTGAATCTTCGCCTAAGGCGCCAATGCCATAATACGACTTTCTAGAGTCAAATTGTTTGCCTTTGTCTAAAGCGTTGAATGTCCGCCTTAGGCGCCAAGGCGATGAGACGACTTTGATTTTGAAAGGAACAGTGAATTCGTAGTTACGTGCAGCTTTTGGGATTTGACTGTCATGAGATAGATACAGTGGGGAGAGGTGGCATTCACCTCATACCAAAGTTGCCCAGCGTTGGAAAATACTAACTATTTCTATTCACCATAAAGCCTGGCAGCCTTCTAGAAAAAGGAGGACGGGCAACCAACGATTTACAATTTCTTACAAATTAAAATCATCCCCATCCGAATCTACATCGACAAGGCGGAATTTGAGTACGCTGAACTTCGACCGCCATTAGAGCACAAGAACACCCAGAGTTGTCACAATGACTTCTTGCATAAGAAACCTTCTTGCTGTCAACCTCCTCTTTGTCGTCAACGTCCTTCTTGTCATCAACTCACAATTTCCACCCACCGAGCATTCCAGCAGCTGCCTACAACGCCACTCAGCTATCCCAAATGATTGTTCATTACGCAACGTTGACTAACACGACCAGCGGCCACCACCTCCGGGCTCTCCCCTGTCAATGCGTAAGCAAATCATTCTGGTGTGTAAGAAAGAGGTTTGGGTCGGGGGTCTGAGGGTTTTTATACTCTGTGGGCGCTTTACCTCATCAGGTGTGAATTGTTGCAGAAGCAAAAATTTTCAGTTGGCTGGGAGGTGTTGTATTCACTTCACAGCCTTGCTGGTAGGAGTGGTAGGAGAGTTAGGCGTGAATATGCGTGGAAAGAAAGGGAGAAGCTGCCGCTCGCGGATGTATATATACGCGCCTCTCCTCGATAGAACAAGATCAATTTTCATTTCTTCACAACGAACGCAACACGTTCGTTGCTCTCCTCAGGCCCGGATCACATTTTTTTGGGAAGCGTTAACTTGTACAAAGTATAACTACTGTTATACTTGGAGAACCTTGGGTATGAATTCCCGCTGTCGTCATATTGACCTTGCTGTTGCCAAGTTCTATGTTACTGCCAAGTCCATTGTTCACTATACTGTCATGGCCTCCAGTCTTTCCGCTCCGGCTGCAAGACCATGACCCGACGCTGAACAACGTTCTCAGTCCCGGTACCTTGTCATGGTCATCCCGGAGGGTACCAGCCCATTTGAAGTTCAACCGACTCTGTGGGGAAAAAAGGTTTGGGTCACGATAAGTGTGTGTATTTATACCTGAGACGTAAATAAGGAGTGATCGATCTTTTTCAAAAAAGAGATTCGTGTTGTAGCAGTGAATATAGTTTTGTGTGTGTGACTTTGTTATCTCGAGCTCACAGACAGAGTGAGTCACTGGTTTGAATCGCTACTCACTTCTTTGCTCCCAAATCAGGCAGCTACACGAGGCGTGCGGAAAATAGAAAGATTTTACCCTCCCACCCTGGTATATAAAGGCGGACAGAGCGGCCGATTTCACGCTTTCACACAATACATGCTTTGAAGGCGAGGAGATCACTATAGACTTCCTACGAAGGCCGACGCCAGCTTCTCTAGGAGGGTTTCGGATGTGAATTCATTGAGGCCGCGGGGTTAGTGGGATCTTACGTTGGGGGACTATGAACTAAATGAAAAGAGAAACGGCAGTGAGAGGATACATGGCGAAGCTGGTTAACGTTGACAACAGGAGAAAGTTTGACAAGAGAAATGGAATTCATTACAGTAAAGTTCAGAACGTTGAAAAAGAGAAGCGATCCCACATACCACCACAGTCTACAGACTTTCCTTTACCACAATCCAAAGCTCAACAACCAATAAGGAGGACGTGGTGGACCGGTACTCTGTTTGTCAAAAGAACGGAAAAGTGGTCGGCCCGTTGGGCCTTTTTATAGACTTTCTTTGACTCATTACAATATTCGAAAGTTCACCTGCTATACACTTCTTCGTTATGATACGACATTCACCTTCTCCGCTTTTCGACTAATGGTGCTTATCCTTTTGTCTTTGATATGATGTTGGGTTCCAGAACTTTTGCTGTCCTATTCACTCTGGACTTTCTCCGCAGCCACATTCACCCTTTCCCATAGTGCGTTCCCTCAGTCTCACCTCTAAACAACTCAGGAACCTTGTTCTCCAGAATAGTATACAAATCACCCTCCCACATTTGAAAATCTGGATCATCAAAACCAAAAGTCCTTTCCCACGAAACCCTCACATTGAATTCATGAATAATGATCCAGCCCTTTTACCCCACTAATAAGCTAACTGGTTCTTAACAACGGCAAACATACATAGCAACATGTAAAAGCTGCTCTACCGGAACAACATTCAACAACAACTCAATGTCTCACAAAGAGCGCTTCGCAAATCCAGTAAAAGTCAACATGCTCGAAAAACTAGCGATTGAAGGAGTCCGTGGATCTACGGAAGCAATTCGAAGTAGGAGAGGAGATGTATGTATGCCCAATTACAAATACTCTGCTCCACGTTTTACAAATTGACTGCCATCTCTCATATTTTCGAGCTTCATTCACTTTGTAGTAGCCACTCTATCCGTGTACTCATACTTGCAGTCTTTCGCACCCAGGTGGAGCTTAATCTTTATGCTTACTTCAATAGAGATGAAAATTTATGTCCACTGTCTTTATATGTTCTGAATTATAATTTTGTAAAACAATGTCTTAGATTTGACTTTTCATTCCTTAAAGTTAGATTTGATTGGATACCAGAGCTTGATAATATCTTTCAGATATATGACCTCGCTCACCCTTCTCAATATAATCACCCGACAACTGCTCTGGGTGCACCCGGATGTACCCGAAAACAAGTCGGGAAGAGCAGCAGCGAGCTGTCTCCAAAGTAGAAGAAGGAAACCTACCAATTCAGAGGTGTGTGCGTATTTATAGGTGAGCGGAGTATTGAAATTCCTGGGGAGCAGGCCTTGAAAAAGTGAATTTGATTGACTTCTCTTTTCTGTTGGGCAATTGGAACTTTAACCTTATTTCGTACCGGAATTGTGATTCATATTCCAAATACAAGAGGATGATATTTTATGGAAGTGCTGGCTTCACCTCATAGCTTCTTCCGGAGGTGTCAAATTTGTAACCTGGATTGGAGTGAATCTGCGGGGGAAAACTGGAGTGCGAGAGGCTTAGGTATATATATCTCCCTTTTCCACCTTCGACCTGCTTCTGTAGGTCTGTAACACTCTCATTGCTCATGTGGAGAACCATCATCCGTGAATCATAGGTTTGGGTAGAGATGTTTATCTTTCCCGTGTATTCAATTTTGCTAGCTTTGTGTACTACTGCTGAGTTGTTCCTGGAAGATTCTTTGGGAAGTTTGAGAGTGCATTTCCGTGTTACGAAGTATGTTTGTTGTCAAATAGCTAGTAGGGTTGCTTTGATAAATAGGAGGAAAAGCTTTAAACGGGATGAAACAAGTTTGTTTCTGTGACAGTGTGGGAAGGGAGCTTGGATATGCCTTATATGAGATTCAGAATTAATCTTTTGAACTGATAGATTCTATTTGGATATGTTTTGGTACTTATGCAGATATAGTAATTTAAGCCAAAAAGGAAAATTGGAATGTTCGTTTGTGATTGGATTTAGTTGAGCGATCACGTGGATTTCTGCAAACTCGAGTTGAACCTCTACCACCTGCAATATTGCGACCTTCACAAGACCGTCCGAGAACAGATGCAAACCGACTAGTCAGCCCTTATGCTTGAATCTTGATGCAGACGAGAAGGTGACCAGCTCTCGACAAGTTCACTCCTTCTGTAGCTCTCCCCTTTAAATCTCGGTTACGGCGCCCCACTTCTCGCCACGCCCTGCATATGTGATGAAGCATTCTCACAAGTACAGCGGATAAGCTTTACCATCATCACCCTGCACTCATTGAATATGTGAATATGGACGTCATGTGCATTTCTTCCTGTATGATCGCCTACTAAATATGCGGACTCTGATATCAGCACTAACCAAACTCTAGCTCAAACTAAATTCTCATCACGAACAGAAAATAGAGACAAACTTACAACGATTTCCTCCACTCCAATGATTGAGCAACCGTCCCAATGGCTTCATACCAATCTTCAAACCTCATCCCATGGACCCCAGAAACGCGAAGCGTCCCGGTAAAAATACTCATTGTCGGCCTCTGGCGCACAGGAACCAGCTCCCTCCTCCAAGCCCTCCAAACCCTCGGGTACCACAACACATACCCTCGCGACTCGCCCTCTCCCAACACCTGGAACAGCCTCTCCTACAACCAAGCGTGGAACCGAGTCATCGACTCCAAATTCCTGGACGGGAACGCCATCCCGCGCGAAACCTTTGACGAGCTAATGGGCGACTGTATGGTTATTTCTGGGGTACCGTGTCAGTTATTTCTGGATGATTTGTTGGCTGCATATCCAGATGCGAAGGTCATTCTTACGGCGAGGGATATGGAGAAGTGGTATCCTTCGATTATAAACTCTTTCGAGTATATTTCTACCAGGTCGATATTCCGCGTTGCGGCGCTGTTCAACACTTTTGTTAGAGAAAGGAGTGGGTATCTGGATCGAGTCAAGTATTGGGGATATTACGATAATTTACCGGTGTTTGCAAAACTAGTTCATAAGAATCACGTTGAGAAAGTGAGGTTGTTGGTCGAAGCGGGGAGGATTAGGAAAGAGGATTACTTGGAGCTGGAGGTTGGGCATGGATGGAGGCCGCTTTGTGACTTTTCGAGTGCGGAGATGCAGGAGGGAGAGTATCCGAGAGTCAATGACCTTAAGAGTGTGAGGAAGATGTTCTGGCAGACGCTGGTTCCGAGAGCTTGGTGGATTGCTGTGAGAGGTGTGGGCAGCTGGGTGGTTCCGTTTGTTGTTTTGGGGGCGGGGTGGTGGCTGAGGGGTGGGAGTGGTAGGTCGAAGTTTTCAGGGAGTTTACTGTAGAAATTGGAATACAAGATGATATTACTCCAGAGTTTGTGGGACAATGAGAGCGGATTAAGTCCCCAATGAGAACTAAATTTTGAGAGATGAAATGGTGTTGGAGCCAAAGAACGAGAATGCTCTTTTATCTTGAAAAATATCCTTTTTCTTATTATGTTATCCCCCAAGCTCTGGAACAATATTATCTCATGTGCTAAATTTTGCAGTATTTCTCTGGAAGGAGTAGGTATAAGTGTAATGGGACTATTTGTCAGGGAAGAGGGAAGGAAGAAATGGGGGAAAAGCATCACCTCATTCCATGCCTGTCACGGTAGAATTGAGTTGAGCATTGAGGCACAAATTACTAGTGCAATAAAACAGAACCAATGCTCCAAACCCTCCCTTTATGTCTTTAGAAAGCGAACCAGCGCTGTTGTGGCACCATAATTTCCCTCCCAGACTCGACGTGCGATTTGCTTATAGAGATTTCCGTAAGCCCATCAGCGCTTATGCCATTTACCTCCCAATACCGCCTGGAAATATTGCTGTCTCTAGGTTAATTATCTGCACACCTCCCAAGGACTTAGACTTACAGTGACTCCAGCCTTTGCCTCCTCAATAGCTGATCGAGATCCCAAGAACCCAACCTCTGTGACCGGAGAGCACCAACCTCTGAGGTCTTCAAGGACTTCGTTTCGGATGAGCTTGCAGCCAAACGTGCTTTCAAATTGGTCGTAGAACATCGAGATGTCAAGTTTGCCCGTACCGTAACCTAGATCGCGGGCAAGGCACATAGTATCTAACTCCTGGGTGGATTCAGTAGTAGTCAACTCTTGACTATAAGCAACGAGTGCTGTTGGGCTCGCGTTCTGGCTACCATTGTCTGCCTTCGTGTCACAGACTGGAGCATCAGAGACTGGCACATTTGGGTCGCGTACAACAGGAGAAGGGTTATTGACATTGGAGGGTAAGCTTTTCGCCTGCTTCAGAAGGAAGAGAATCCGGGAGACCTGAAGCAAAGTAGATAATCAGTGTACACCCTACAACAATCGAAGAAACAGCAACGCCTGATAGGACTGACTATTTGCTCGTTCTCACCACTGATAGGAAGCACCGGAGCGCTCGATTTCGGACCCGGGGCTTGTCTCAAGAGCTCGAGGATTCGCGCAACCTACAATCAGTTAATTGGAATGGGTTCAACTAAGATTGAAGAATTGATTGCGGTAGACCAAGACTCACGTGGCTGGCGCTCTCCTCATCGTTAGGAAGCATCGTGGTATTCGGATTCAGGTTATTAGTTGGTGGGACTGTGTTTTGAGCCGCGATACGCTGGGTGGCTTCAAGATCTAGATTGCCTGAAGAGCTAGAAACGGAAGATATGGCGACTGCAATGTCAACGAAGACGATTGAGGACAATGGCGCTGGCTGACCTTTTCTTCGGGTAAGTCCCCCGTACTACACCGTCGAAAATGAACCCCTTCACGTAGTCACCCCTTTCGACACCCTCGAACCTGAACTTTTTTGCGTATTTTTCTCTCTCGCTTCGCCGCCCCTTTCGTGACCGCTAGCGAGTGAATGAAGAGAACAGGCTATTATTGCTTTAACTACGGTTACGGCCCACAATTAGCACAAAAGGGTAGTTATGAGGATTGTCCGGCAGGTCATAGGAGACTGTGATTTGTCTGCCAATTCGAGAAAAGGAAGATTTGTCTGACAATAAGTTGTAACAGTTGTTTGTCTACTCCTTATGACTAACTCACCTTCCCAGCTATGTTATCTTAGCCCACTTATTGTCAGCTAACATAATGCTCACCTCTCTACAATTTGCTCACCCTAGTAGTGCTTTCCCCTTATTAGTGCTTGCTGCATTATTGAAGGGAGTGAATGAGTGAGGGGGAAAGAATCATTGAGACGGGGTAAGTGAAAGGAGGTATTTCAGCCTCATTTGAAATTTTAAGATAGTCCTATGGGCAGGTAGTACTATAAAAATCCTTCTTCTTCACGAAGTAGCAAACAAAATCATACTTCCTTACGAATCAAATCCTTATAAATAACCCTTTGTACTAAGGGTCAGCCGTATGATGTACTTTATACCTTTCACTACCATGTCTCTCACTGACCCAATTTTTCAAATAATCCTCCTTCACATTCAGATTTGCTACAATGCAATGACTCGAGCACTCCTGCCGATGTAGCAATCACTTTCAAATTTATTCATATTTGTGCTTACGAAGTTCAACAACTACTACTCAAACAAGTCATATTCGTAGCTTGAACTGTCTTTCAACGATTACGAATATTGCTCTAACTACAAAGTATATTTAATTTGTGATGCAAAGAGAACTTTGGTTGCTTTAAGAGACAAAGTTGCCGGAAGCAGAGCCTTTCTCGTCATAGCTTCTTTGCCAACTTTCCCCTTTGTCCGAGGCTGTGAGGTTAACTCATCATTTCACTCGCATTTTCTTTCTGTATTCTATCTCTTAAGTCATAATGTCACGCACCGTATTCTCTCGGTCGTCTTTGACAGAGACGCAAATCACCAAAGTCGAAAGAGCGCAATTTGCCCCCATTAGACCAAAACATCAATTATGGTACGATGGACAATAGCTGGTTATCACACGTCAATCCTAACGTTGAAAGAGTTTGTTTCGGTTTGGAAAGGTGAGCAAGGCTACTTTATCGGCATTACTAGGTAAGTATGGGTAAGTGGGGTAAAGCCGCAGGTGAGTACGGGTGAGTGCGGGTGAGCATAGGTGAGCATGGAGTGAACTCAAGCGAAAGAAAGCGGGGGCTTGTTTCGACTCCTCGGCTGCAGTTACTGCTATCCCAGCTAAAATTAAACGATAGTGCAAGGGTGCGAAGGAACCCAATTCGAACTTCGCTCCTATAGTTGCACGCGACCCGATTTTAGCTTCACAATTTACCGAACGCCAAAATTCAACGACATTCGTGCGAATAACCTCAAGAAAAAAAAGTTTTTATACAATAACAAAATACTACTAATACTCGGATTTATTATAGATTTGTGACAGCACGGTTGGACTCAAGTACGTAGACGAGGAATCGATTAGGCTATCTCTTAGGATCTAAAGGTAAAGAGGAAAGGAAGGAAAGAAGCGCCGGAAGGCAGAGCATATATACAGGTGAGCGGTCACGTGAGTACTTAGCGAGCACGTGACTCCAGAACCGTGACAAGATTTATTTTTCGCATTCTACGATTTAAATTAATTAAAAAACAATTATTCTAGTTGCAATTCGCATTAAGTAAAAATAATATAACTTTCAATAATTACACTTAGTAACACATTATACAAGATTACTAAATATTAGTTTAGCATATTACTATAACGGCACCAAATGTTACAGCGGATACGACGGCTAGCATGCTTAAGCTTTATAAAAGTCACGAAAATATGAAATTACATAGAAAACATAGTACATACTAAGGTCTCTTTCGAGACGCCGAGATTATCAAGACGAGACAAGGCAAATTTATCTCATAGATCGAAAATCGATGGCTGCTGACTTTTATATTATTTTTGCGGCGTCCAAGTTATAACGAGGAGATTATTGGAACATAGTTTAAGCTACCAATGAAAAATCAAGAGAATTATATAAACAAGCAAAGCAAGGTAGAATTGTATCCTCGCAAGCTACGCTAATATAAAAGTGTCACAGTGCTGGTTTCAGTCCTATCACGTGACAACTCACCGCCTGGCAGAATCCTGTATATAAGCACTCCTGAGAGCTGTCCTCAGCTCTTCACCTTAGTATTCTAAGAATGGATCACCTCTTGCATCTCAACCTGATCTGGTCTGTCACAAAAAGCATAGCTCTTAAGCACTGAGACATTCATGCAATGCGTAGTAGGGCAGAATCATGTTGATCGCACAAGAATAGCCACCGAACGATAAACGGTCTAATAATCTTTCCGAGGGCTTCGATATTCATGTAGTAATAAAGTTGCGTCAAGAAAGCATAGCAGGCTGTGCGTGTACACTCGTCATTAAGCAAACATATTCATGCAACGCGTGGCAGGGCAGAATCATGTTGGTTGCATATTTGCCACCGAAGACAGACGGTCTAATGCTCCTTCCGAAAACTTCGATATTCATGCGGTGACGAAGCTGCATCAACAGAGCATAGTAAACTGTGTGCGCCTACTCATTATTACGCAAAAAATTTTTATGCACTCGATTAACTCCTCCGAATATTCCATCCTATCAGTGTAAAGCATACTCGAGCCGGCACGAAGCCAACATTATTGTCACGACTCTCTCCTTACCCTATGGTCCACTAGTCCCGTGATCGTAACATATATATATATTAAAAAAAATATTATATAAAAAATTAAATTTTAATAAATTTAAAATTAAAAAACGTTATTATTTTTAATTTAATTTTTATTACGAATTGTCACAGATCTAGTTCTGCGACCATGCTGAAACCATCACGTGCAATGGCACGTGATCATACTCCTGTATATAAGCTCGGTTCAGAGCTCTCTCGAGCTCTTCACCTTAGTATTCTAAGAATGGATCACCTCTTACATCTCAACCTGATCTGGTCTGTCACAACCCCTCTCACTAGTAAATCACCTTCGCATCGTCGCCCTCACGCCTGATTTCCAAAGGGTCTCCTTTTATAGAGTAATAGACTTCCTCCACTACAGCTCCACCACCTAGCTCATACTATCCCTAATACTTGTAAAGCGGTCTTATTTAATCTCTTAAGGCCTCACCCCCATTCGGTAAATCGATATTAGCCTTGTGGCTGCTGTAGCACCTAGATTCATACATGATCGCCGCGCGGATCTGTACCTTGACAAAAGGTAACTAACCATATTTGGTCAGGGCTCCGCACGTACTGAGGCTTACGTTAACGTGTGGCGTTAATACTCACGATAACGTGTGGCGTTATTCTAGAAGTTTCCATAAGCACCACGTAGTATTTATGCCATACTTGATATTCCTAAGGACCTGACTCACCCGCTCCGCCTGCACCACCCTTCATTTCGCGACTTCCTCCTCAGCAAAGATCGATGTGGGAGTTTCTGAGTGGACGAGAAGAGGGCACATCAGGTATTAGCTTCTAGCTGCATACAGCTAATGTCCCAGACACTCAACAAGGACATTTGCAAAATAAATGCTCCTGGGCGTCAAGCCAGCCAAGTTGAGAGCAGCTGGGTTAAGAAATGCCTTCCGCCTGAAGTTAAATATGCATGCCTCTACTGGGTCCAGCATATAAAAAGAAGTGGTTCTCAGGCTAACGATAGCAAGGAAGCTCATTGGTTCTACAAGCTCATCTACTGCACTGGCTTGAGGCACTTGGGTGGATGGGCAAGACATCAGAGGGGATTCAAGCAATATTGTCCTTAGAGGCTTATGTCTCGGTAAGTTATCTATCTATCACTTCTATAAGTCTGACTAACTTGTCCTTAGGTTAATAAAAGCCCTAATTTGTATGCATTCATCCATGATGCTAAGCGATTTGCCTTATCTGCCCGCTCTCCCGAATCCAAGATGGCCACGTCCTCAAACGGGGCTCTACAACCTGCCAAAAGTATACTAACAGCTATTTCTCATACTTGAATCCGCTCCGGCCTCTCTAGCCACCCACTCGCTCATTATCGAGATCATTGTTCCAGAGACTTCCCTCCAGAAGATCCTCGAGGTCGCAGAGATGAATACCCTGAAACGAACTCCACCCAGACGGCATCGCGGACTGTACACCCAAAACTGGTCGTGGACCCGCAATGAAAGGACGTACCCGATCCATGGCAACCGTCACGCGATTGAAGTCGAACGGATTTTCCATCTTAATGTCTGATCCCGGTACTAGGTCTATTTGTTCGCCCTGTGGCATTCTCCCTGGCCACCAGCTATGAACCGAGAACGCTGGACTAAATTCGATCACATACTGGTCGCCTTGGACGTCAACGATTCGAGCAGGAAGGTAGAGTTGCGAATTGTCGGTAACATGGTAATGGAATCGGAAATCCGGGTACATGACCGGTGCCTCGGTAGTGTCGCCGATATGGAAGCAACGATAAGGTCGAACATCGTACCTGTTGGTGTTTCTCCGCCACGGTCTCCAGAGTCGCCGCGTGCCCTTCCCGAGTTGTATCAACTGCTCTTCTGGAAAGAACAAGTTGCCGTCCTCTTTCTCATCTGCTTCACCGAGGTGTCTAGCTTGTGTAATATTGGTTTCGCCTTTTTTCGGTAAATTTTCCCAATCGACAAACTCAATCTCGTCGCCATCCACTGCCGTGACTCTTGAATCGTACCAGAACCCGTCGTACTCGATCTAGCCATTTATAGAATGAGAATCGCACCTCAAAAGATGTCTGACGGAGTGTTCTAACGAGGTAGTACATACCTGAACTTTCTCACCAACTTTCGGCGGGTTGATGAATACCTTCGACGGCCCCAATAGCGTACAGTCAAACTCCGGTATGGTGAAACTTGCGGAGTTGTCGTTTCCGTATAACATAATGTCGGACGAAGCCTTGAGAGGCCTTGTGGAAAATTCGACAGAAGTTGAACCGTCACATGCTGTAATAATGTACTCTCCACCTTGAAATGCCTTAAACTCGGTGATGCGAAGATCGCAGCTCCAGGCATGTTCGCCTGAGTCCAGCTCATGGCGGATGGACAATGCAGCGCCAACAGAAATACCTCCTACCGGACGAACTTGCTTTGAGAGACTCTTGCGCTCGATTTGGCCAGTTTCGAGGTAACGAACGTAAACGTGAACGTCTCCGGCCGTTCCATTAAAGTGTGCAAAGATGGCATCGCTGCTTGATTCCGTGACCTCCTGTACGGTGACGATTCCAAGTTCATCAGGTGTCGGAACGGCCACAATTTGAGCAGATATCCACCCGATATGGCCAGAAGGAGACTCGATTGCTGCCGGTAAGGCAAGATCGCCGGACGCTCTTTCACATTCGACAAACGTACCATAGCCTGCGCTTTCGAGGACCAGCCTTCTAAGTGTGTCGGACAAGGAACAGTCGTGTATCAATTTGAAATAGTCGTCAGGTTTGACGTAGCCCTTGTGCAGCGGATCTAGAGCGGATCGAAGAGCCGGGAGCCAGAGAGGCCGGATGGTGGAAAGACGACGTGTGCCACTTTGATTGATGGAATAACGAGACCCTTGTAGGCGAACGCGGTCTAGGTTTTCGGATTCAAAAATCCCGGTCGGTATCATTTTGAGAACGAAGGACGTTTCTACCTCATGTACGAAGCGTGCCCAAGAAACATAAAATGTCTGTTGAGAAAGCGACATGTCAATATGATATGCGACATGGCGAATAGAAGGAAAGGGTGGGGGATGCTTTAAGTGTTATTACCTCATAGCGAAGAGCCGAGGCGTAAAGTTTGCCTTTCTGGAATCGATCCTTCCAAAACGATGCTCCTTCAGGGTTCTGCGCTTGATAAATCTGAACGGCCGACGTGTCGGGAAACAGAGTAGTCTCCTGGAGCTGGTGCTCAAGGTGTTTGCATTCGTTCATGAGGTTTTCCACCATCCGGTCGATGCTAGCGAATCCCGTGCTGAGGTCCAGGTTCAGCAAATTATCGTGCAAAGTAGTGTTTTTCGCGGTAGGGGAGTTAAGAGGTTCCTTCCGACTCGACTTTTTCTGATGCTTTCGGACGTCGGAGAGAAATGAAACAGACAGTATGCTAGATATCTTCTGAAGTTGTTCGGCCTTATACCGAATCTCGGCGAGAATGCTAGGAATCCGGGTAAAAATCACCACACGCTTGGCAAAACTCTTGCCATTTATCGCTGTCTTCTGAGTCGCGGTTGTCGTTCCAGCAGATTCGACGCCTAAGACCTTTGCACACTTGTTGTATGACTCTTGAATACTTTTCAAGATACCTAGCATTCTCATAAACTCCGACGAATAGGCCATGATAATGTCGTTCTCTGACCCCTTAAACACTTTCGATAGAACTTGAAGATGGACGGTGAGCAGCAGAAGGTCGTCGGCAGCTTGCTTGACAGAGTCAATTCGATTGTAGAGATCCGTCCCCACATTGATGAGGATAGTCACGACAGCAATGACATCACCAACTGACATGGTGATTGTTTGGCGAAAGTGGGCTTTTGGCAACCAGTGAACTGTCCCGTGACTACTGCTGGCGCAACACTTAATTATGGCTCCAATGCAGAATAGAAGTTTTGCTATGCAGTGGTAGGGAGCACTTTACCTCTAGACTGATTCGCGAAACCAAAGGATGCGAGAGTATCTATGAAATGGTCGGTGGGCAGAAGAAGGAAAGGGAACGTATTGCAGCACTCTGCTAGGACGGGACACCAGTAAGGAGAATTGTGCTGTAACTAAAAATTGTCGCGCTTGAGTGTGCGAATGATGATGCTATGATGGACTATGATGGACTATGATGTCAAGAAGCAGAGGTATCTCGTGTTCTCTTGTGCGCCGGAGGTCGCCCTGAGCCAGCTATGTATATGGCAAGATTAGTAGTGTAGATTGTTCCTCCACTTATGACAACTCTTTACGAGACGTTACTCCAAAGTCACAGTGCGTGCGGCAGTGACGGGCGCCTACGGCAGTGGCTGCGAAGTGCTGCCAGCGGCTGTGGCTTGGTGGCTTATGCAATGATTGGCTCTGGGGTAAACGTCCGAGCTGTAGGCGCCGGGGCCGTTCCTCCAGGGATATTTAACTATAAATAATGCCTTGGCGCAAGACAAATGACGATACAATCACGGTGGGGTTGTACTAGGCATGACGAAAGAATTAATACATAATTCACAGGCGAGTCGGATGTTTCTAATTTTAGGCACACTCCTGGCGGGTGGGAGTGTTAAGCGGCTCTTCAGAATCCATTGATGCTGAGATTGTTGTGGTGTGATAGGCTGCCAAGCTTTCGGGCGGCAAGAATTAGCCATGTATGCCTTAGGACATGAGAACGCAAGGTATTGCCTGAAAACATCTCGGAGACTCTCTACCACGTGATGCGTGAGGATCGACTTAAGATGTTGCAGCGGTTGATTCATTGGGTGCCTAAGGCGCAAGGATTACGTAAGAATGTCTTGAATTCCTTAGAGAACGACATTGGGCTCGAAATGCGCCTATTCTATATAGTGAATAATGAGAGATCCTGAGCCACGAGAATCAGAGCTATTAAAGGAGTGACAAGGCTTTCCTCAAGGCTTCTACGATGCTTTCCCCAAGGCTTTAACAGGCCCAGTATATAACATGGATAATATATATATCAGTAACGTGACCATAAAGGCCTGAGGCATAGAGCCGGGCAGCTCCGGCTTCAACATAAAATTTGCATCGCCCTCGCCTTTCACTTGCTTGTTAAAACCTCAGGCAGTTACTCCACATTGTGTACATATACGGAGCTCTGCTCCCACCACTGCTCAGTGATTAAGTTTTGCTCTACCTATATTTCAACATCACTGAGCAATCACTTGTTGCCAAACCCGCCACAAGACAGTAATTTCCTGGCCCACTCACACTCTCGTCCGATCCTATGGAAAGCTGGCTGAAACAGTATGGAGCGTCAGGCTTGGATGACTTGGAGCTTGCCGACTTCTCGAACACTGGGCGCGGTGTCAGGACGCTGCGGCGATTTGAGGAAGGAGGAAAGATTCTCACCATTCCACATGGCGTTCTCTGGACAGTGAAACACGCATATGCTGATCCCGTCCTTGGGCCAGCCCTTCTCTCGGCGCGGCCGCCCTTGTCTGTCGATGACACTTTGGCTACGTATATTCTCTTTGTCCGATCGCGCGGGTCGGGATATGATGGTCTGGGAAGCCATGTAGCAGCGCTGCCTGCGAGCTATACTTCGAGTATCTTCTTTGCGGAGGCCGAGTTGGAAATTTGCGAGGGAACTTCGCTCTACACTACCACGAAGCAGCTGGATCGACAGATCGAGGCCGATTATAAGGAATTGGTAGTACGACTATTTGGAAGACATCAAGAACTGTTCCCATGCGACAAGTTTACCATCGAAGATGTACGTATACAACACAGTGAAGATGCAGCGAATCGGCTACTGACACTTATTTCCAATTACTCAGTACAAGTGGGCACTCTGCACTGTGTGGAGTCGTGCGATGGATTTTAAGCTGGGCAATGGAGATTCGATTCGACTTTTGGCGCCCTTCGCAGACATGTTGAATCACTCGCCCAAGGTTGAGCAGTGTCATATCTACGATGTCTTGTCTGGAAACCTCTCTATTCTTGCCGGGAAAGACTACGAACCTGGAGATCAGGTACGTCCGTCTTCTTTTCTAACGCTGCTAATTAGGGCGCTTACCTAGAAGTGTTCTTCCAGGTTCTCATCAATTACGGTCCTGTTCCAAACAATCGCTTATTACGTCTCTATGGCTTTGTCGTGCCCAGTAATCCCAACGACAGCTATGATCTCGTTCTTGCGACACACCCCATGGCGCCTTTTTTTGAGCAAAAGCACAAACTCTGGGTATCCGCTGGACTCGATTCGACCTCTACTGTCTCTCTTACTCTCACCGATCCGCTACCAAGTAGCATCCTTCGATACCTCCGTATTCAACGGCTGAATGAATCCGATCTTGCTGGAATGGTATCTCATAAAAGCGATGCTGCATTTGAGAAAGTCAGCGATTCAAATGAAGTGGAAGTCCTGCGGTTTCTGGTAGAATCGATCTCTAGTCTTCTCGATGGTTTCAAAAATCAACTAGAAAAGTTAGAAGATCAACTCGCGGAAGGGTTCTATACTCCGGAAGGGAACGCATGGTCGGCGGCGCACGTCAGTCTGGGTGAACAGCGGGTGTTGAGATTGACGAGAAAGACAGCGGAGGATTTGTTGGCGGCGGTAGAGACCGGAAGTGGGAATAAGAGACGCCTATTGTCGACACCGGCCCAATGCGCGAAGTGCAAAAAGGTTTCTGTGCATTTGATGCGGTGCGGAAGGTGCAACGAGGTCATATACTGCGGGCGGGCTTGCCAGGTTGCCCATTTCAAAGAGCACAAGGCAATTTGTCGAGCTACAGCGGCTAAGAATGGTTCTAAAAAGGATTGACATCTACCGTTACGTCACCGGACAGGGGCGTGATCGGACAAGAATTTTATTATCCAACACAACATATTGCACAAGAAACTGATAGCATAGATAATGTTGGATTACAGTCATGCTAGTGTGAATGTTCAAACTCTATAACTAGCCGTCTAAGAGCTTGCTCGCTCGGCCAGCTAGCTCCAAGACACCATTCTTGTCCAATTAATCCAATATGGTGCTCTAGAAAGACGAAGATGTCATGGTCCACAATGGCCGTTTCCATGTCGTGAAGGATGAAGGCATGGTGCTCAGCATCTGATATCTTGCAGAACCCGGTTCGGATTGGAACCTCTGATCTGCTTGTGATCAGCACCCGCAGCCGGATCTTTAGTGATCGAGCTTGAGCTAGTAGTTGTAGAATGATTCGCATGTCGTTTATATCGTCACATTCGTCCAAGGCATCTATGATCATGACATATGATGGATATGTGTCATTCCCTCCCAGCTTCAAAAGCGGCCTAAGCACGAGCTGGCGCCACTGATCTGCGAGAGACTGGCTCGCGATTATGCTATCAGCTGTGATAGCGTCCCAAATGTGCTGCTTGACCGGGGGAATGTGTACCGCGAGTTGTATAGCAATAGTCGTGACAAACTTGCTGATATTGCCGGCATCACCGCTGCCTCGCGAGAAGAAGAAGCTGGCTGCAAGCCGGCCCTGCTCGAATTAGTTCCGTGCGACCGTGTGTGCAATCGTCGACTTTCCCGTGCCAGCCATACCGTTCAACCAGAAGATACACCGTTCATCTTGTCCATCGGCCCAGTCGTATATATCCTGTAGAAGGCCGACTCGGGTATAAGGGAGGCAGGTGGGTTCGTCTTGGCGGGCGTACGAATTGAATGGTGCACTCGCTGCAAACGGGAGGAGGTTGAGCAAGTTTTACTACTTACATCGTTTAGCTCTCGAAGAACAACAGAGCGGCAATGAGTATACTACTTCTCTAGGACATCTTTCGATAAAGCTTATCTGCACCATTGTTGACCGTTATATTCCCATAATCAACGCCAGTCTGAGGGCCGCTGTTACCATTCCCACGATAGTCCACAGTATTATGTGTAGTCATGATGTCAGAGCATACTTTAGATGAATCGACTTAGCCAGTCTTAACAAGCCGATGCGCCCACTGGATTGATTTGCTCCGCATATTGGTAGATACGTACAAGTATCGAGCTTAGCCTCACAAGGTTAGAGTTTCACTACCCAACCTTGATTTCTAATATATGAGGCTTCCAGAAGAACACTATGCTGCGCCACACCCTCACGTGATACTGATAAATTTGTAATACGAGTGTGGCTGTGAAATAAAATATTAGGTTAGGCGATAAAATCCTTTCTCGCTTATTAAGATGCTTGGCATTTTGTGTACTTCCCACCCTTTGACCGGATAAATCCGGCTGGTAGATTTCCTTTGGCTTTGTGTTACCAAGGCTTAGAGCTGCATCTTAGGTTTATAGATGGTCTATTCCACGGCCCCGAAAAGCAAGGACAGGTTAATGGTTGTGATAAAGTAGGGGACAATAGCTACAACCACTTTTGACGCTCTCAATAAGACGATGGATAGGACAGCCAAATTATGGTGTTTTTTTAAATTGCAGGTCGAGTTTCTATAGAGAAATATCTAGAGAACAGTAGTAAACTAATTATAACCATATATACTTATGTGGTGGGAATTTAAGACCCCCAAACCATGAAGTCATTCCGGCACGCAGGTTTTTCCGGCACACAGGGATAGACGTGTTACAAACAGCAGTTACGATAGGCCCAGCAAGCGAGCTTGCTGGAGATACTTCGGGACAGGAAGGTCCCAGGTGCACGGGATCAGCGATCACGTGACCAGGTGGACCGAAGGGAACGAGGGGCTCTTGGTCTCGGTCCCCTCGGCCCACTCGGCCCTGAGCAGGAAGGTTCTATATAAGCAGATAGGTTTCCCTTAGATAAGAGCTTCGTGCTCAACTCAAATATAGTTTCTTAACAACAAGCTATTAGTAACGAGATTGCATTTACTCTTCGACTTCATCCTCCTTTGATCCCTTATCACTTTACAGCCAACAAACCCGACAGTTGTCACAGTTCTGGAGTCACGTGGCTAGAATATGCACGTGACCTGTGACCTCTATATGTATCTCGTGTTCCCCTCTCCCCTCTTTCTCCTTTACCTTTAGATTCTAAGAGATAGCCTAATCGATTCCTCGTCTACGTACTTGAGTCCAACTGTGCTGTCACATTATCTAAAGGTCAAACAACCCCCTACCAGCCTGGGAAGGCATAATAAAGAATATCCGCCCAGAGATCGTACGCGTTGGACGCGTACTACGAAGAATATATCTTTAGTTATATCTTCAGCAACCACCAGACCCCCGATGTCGAGTGTTGACACTTAGACTACAGAACCATTCGATATAGCCGACAATAACGAAGCTTCTCCCTTAAGAGTACGCATTCCTACTTCTACTCGAAGGACCAGCCCTCGAAAGCTCCCCGAAATCCGCTACTATCGTACGCCTGCGAGAATGAGTGCTCAACGCTCCTCTATCGAAGACGTCGCCCCTCAGGACGACGTACCCTCCCTAAGACCCTCAATCGAAGGGCACACTCACACCCTCACGCCGGGTGCCCCCTCTCGGACTCCTCAAACAAGTCCCTTACGCCAACCCCTCTCTGCTGACATTGTAGATGACGACCCCGAGTTCCTTGCTTTGATCCAAGCAGCCCGCCAACAGCTTATACGAGATAGGACTACTCGCGCTAGTACTATTACGGATAACTCTCCCGCTATGAACTCCGACTTGAGACAGGCTCGGCCCGTCTCAAACGCTGCTTTGGACGATTCCTTAAGAGACTCTTCCTCAGACAGCGACGATCTAGTCAATCCCTAGCCTCAAGATCCCTCTATGAGACGGGCCAGGAATAAAATCCCTGCCCAATTGACGCCGGCCCCTCGTACCAACTCTGTTGCACTAGCACTACGCATCAACCATCGTTTCCCGGACCCACTTTTATTCGATAATGGAGAAGACCCCACTTTCGACTCTTAGATGATCGACTTGGATGCCAAGCTTGAAGCCTCCGGCTATATGGAGGCTGGCGTCACTGAAAAGCAGCGAATGAGTTATGCCCTCAGCCGTACGACTGGAGAGGCCAGAGCTCAACTGCTTACCCGATTCCCCACTACGCTACGCCCGATCCATTATGCCTTCCGTACTCTAGAAGAGATGATTTAGTCTTTGGCTATAGCCTACGTTGATCCCTTTGAATCCCTCAGGAAGCAAGACGAGTACCGCTCTTTGATCATGGCAGACACAGAGACCGTACGGCAGTTCAAGATCCGCTTTCTTACCCTATTAGCACAGGCTGGAATATCACGAGACTAGCTCTTCTCAGATTTCCGAGCTAAGCTTACGCCCCGTATCCGTACTGCTATTGCAAGTCAGGTGTACAGCATGCAACAGAGCTTTACCAATCTCTGCGCCGTAGCAGAGCAGACCGACCTCGAACTCTCACACGTAGCTCAGACGAAGCTAGTGCCGACCCTAAGGAAGTCTCGTGCGGAAGCTCGCTCTACCACCGTCCAAGGACCCCAGGTACCGGTCAGGACAACACAACACTATCTGCCCGGGCCACCCCGGTCGTCCCCCAGACCTGCTGCCCCTACGTTTCAACGGCAGGGTACTCCCAGCCGCCAGCAGTCAGCAGCTCTCCTCAACCCAAAGGCTAGTCAGTGCTTCAACTGCAAAAGAATTGGTCACTTTGCGAAGGACTATCTTTTAGTTACACACTTGGATATTACCAACATAGAGAGTACAATAGAAGTAGAAGAGATTGCAACATATCCTTAGGGCCACGTGGAAGAAGAAGAAGTAGAAGACGATAAAGAGAGCGCAAGCTAGCTTATGCCGGGAAATGGCGCAGCCTAAGAGAAGTCTCCTTCTTAGGCCGCTTTGTCGATTGCTCAAAGCTAGACTTACGAGCAGTAATGGGTGGAAAGCACTTTTCATACCCGTGTACTATAAGCTTTAATGCAATTAGTACTACTATTTACCCTCTTATCGACACTGGAGCGAATGGCTTTGCTTTCATTACTTCTGCCCTTACCCGCGACTTCGCAAACTTCACAGGCGCCAAGTTTCAGCGTCTACGTTCTCCTATCCCTGTTTCAGGCTTTAATGGAAAGTCTGGACAAGCCATCTCTCACTTCCTCCGCCTCCACCTCACAGTGGATGGAAGAAAGCAACTCTCAATCCCCTTCTTAGTTACAGAGCTCGGCTCCCACGACATTATTCTAGGCCGTACCTGGCTAGAGATGTGTCAAGTTAAACTAGACGTAGCTAAACGTCAGCTCCTCTAGCTAGAGGACTACACGCCTTCGGACGTAAGATCTACGTTGCCCGACAAGCATGTGCCTCGATCGCATATAAGAAAGCTCCCCGTTGGACTCAGAAGCCAGAACCAATTAAATATCGACCGCCGCGACTTGGCGATAGCTATCTAGGACTAGCAACGGAGAAGTAGTGCTTAGCATAGCTGTGCTCAGCTAGATATCAATAGCATAAGCCGACCTCCACCACCTTCAACGCTACCAAGGCCTAGCGTTGCGCCACCTGAGTTGCCAAGCCCCCCGCTTACGCCAGTGGAAGAGTACGCTTTGGAAGCGCCTTTGATCCCTATAACCTTACCTTTATCTCCTTTTGTCCCTCGATTAATTGGAAAGCGTACGCAGCTTATAGACGATCGAGATAACTTACGCAAAATGGACTTCGCATTATTAGGCAAGCTTTAAGGACCAAATAAAGCACTACCACGGCCTCCCCCGAAGCCGTCTGACTACATACCAATGCCGAAATCTGTAGACCTTTGCCTGATCACACTAGAAGCGTTTCACCTCAACCTTCGCCAGCCAGATACTAAGGCTTTCACAACTAGCTTATACAAGCTAGATCGGTTAATTAAAGAGAAGCTTGATCAAGAAATGTAGCCAGGAGTAGAGATCAAGGAAGTCGAGCCGTCTATCCTAGCAACATACCAAGCATTCGCTCGAGCTTTCTCTAAAGACGATTCCAACACACTGCCTCCCTCTCGCTCGTACGACCATAAGATCGCCCTTAAGAAGGACGAAGCGGAGCTTTAGTTCACGCCTCTTTACAAGATAAGCGCTAAAGAGCTAGCAGTCACTAAGCAGTACTTAATAGACAACTTGTCTAAGGGCTTCATTGAACCTAGCCAGGCCCCATTCGCGGCACCCGTCCTCTTTGTGAAGAAATCTAGCGGAGCCTTACGATTTTGCATCGATTTCCGGAAGCTAAATGCTATTACGTGCAAAGACTGGTATCTATTGCTATTAATCGACGAGACTCTCGCCCGAATCGCCTCTGCGAAGATCTACACAAAGCTAGACATATGCCAAGCCTTCCACCGAATCCGAATGCACCCTGATTCGAAAGAACTAACTACTTTTCGTACTCGCTATAGAGCGTATAAGTGCAAAGTCCTGCCTTTCGGACTTACTAATAGGCTTGCTACGTATCAACGATATATGAACGATATATTGTTTGATTACTTAGACGATTTTTGTATTGCTTACCTCAATGATATCCTTATTTACTCCGATAATCCCCTCGAGCACGAAGAGTATGTGAGAAAAGTGCTGCAACGACTTTAAGACGCCGGCTTGCAAGCTAACCTCAAGAAGTGCGAATTCAACGTGACTCGTACAAAGTATTTGGGTTTTATTATTAGTATAGAAGGCATATCTGTAGACCCAGAGAAGATGAGAGTGATAGAGGAATGGAAGCGCCCTAGTATGGTTAAAGGCGTATAGTTATTCTTAGGCTTCTGCAACTTCTACCGCCGATTTATTAGGGAATATGGAAGGATTATAGCTCCCTTGACTTAGCTTACGAAAGCGAACGTCCCCTTCCACTTTAATAGCGATTGCGAGACTACTTTTGAGAAGCTTAAGCTACAGCTTATTACAGCACTAATTCTATAACACTATAACCCCGTGCTCGAGTGTATAATAGAAACGGACGCCTCCGATGGTATAGTTGTAGGAATCCTTAACTAGAAGCATGGAGAGCAGTGGCTACCTGTGGCCTATTTCTCTAAGACTATAGCCCCTGCTAAGTTGAATTACGAGATCCATAACAAGGAGATGCTGGCTATTGTAAAGACTATAAAGGAATAGAGAGCTGAACTAGCCTCCACCCCTACACCTATCAAGGTTTACACCGATCACAAAGCCCTGGAGTACTTTATGTCATCCAAGAAGCTAATAGCCAGGCAGGCCCGTTGGGCAGAGCTGCTAGCAGACTTCCATTTCATTATCTTGTACCGCTCTAGTAAAGACAACCTTAAAGCTAACGCTTTAACCCGCCGAAGTGATGAGACAAGCTCGCAAGACGCTATTAAGAAAGCCTCTCGTACCCAAACACTCCTTATAGCTAATAAGCTAGATCCTCAGATCTATAGCGAGTTACGGATATCCTCCTTGGCCTTAGCCCCTGTGGATAGAGCTATTGTAGAGCACTCTTTCGACTTGATCGACCGCATCTTGCAAGCCAACCGGGAAGCAGGAACGCTAGCTGCCCTTAGGCTACAAGCTGAACGTCCGGATGATGAGGACTTTTTGCTAAAGCATAGATTGCTCTTGTACTAAGATAGGCTGGTTGTACCTGATTAAGACTATCTACGAGTGCACCTGATTCGAGAAGCTTACAACTAGATGCTTATAGCCCACTCTGGAAGAGACAAGACGTACTAGATCCTCCGTTAAAGGTACTACTAGCCTCACATACTCCGTGATGTGGCTTAGTACGTACGGAACTGCCATGCTTGTGCTAGAGCCTCCTCCCCTCGAGACAAGACTCCTGGCTTACTACAACCTCTGCCGATTCCAGAACGCCCCTAGTAACAACTCTCTATAGACTTCTGCTCTTTCCTGTAAGGGGCTACGCCAAGAGGGAACACTTAAGACGTAGGCAGTGGGTAAAACTGTCGTTGAATTCGATAAAGAACTAAGAGCTAGCTAGCTATGGCTTTATATACACAGAATAGGGGCTTCGAAGAAGCCTCGACACACGCTAAGTGTTCTAAGATTAAAGTCTTAGATCGGAGATTACACTCGTAAAGAAAATAAGGAGGCTGGTGCTTAAGCGAGGCGTAGCCGAAGCATTATGGGGTTCAACCCCTGACATTTCCCTCCTAATAAGCACGGCTATAACAGTGTTTGCGTAATCATCGACCGTCTCAGCAAGCAAGCTGTCTCCATACCCTGCTATAAGACAATTAATGCAAAGCAACTAGCCCGTTTATTTCTCACGAATATCTTCCGATACTACAAACGCCCTCTGGAGATCGTTAGCGATTGTGGTCCTTAATTCATCTCTAAGTTCTAGTAAGAACTTTGCCGCATTATAAGCACTAAGATCACGCTTTCGACTGGCTACCACCTACAAACAGACGGCCAAACAAAGAATTATAACCAAGTTCTCCAAGCTAGATTAACACTATTTGTGTCGTACTACTAGGACGATTAGTCAGATATGCTCCCTATGATAGACTACGCTTAGCTGTGCCTCCCTCAAGCTAGTATAGGAATATCACCCCACAAAGTGCTATACGGCACCGCTCCCGTACTTTATTTCGACTAAAATACTCGTCCGGATAGCAACAACACCCCTAGCGCCAAGCTAAATCGAGAGAAAGCGCTAGTGCTAGCTAGAAGGATGGATGAAGCAATTGCTATTGCTAGAAAGAATATGGAACAAGCCTAAGACTATATAAAGCGCTCGCAAGATACTAGGCGAAGAGTAGTTGACTAGAAAGTAGGCGACAAGGCCTACGTTACGATTACCTAATATAATACTTAGCGTCCTAGTCGCAAGCTCGATAATATACGAGCTGGCCCCTTCTTAATCCTAGAGAAGAGAGGACACTCGTACAAGCTCGACTTGCCCGCTTCTATAAGAGTGCACCCTGTATTCTCATCCAACAAGCTAAGGAGAGACCCCGCAGACCCGCTGCCTGGTTAAGAAGAAGAGCCTCCGCCAGAAGTCAACATAACTGGTGATATCGAATGGGAAGTA